GGAGAGCTTGGCATGGATAGGGGCGACGCTCTACTTCATTCGGAGGCATCTGAGGGCGGTTGGGAGGGATGAGTCGGAGGAAGTCGCATGATGTGTCGTAGGGGGTGGATCAGGCTACCGTGTCGCTCGTGTCGACGCTGCTGGTGCGTGACGGTATCGATGGGTTGCGGGCGTGACGGTGTCGATTGGTGGAGCGGAGGATGGGTGCGCGGTAGTTGCTGCTTACTAGTTGTAATCAATCTCAGAATTCTTTTCTCTCAGAAACTCCACTCAGAAAGGCCGGAGCCAAGTAGTGTATTGTGTAGTAGTGGTAGCGATAGCAATGACTGACGACTGCTGTTTTATCCGGCAGAAAATCGAATGGTCGCTCGCAGCTCGTCCTAGCAGCGCACGCTCGTCCTGGAAGTGGTGACGCTGGAACAGTATGGGAATCAGGAAACAAGAGACAATCTGAACAAAACCCTTACCTGCACAGTTAGTATCGCCACTAGTAAGATACCATGTTTCATATGCAGACTCAGCTACAGTGTAAAAGGCCACGCCCGTGAATGAAGCACGTGACTATATCACGTGACTCTACTTACACAGAAGAACCTATAAACAAAAGTATGAGTAGCAGTTATCTTACAGTACATCTGTTTCTGGATCTTTCTTCTTCTATACAATAGATAAATGTAAACACGTGCGAAGACCTCTTCGCCCATAATAATAACGACGGATCTTGCTTCATCCAATAGGCTTGCCGTTTACGGTTAAGATCTACATACAAGATGCGTCATCCGAACAGGGGACAAATGTCGTTTGTACTGTACTTACATTGCGTTACGAATCTCTTGCACTCAAGATTCAGCGTCAACTTCTATCGTCGCAACTTGTGGTCGAATATATCACAGTACTGAAGTGCCAAACTGTTCCGACGGAACCCGGAGAGCCGAGACCCCTCCTGTGAACTGGCGAGCGAACAGGTGTTGCAACCATACTATACTGCATCTAGCGCTCGAAGTTTTCTATGCAACACACCGCAACAGTATGATAGCAGTTTGTTCGTAGTCATCGCCCGGGACCACCCTCATTCGTGTATCGACTGGCTCTTTCCACACCAAGCTACCATGGGAAGGATTGGCCGACGTGCAGATCTTGACAATTGGGCCTTGCAGCAACTTCATTCTGTTACCCTGGAACATCACGAAGATACTATCATCATTCAACTGCAACATTCATCAAACTTGCTTTAATACCTTCAACACTCACACAAAAAGTGTCATTCATTTTCACCTTCACCTTGAGACGCTAGTCCAAGCTCGCACAATCGTGCTTTTATGTGCTGCGTACAGAGCAAGTACAGTCCTCAACTACACCCACGTCAACGAAAACACACTCTGCGTCACCAGAACATCACATCTTCTCATTTACCAAGACCTAAACTATGTCTGGTCATCGCATACTAGCAGAGGTGCTGCGCAAAGAGCCTCGGATCGACTCAGGCACTGTGCTCTCTGATCCAGTTGTCACATCCAGTGGCCAGTTCTCAGCCAAGTAAGCATTTTTCTGAGCATACAAGTTTACAAAACTCACGCGTTAGCAGGAAAGTCCAGATGCCTGAGCTACGCAATACCAAATACGACTTTGGTGCCGCCAAGGCCCAATACGGCGAAAATGAGCTTCAGCTCCGGCAACCAGAAGGCTTCCCAATCATTCCTCTTCCTATCACGGTAGCGCGTGCTTACGAGGAGGCTGCAATGGCAGCTGCAGCGAGAGATTACTCTGAACTCGTATTCGACATTTACGAAGACGTAAATGATGGTACACGCAAAACGGTAGCTGAAGAGGATCACGAAATGGTTGACGCCTACGCTAGTGGAACTGTTGGTGAAGAAGAGGAACAGGGCAATAACGGCGATGAAGCCAGACAAATGGGTGACGAGAACCACCATGAAGTTCCTCCCAACTCTACAAACGCGACCAAGAGTGATCCAAGGCTCGATGTACATGTAGACAGCCTAGGACGAACACGCGCAGCAGCACATCGGCGTAAGGCTCTTGAGACCATACAGCTTGTAGATCACGCCGGGGACTTAGGAGACGTGACTAGCATGGGCAGCAGCAAAAAGCGTACAAGTAGCCGTATCCAGAAGTCCACACAGCCGAGGAAGCAGTCGGTTAGGAAGTCACGCTAGGGAACTTGGAAGTGCTTTTTTGAGATTGTTTGGTTCGCGAAATGTAGCTCGGGGGAATGGATCTGGGCTTAGCGGCTTATGTCGTGTACACCTGTATTGGTTATCGGGCCGTGGCGGATAACTTCGCTTCCACCAAAATTGCCAATATCAGCATGGTAATAGACAGAAGAGTACCTGGATAGCCCATGTTAGAATGGTAATGATAAGCCATTAGCACAAAGTGCTCATGTCACAGATCGCAACCCGCTCTATCGCTCGGTGTATATGGACCCTGGCTCAAGCTGACGCCACTAACCGCATCAGGATTATGTACACTCGCAACCACGTGTGAGCGCGTATTAAAGCTAATAACTCCTGCCCCGCCTTCCCAGCTATCTCCAACATATCCAGACAACGGTATCGACTTGACTTTGCTTTTCCCAACCCCTCAGTTCCCAACACTTCCGGCCCCGAACTGCGACGTCAATCAACTTCTCCTTTGCTCAAAGAGCCTCCACGTGTAAAGAAGATGGCCTCTGGCACTCAGATGGAGCTGATACGAGCCTGGTCTAGGGATATCGGCCACGTTGTTGATGCTGCCAATTCACCAAAAGCCGAGTTTGCGCGTCTGGCTAAAGCAAAGGGGTGGGAGGGCGGCAATGAGACATGGCGTTCGCGCTGGAAAGAGTGTTTCAAAGAGGAGTATCCGTATGGCCAGTGTCGTAAGTCTTCTCGTTTCACCATACACTTGAAGCGTCCAATGCGATTCTATCGGGTATCATATATGAAGTGTGTTGCTGACTTATGATACAGGTCGGTTAGCACGTGGAGATAAGGCTGCAGCCTTGCAAGACGGCGGAATCCATCTCGAAAATAGGATGCGCAGGCTCTCAATCGTATCCGACACCTCATCATTCTCGGTCATTTCCAGAGCAGATTCATTTGATAGCGTAAGGTCGTTCGACAGCCAGGAGTCTTTTGAAGACCTAGGTGCGGTTGTCGATGTTCCAGTTTCACTCAACCCGGCATCGGTCTCCGAAACAAACGAATACAAGGAACCGATCGAATCAGAAAGGAAGCCCTTACTGAGCAGTTCCAGATGCAAAGCAGACAGCAATCCTGCTTGGGCGGAATTCACCAACTTCGTGCACTCGCCAACTGCGCACTTCAAATCTGAGTTCGAACGTCTCGCACACATCAAAAACTGGACCGGAAATGTGAAGAAACAACAGTTCGTTTCTTTGCTTAGCTCGGAAGTTGCTTTTTACTGGGGTACTGGTGAAGATAAGCTTGAGCAGTACCAAGAAATGTGTCGTGATCTTGGTCTTACTCACATTCCGGGTACAGTTACACAGTGCAAGAAGGTTCGTTTTTGAATTCTACCTAGGCACAAAGAAGCAGAGTACTAATAGCAGATAGGTCCTTGATCCTTTGAAGATCAACCTCTTTACCGTCATTGATAACAAGCGAAATCCAAAGATCAAGATCGTTCAGTACGAGTCTCTCAGTAAGCTACGGAAGAGCATCCGCAAGAGCGGGTGTTTCCCGAGGGATGCTGCGAAAGCGGGTGGCGGATGCTTCAAGTCACTGCTTTGCAGGCTGTAACCATCACGATCATTCAGGACCATGTTGGAGTTCGGAGCATGTGATTTGCCATTTGGGCATCGAATATACATGCCGGGAAGACCGAAATTGCATCTCTCTCACCTCTGTGTTGAATTTATTATGAGAATAAGCAAGAATCATATTTTAATTCAATAATGTCTACTACTTTCAATCGTTACGACTGGAAACTGGCTGAGACGTCGCACCCTCTGAATGCTGTGGCGTGCACCCACTGCTCTTTCAAGGGTATTGGCCGAGGTGAAAAGGACTGTTGCGAGTTTGGTAATGCGATTCTCCATGTCGGTAAGAAAACTCCAATTGATAACAATGTAGGTAGCCTAGCTGGATGGAAAGGCTCTTGTTGCCGTTGTGGTGTCGAAGCAGTTCTTCACACCACGACAGGACGCATGAAGGTATTCTCTCAATGTAGCGAAGGACGACACATTTCCTTCTCCCTCTCTGAATTCAGTGTTTCAATCGCATGAAAAACGTGTCTAGAATCGGACTCAGCGCTAGGCAATATGTTTTAGGATTGTGGCTGTCTCATGCAGTGGCGTACACACTACTACGGGACGGCACGTCCTGCTCGGTACTACCGTGTCATAGCTTGCGAACCAGTCCTTTCAAACAATTGACAATGACCACCGGCACCCCAATACAGGTCCAGGCAGCAATTGGCCAAATTCTATCCCACCCAATGTTTGCACTGCCCCAAGTCTGCCTTGCATGCATGTGTGTGGCACGGTGATACCACCGTGCGTCATCCGCTCAATGCGCCCAGCACTTATTAGATAGCAATGCCTCAGGACTGTTGACTTCTCGCCCTCTAACAGCTCACAAATAGCATTAGGCTACAGCGATACAAGGGGCCTTTTCTTTATGGTGGTTTGTTGCCGCTGCGGCGTCATGCACGTAGCCTCCGCGCCGCATACGATGGATTTGTTTGTTGCCCCAGGCTGTGAAAGTAACTTCTATATCAACTGCATATAGAATCAATGTAATCCTTTTATCATCCAGCAACTCTCAAAGTAGCACAATCTCTGTACTCACGAAACTAGTAGTGTACCGACACCGCACTTCACCATGGCCCCTCAGCGTCCCCGCCAGCTTCGTGAGTATTACCACCCTACGACCCCAGAATCCCAACTAAACCATCCCAAGCCACTCCCTCCCCCACCCCCTCTCCAGGCCCGCACAAATCCAACTCCGGCGGCACCTGGTTCTCGCAATTCGCCCCCTTCGCCTACGATCCCACTGCGGGTCTAAAATCCAACTTCGAGCGCCTCGCCAACACGCGAAACTGGGGTAACAAACTCAGACACAAGCGCTGGCACCAATGCCAAGCCGCGGAGTTCGATGCTGCGTATGGGAAGGATATATCGAAGTTGGAGTCGTGGCAGGCGCTTTGTCGCGAGGTGCTTATTGATGAGGTGCCGGGCAGTATTAGGCAGTGCAAAGCGGTACGTCAACCTTCGTCGCTCTCTCAAGAAGATACGAGCTATTTGTGGTGGGTGTTTGGGCTAATGCGGTATTCACAGGTTCTCGGAAGCAGGAATGTACTGGTTAACTTGGTGAATCTGATTGATCATCGCAATATGGGGACGCCGGTGATACGGTTCAAGAGTTACACGGCGTTTAGGAAGTATACGACTGATGGAAGGATTTTTCCCAAGGAGAAGGCGAAGGAGGAGGGGTTTATTAGGGCGCTTTTGAGGACGCTTTAGTTGGGGTTGGAGGTTCTGTATATGTAGCAAGCTACTAAATTGTTATTTAAGCGGCACTTTAAGTGCTTATTTATGCGTTTGGTCTTGAAAAAAGTCGACCAACTACTTCAAGGCGCTCAAGCCTCCGAAGACCATTAGGTATTTCAAGGAAAGGAATCTCCTCCAACTTGGGCTTGATTAGCCCAGAAGCAATCAAATCTAGTACCTTGCGATATTCAGCCATTGTAGACCCTACCGATTCACGAAGGGTGAGATTGCGCGACATCAAGGTATTGGTAGATAATTCGAAGGTTGGCACCCCGACTCCAACTAATACTACCATCCCAGATGATCGGACTCTTCGCAAAGCATCCTAAGTTGTTGTTCCAACCCCAGCAAAGTCGACTACAACATCTATGATGACTTCAGAAGGGATATCGTCGAGTTTCTTGAAGCATGCTTTTGCGCCAAAGGCAGTAGCATCAGCAAACTTTTTGTCATCGATATCCACACCCAATACTGTAGCGCCTTCGATTGAAGCTATGCGGACCCCACTCAGTCCTAGCCCTCCGAGTCCGACAATCGCCACCGTTGTAGATCCAGTTATAGCCGCTTCCGTGATGACAGCGTGGTAGGCAGTTGAAATGGAGTCATTCGCGACAGTAGCCTCAGCAAAGCCGACTTTCTCAGGAAGCGGTACTAGGACTGTAGCGGGTACTAAGACCTTTTCTGCAAACCCGCCGTCTCTACCAATACCAATGACATTTGTCAAATCGGCATCTTTAGGAAGAAGAGCCACCCCAACTCGATCACCGATCTTGAACCCGACCACATCCGGTCCAACCTCTTCCACTATACCCGCAACCTCATGTCCGAGTGTGATTGGCAACTTAGACATCCAGCCACTTCCCTGACCGTGTAGTACATGCAAATCAGAGTGACAGATACCGGCGGCCTCAACACGGACTACCACCTCTCCGGGTGAGGGACTCGGAGGGGGCACTTGTTGCAAGCATAGGCCTTGATCGACGGTTTCAAATCGGAACGCTTTCATGATATTGATTTTCGAAAATAGTGAGTAAGCAAGTACGTACAAGGAAGACTCCAACTTAAGTCGTCTAGTACTTGACAGGACGCTTTATACTATTTCGGCTATGTTCGGAAGTTCTCATGTCATGTAGAATGCTACACTGAGGAGAACCTACCAGCATATGCCTCGGCAGAGAAGTCTCTCTGCTTTAACCTTGTCACAGTATAGTGCACCTCGTATATTTGTGCTATTCTATTTTTATTAACACAAATGCGTTTAGGCGAAGACAAGAATCAGCCTAATATTCTTGACTATCAGTTATTTCTTATGTTACTCCAAGAGACGAGAATAACTCGAGGAGACGCCGTTTCGGTTAATCTGTCAAGAATCTCTCATAAACAGTGAGTTGCAAGAGAACATATTCAATGAGATTGGTAATAGTGATAGGCGGACAAACAGTACAACTAAAGAGGCCTAGTGTCCGCATACCTCCGATGCCACTTGTAACCAATGGCTAACAAAATTATTGGTCGTCTATCTATTTGTACTAGCTTAGAATGTAGAGAGCGAGTCATTCGTATGTAGCTAATCATGCGTTTTCTTTGGATTGCAGGTCTCACTGTGCATGCATGTTTTTGATAGCTTTCTCTATTTGGTTGAGGTATGCAGTCCAGGATAAAAGTATTATCTTTGGCATCCATACTAAGCAATTGAATCGTTCATTCTAGCCAACCTCTTACCCGAAGAACTTTTCTTGGGTGCTCTCCACATGGATTCGCTCTCTAATCTGCTCAACCGAGGCACTAATACAACATGCCCCGATTATGTCGCGCCATACATCGCTGGTGTTGTAGTGGGACGCAGTGGTATATATTGTGCTGTGCTAGCATTGAAAACTCTATTCAATCAGTACAAAAGGCTAACACCAACCATTAGGAAAGATCCTCTGGAAGTGTTCCAGTAGTAGTTTACCAGATGCCAAGCTACCCACAGTGGACTCTATTTGCTGGCTAGCATCCTAATCCAAACTCATAACTACTGTGGCAGCTTTGCAGATGGTTGAAAAGGGTCTTATCGGCCTTGATGACGACGTTACTGAAATTCTTCTGGACCTCGCTTCCTTGGAGGTATTAGACGGTGGGGAACCTATCGATGGCATTCCGACAACTAAGCCGAGGAAAACGAAGATTACTCTGAGGTAGGAAACATCGTTCTTTGTTCCCCAAATTTAGGTGTTGTGGCAATGAGTGATGCTTTGGATTGGACTTTTATTGTCCCATCAGAGTGGAGTTGGCTACGAAACTATGCCTAGTAGCGTTGCCAGATGGGCCGTAAATACAGGCTTAATACTACTCTGGACTCGACACAGGTAAGTTGTACAAAACACTTATGCCCGCTAAAATCTATTAATACTAAACCTGAAGCCTAGATATCAATGAAGAAATGCCCTCTTGCCTTTGAGCCTGGCTCTAGCTGGTCATATGGTGCAGGAATTGACTGGGCTGGTGAATTAGTTAGTCAGCACTCGCTCTTCATGTTCAATAACTATCACTGACCCCTCAATTTATTAGGTTGCTCGACTTGGTGAAATAAGTCTGGAAGAGTACTATCGAACGAATATCTGGGACCCGCTAGGAATGACCAGGACTACTTACCATCCGATCAAGTTCCGAAAATGACATGGTCCCAACCTATAGTCGGAATGAGAACGACATGCTGCAGCCTCAAGCGTTTCCAGTACCGCTCGAGCCTGAACGTGAGATTGCCGGCCATGAAATATGGGGCACCATGAGTAACTATGCAAAGCTGCTCGGTGCCCTTCTTGATGGTGGGTCTCTAGTTTTGGGCCAAGAGTTGGTAGACGAGATCTTCACGCCCCAGGAAACGAATACCAATGCACTGAATTCTACGATACAAGGACCGTACAAACCCGCTTTGGGGCCATTGATTCCAGCATCCGAAACAGTACACCACGGCTTAGCTGGTCTGATCAATGTTAGCGATTTTCCCGGGCGCAGGAAATCCGGGACATTACAGTGGTCAGGCATGCCCAATCTGTTTTGGGTAAGCTTTTTTGCTTTCAATTTCAGTGATTCGTATTGCAATTTGCGATTCCTAAAAGTTCAAGCTAACGAGGTTTCAATGGATTGACCGAGAATCAGGAGTCACTGCTACTATTTTCATGCAATTACTTCCTAACGGAGACCCTAAATGTGTTGCCTTTGCGCAACGATTCGAAAAATCTGTATATAGGGTCTTATATGAGATGTCTTAGATGTATGGTGCGATCCGATGCATTCGCTCGCACTTTTAAACAATACTCGATGCTTAAATTATGGACGTACGCTAAGTTTTGTGCATTGAATTGATCAAAGGAAATGACCCGCCCCTATATGAATTGGTTAGTTTGCGCAAAGCTTGAAATCGGTTTAGGACAAAAACAACATTATCGACTTTCGCAAAGTTTTGTCTATGGATGCGTCTACCACATATAAGTGTTACCTCACTTTGTTTTCCAACTATATCAGACATCGTTTCGATATAGTACATACAGAGTAGATAGCTTAGAGTTTTGAAAATCAGTGCTTTACATTGAGTGAGTTTCCCCACGCTGGCACAGGTGTTTAACCACTCACCTGAGCCACAGCGTGGACAACGTGCCTAAAAGTTCGCATAGCACCAGGCACATGCGTAGAAACAATTTTATAATTTTGAAATTTCATAAAATATTTGGAGAGGTCAAGAACCGAACTTGCGTTAGCTTGTATTTCCTATGCACTTGGATGACAAAGACCCACGGTATTGCGCGATACCTCACATACTTACCACGTCCAAGCTTTCAATTTGGTAACCTTGGCTCGCTCTAAAGCACACCCAAGTACGTTTTCTGGAGCTATTCTATTTCATCTACATCGATACTTCATTATATCGTTATTCTTGACACATCGCTTTCTCTTTGTCATGATTTCATTTGTCATCGACCTAGCCCATTTGATTACCCATAATATCACATTGCAGTTGAGTCAATATCTATACCTTCTCATGAACGCTATGCCTATACACAACATTTTCTGGCTACTTCTCATTCAAACTCCAATCTTCCTAAGAAACTTATCGGTTTTGCGAAAACATGTCGGCAACCGTTCCAGCAATTGACATCATCATGTCTTATTTTTTGCTTCAAAAGCATTTGTAGTCACAGGAGGGGCGAGCGGAATTGGCCTTAGTACCGTATTGAAGTTGGCTAGCTAGGGAGCTACTGTTCACGCCGTTGACTTGGCTACTTCATGCCCTCCCATACTCAAACGCGAGAAAGTTTATTACCATGGATCGACGAATGTATCTTCTAGAACGGATGTATCAAGGGCATTTCAAAATGTTTACAAACATAGCCCAGAGGTGTACGGACTAGTCACCAGTGCAGGCATCTGTCCTTCAAGCGGAGTACGGATCGAGAGCGACCAGACTTTTAAGAACATAGTGGACGTCAACTTGATTGGTAATTGGAACTGCGCTACAGAACTCTTAAGATGCATAGAGGCGTCTGATGATGGCTCATTGAAGTCAGATCGAGCAAGTCTTGTATTGATCGGCTCAAGCGCATCACTTAAAGGCTTCCCAACTCTTGGTGGATATGCTGCGAGCAAGCATGCTGTAGTGGGACTGACAAGAGTGTGGTCAGAGGACTTTGCTCCTTTTGGAGTGCGTGTCAATCTTGTTGCGCCAGGTGGAAGGTGCTTCATTTTGCGAGGATTGCTAAGTCATATACTATGTGTAGACGAGAGCGTAATCGTTTGTCGCAGCGTTCTTTTCGAGAAAGAAGACTTGCTTACGTCAACGATCTGGAAGAAGCAACTAAGAGAGCTGCTCAGACAGAAAGTGAGCGTAATAAGATGCTCATAAATGAGAATACTGAGCTCCGCAATGCCTACTTGAAATTGCGCAGAAAGCTGTTGGGAGTCCTTTGCACCATTCAAGAGGTCAGTAACGAAGCTTACTCCTGGCCCTGGTGTAATCCTTCAACAACCAGGAGGGAAGTCTGGAACAATAGCTTTGAATACTTCCAGTTTTTTTCGACAGCTTTTCCTTCATATGCGCTTTACAGATGTCGAAGAGCTGCTTTGCACCTTCAGTGTCCTTGTACAAGGCCTCAACTGGACAGTTCAGTAAATCTTCTACTGTTCGACGATATTCTCGGTAAGCTGCGGGGTCGTTTTTGAACCGCTCAAGATCTTCGAGAGGCGTTTTCGCTTGAGAATTAATATGTTAGTTTTGCCTCCTTGAGTTGGAAGCTTTTCAGCTGCCCTCAAATTACGATCTCCTCCCCTCTGGGCTAATCCTTCACCTCCAATTTCAGCTGTTGGGATCCAAGTTCGGCCTTTCATGTAATGGTGGACAACTTTTGCTTGTTTCTGAATTTGTGGCAATATCTGAATACCAGAGGAGCCACCGCCAATCAAAGCGACACGTTTCCCTTGGAGATCAAGATCGTCAGGATAGGCGGCTGAATGCACTAGAACTCCCTTGAAGTCATACAGTCCTGGAATTTCAGGCCACTTCCATGCGTTCAGAATACCTACAGCAGAAATGAGAACTTCTGCAGTGTCTATTATAGTCTAGATGACTTGAATGTTAGATTCAGCCTTCTTCGGGTTGAAGGAGAGGCTTACCGTTCCATTACGGATATCGTCCACAAACACCGACCATTTCCCTGACACATCATCCCACACTGCCTTTCGTACTTGTTGATTGAACTTCATGAACTGCTCCGCTTGATATTCCGTGCTGACTCGCTTGAGGTAATCCTAAATCTCAGCGCCTCCGGCATAATAACTACTCCATTGTGTATTTTCTTCGAAGGTAAATTGATAGGTGTGAGAGGGAATATCGCATGCTAGTCCAGGATATCTATGTCTGGTTAAGCCTGTTGCAAGCCATGAGCGGTCAGTGCCCGTACCTATTCTCAAACCAAGTGCCTCCGATATCAGCATTTTTTTCGTAAATGACAAGCTCTATGTTCTCGATGAATCGAGGTAATAATATGGAAAGAAGCAATCCCGATATTCCTGCTCCAATAATGATTACTTTTATGGGCCTAAGGACATCGATAGGCTTGGTACCCGGCTCGTTTAGATCAGACCTAGCCCATACAGTGCCTGCATCCACCATTTCCTTCTTCAGGCGAAACATCTTGATCGATGCAAAGTTTGCGACAACTTGAACGGATGACCTAGTACGAAAGATCCTCAAGAAAAGAACCCCGATCTAAGTACTGCTTGATCGTCGTCGATACTGGAGGGGACGGTGGGGACTGCATAACAGCTATCGCTTGGTGTTCTGTCGGTGGCTTGGCGGTGACAAACAGAACTATGACAACTGTCTGTGACATGCTAAACTATGTGTAATAACGATATTTGTCACTTCGAATACGCGTCACTATTTGCCTATGGAGCGCTATCTCGGCCGTCTCAGCCAGCTTACTACAAAGGTACAGCTTAAGATTGCCCACATGCTATCCCCTCGAAACAACGTGACATTATCCTACAAGTCTTCCACACCCGAAGCGACATCTGCGCGTAAAATTCAACATGACGCACAACTTCGCAACAAATCAAAATCAAGTTTACGAATCATCTGACAATGAGAATGTTATAGTAAAGAATTGGATGTGGTTTGTCGGATGCATTGTGTTTGGAATCTTCACTATCAAGTTGCTTGAAGTTGGGAGTAGGCCGAACGGTTACCCTCCTGGTGTGTACCGGGCAAGCCCATTGGTTTTCAAATAGTAGTGCTGATCATCACCAGGTCCACCGACAATTCCTATACTAGGCAACCTTCATCAGTTTCCCCGAAAGGATTTACATTTGAAATTTCAAGAATCGACAAGAAAATGTGGGTGAAAGAAACATCAATGAAGTTGGAAGAATATCTGCGCTAATCAATAAATCAGATGGACCTCTCGTGTCGCTCAAAATGGGTACTCAGACAATGATTCTTTGTGGCTCAGACGAAGTAGTCAAAGAACTTATGGAAAAGCGAAGTGCTACTAGCTCTCTCAAGATAGACATGTTTATCCGTACTTTCGGTGATAATCTTAACATAGCTCTTCGAGAGTAGGTCCATATTGCAAGGGTTTCAGAAGCATTGTACTAACAGTATAGCAATGATGGAATTTGGAAAAAACAGCGGAAGATGTATGCCACGCGGCTCAATTCGGGAGGTGCAAATAACTACATACCTTACCAGGTAATTATAATTCTCTGGAGAAAGAAATGGTAGTCTTCTAATATCTGGACAGGAGTTTGAAAGTTTACACCTTCTTCATAAATTGAAATCTGAGCCAGATAATTTTCAAGGCCTTGTAACACACTATACTACCAGCATCGCATCAGCTATAGTTTACTGGCGAAGGATCCCTTCAGCCGATGATTGAGGAATCAAGACATTAATCGAGGTTAGACCAAACTTTGGGTTGTTGAATCAATGAAAGACTGCTCATATTGTAAACAGTGGTTTGATAGGACAACCGCACTAAGTGGGAAGCTACAGCTGGCTGATTGGTATCCTATCCTCCGCCCCTTATTTCATGTTCTGTCTAAAGCCCTTAATCCCATTAAGCGCAAGGTTGAAGAGCTGGAAGAAATGGAGACGCAGATGTGGATCCGCCATACTACTGTAGCGAGTCCTGATAGATTCCGGAAAGTCGAACGCAAGTAAGAAGTCCTTTGGTCAAGCTCATCTGGATATTTTGTATTCTGATACGTGTCTAGGCTTTGTTCGCGACCTTCAAGACAGGGCTGCAAATGAGAAAGACCGACTAACAGAAAAAGAAATTTTGTTTAGTGCAGGACATGCATACGCTGCTGGGAAGCCAATACCAATCGACCGAGATGCCATAATCCCGGCCTTAGTCACGGGACCAAAACCATTCCAGTTTGTATTCCCTCGATTTAGACCCACTGGATTTAACTAATGATTTTAGATGTAACATTGAGCCTCGAGATCCAGACCGTGTACTGATGTTTGAAGATGCATGGGAGTCGAGCCAGAAAGAGATCGACAGCGAGGGTCATTTCAATGATATATTCTTTGAAAAGTTCACTGTAAAGAAGACTGTATAGAACTGTATTCGACTAGAGAATTCAATACAGGAAGGATCTAGTGATCTATTCACTACCGATAATGGATCCTAAGTTTGGCAGATACGCTATCTGTACCGCCATCATGTGTGATGTACAGCCATTACGAAAGACGCAAATCCAGACAGTGAGAGAGTTTTATAGTAAGCAGTGGCTGCTAATCTTTGGCTACCCAGATTGGGAATCCAAGAACGATGTTAGGTGGCCCATTCACTATTAAAGAGCTTTTGCAAATAAGAGTGAGATAAGAGCGAAGGATTGCAAGATGACGTGACGGGTCATCTGGAATGCTCTGTCAAATCCCATCTGACCACAGTTGCTGCGACACTGCAGTGTCCAGACGATTCCCAAGCACCCGGAAGCATTCTGCACCTCTCGCAGCAAATTTGTGTGACGAGATACAAAACACGCATCCTCAACGAAGCACGATGGTGACGGAAGCCAGGAAAAAGCAACCTCTTAAAGCGATCGAGGCTGGAATAAACTCCGGCATTCTGCGGGATTTGCATAAAACGAGTCATTTAACCATACGTTACCCAACCCCGTACTATCCATTTCCGCTCACAATGATGCCATCGCCCATCCAGAAGCAGTGTGCGGCATATTCAGGGAACTCCACACCGCAAACGCCCCCAATCTCGTGTAAGACGCAAACCCCCCCCCCCCCCCTCCCCCCAAAGCTCGCAAATCTAGACATGCGTGTCGCCAGACAAACGCATGTGAAGTAAGAGCTAGCCGACAGCAAGCATGGAGATCTTTGCTCTTCCCAGCCATAGCGCTACTTTGTGTCTCGCTTTACCGAGCCACATGCTCCTCCCCCCAATCCACACTTTGATATTCCCATTTTTATACCCCGCTTTCTTACCCACAGCCAGGGGCGCACTATCGTCGATCGTATATCAAACGAGGCGATCCCCCAACCATGCGTCACCTTGCGTCCCTGCAGAAGGCACTGCCCGCGCACCCTGACTTACTGCTGGACCCTTAGATCGCCGCGTAGTAAAATAAGTAAAAGAGCGATATTTGCCTTCCCCCCTCCCCCCAAAAATTCACAATGTATAGCTATAGCTTAATCGCATTTCTTTTACTGTTGCCTTCATGATCACTACAATGCAGCAAGAAAACGAGTCCCTAAAACTCCCAGACGGGCGCAAGCTCTCCTACGCCATCTACGGCAGTCCCGTGCCTCAACGCACCATCATCTACCTGCACGGCTACCCCTCGTCGCGCTACGAAGGCAAGCTCTGGCACTCCAGCTGCGCAACACACAACATCAGGCTTATTGCGCCCGACCGGCCGGGTACCGGTCTCTCGACTTTCCAGCATAACCGCCGCATACTCGACTTTCCAGCCGACATCCTCGCTCTGACCGAACACCTTAAAATTCATCAGTTCTACGTGCTAGGTGTAGCGGAGGGCGCGCCGTACGCACTGGCGTGTATAAAAGAGATTCCGAAAGAGAGGCTGCTCGGCGCGAGTATAGTGGGTGGGTTGTACCCCGTCAAGCTAGGTACATCCGGTATGATACTACCTTCGCGAATCGTACTCTGGATAGCGCCGTGGATGACGAGTCTTACCGCCGCGCTGTTTGATAATAAGATGGGCAAGCCGAGTCGGAATGAAGATCCCCGCGTTTTCGAAGATGCGTTGTCACGAGAGGTCGAGAATTGGCATCCGGGGGATCAGAAGGCGATTCGGTGTCCGAATGTTTGGCCAACGTTTGTGGCGATGACCAAGGAGTCGTTTCATCAGGGGAGTGAGGGCGTGGGGTGGGAGGCCAGGCTTAATGGGAGTGAGTGGGGGTTTGAACTTGCGCATGTGCATGTTGGGGAGGGGGAGGTGCCGTTGACGCTTTGGCATGGGAAGGATGATAGGAATTCGCCGGTTGGGATGGTAGAGAGGGCGAAGAAGCATTTACCAGGTTGTGTGTTGCGGGTGAAGGAGGGGGAGGGTCATTTTGGTTTCATTTTTCGCGATGCAGATGAGATCCTGGAAGACTTGGTAAAAAGGGAGGGGAAGGAAGAGAAGGAAGAGTTCATGATGGTAAGTGTTACGCAGGTGTATGAGTAGGTTATGGTTCTTCTTCCCATTCTAGAGTCTATTTCTGTAGCTTCTTTATTGATGATACTCTAGATGTGCGACTGTGGTGATGAGTGGTAGCCATGGGACAGAGCTTGGAAGGGTCTGGCTCTACCATATCTGCTGGTAATATCGAAGACGATTGTAATTATGCACACGATACATCATTACGAATGCCTTTTCTATATGTGAACATGAGCAATACATATAGAAGACGGCACATCCCAAGCCATAGCCCACACAACCAATAGTAAGCACGCGATATGAACAGATTTCAGGTACTCAAATAATTAATTCGTCTCGGATACTAATACTAGCCAGTCTTCGAAGACCAGAAAAAGCGAATGCAAAGAATGGTATCATGCAGGGAGATCCTAAACGCCAAAGCCTCCCAGATAATTTGTAAAAAAGAAGAAAAAGAAGAGGTCTAGCCTCATGCAATACTTGCGCGCTCACAGCTTGCCAACATTCCTGGTGATCATTACCACCACACCTGCAACAACCTTGATCACGATCTTGAGCACAAAGACAACAGACTTGAACGCGAACGTCAAGACGGTGATAACAGCTCTCGCTACAAAGGAGAGTTTGCTATCATCATCCTGCGAGCCCTTTGCCTTCTTCGCCTTCTTCTCCGCTTTTGTTTCCTTGGTCTTAGTATGCTTGTCCTGCTGTCCATACCACTCTCCAAGTTCGATGTCTTTGTCGAAACTTCCGCTAGTACTCTCGCTGCGCGGTGTCCCAGTCGTGCTCTTCAAGCTTGATGCGAATTTCTTAAGTCCCTTGCTAGAGAACGGGGGTTTAGTCTTTGTACCACCGATTCCCTGGAAGCCCTCGACAAAAGAGTCTTTGAACGCTTTCGCCGTGTCTTCTTTTTGGTGGGTCAGGGTGAAACTTGGGGGTGGCGGCTCGAAGCTATCTTGGCTCCTGTTGCGGGCTTTGCGGCCACGGGTTGCTTCTGCAACGGCAACAGCGAGGAGTGTGGATGTTACCACGTCGACGAGGAACGGGTTTCCGAATCGTGTCAGGGCACCAAAGTTGAGGATGAGCGCGTCGTTAGTGAAGTCAAGACGGGCTAGCATGGCGTCGTCCGCTGTAGCGTCGGTGGTTGTGGGGAGCTGGCCCACAGACATCTCAGATGGTGTCATGGAAGTTGGGCGAATCACGCCATCGAATCGTGGTGGAGGCGGTAGCGGTGAGAAAGCATTGGTCCGTGGCGTTGTTGGGGAAAGGACGTATGGATTCAGGACGGTGATAGCAGCGGGCTTTCGTGCTATGTTTTGTGCAGTCATGGACATGTTGTGTCCGTAGAAAGCTGTTACAGGTCGTGTCGACGGCATGTTGATGACAGAACAATCGCCCTCAATAGATATGGGGAAATTACCAAGCGTTGGGTGGTGCAGCTGGTATGAACCCTCTGATGGTATGTGCTGAGCCCAAGGATTTGCCTGCTGTTGCGGGTGATCCCTCGTCCATGCGAGAGCACAGCATTCACGCTGTGCACTTTCTGCAAGGACGCCTTCAGCCAATCTCTGTGCAGCTGGTGACTGGGCACCGGGGTCAGACAACGCAAGGTGAGAAGCGGACGGCGAATTAGCCGCAGCATCAAGTGCTTGGAGAGCAGCGAGTTTAGGATATATACTAGTAAGGAGGGTTGTGTCTTCTTGCTGAGCAGGATTGAATGTTCCGTTATCCAGTGAGGGGGGTGCGATCAGATCGAGCTGAGCAATGGGCAGTACTCGCGGCTGAGTGGGATGGTGCCTCTGGATTAGAACCTCATTCATGATACTCGGTATTTCGTGGTTGCCAGCGAGGTTCGATTGTGCCATAGAGTAGAATGGGAGAGAAGGCGTTGTTCCAAAAGTAATCGTGGGATTCGCTGCCGTTGCTCGGTGCATTCTCAATGTATAGATCTGCACGCTTGGCTCTTCCTGACCATTGGTTGCTAACCACATGTTGTCCAGCAGATTCGAAGGAGTGAAGAACGGCTTTGGTGGTGGGGGAGGTATCGAACTGCTTGTGTGGACATTGCTGTGTGGAACATACGATTCTGACGAGTATGGCGATCGGCTGATTTGCGTCCGTGGGATCTGGGTCGTCGGTGATGCTTGTGTGGGCTGGTACGGTTGCCGTGAAAGAGGGACAGTAGGATCGTAGACTGGGAACATTGATCGCATTGGTATCTCTTCTTGAGGCGATGCGCATCGTACTCTTGTAGCAGAGCTATTCGCTCGTACTAGAGTCTGGGCTTCCGAGAACGCAGGAGAGACTGCGCGGTTTAAATCTGGGCTGGTTGTGTATTGGAGGTCGTCAATGTAGTTGTTCTGTGGGGGCGATACTGGTGAAACAATGCGGGCATCTTGTTGGCGATAGAAACTCTCTTGTCGGTCCATCTGTAACGAAGGAGCTCTTCGTTGTGAAGGCGATTCGAAATGTGTTCTGCTAACTGGAGCAGGCACTCTTGGGGCTTGAGAGTTTGGCAAATGTGCCTGGGGTGGAGCTGGGATTGATGGTGGGGATGCCATTTGGAGGGACGGAGAGGCTGGCGGTGGATTGACCTGAATGACGAGTTCGTGGAAGTCGCTTGGAGGCTGCGTTGCCTTTGCACTCTCTGTTGACGGAGTTTCTGGAACAGAGCTTTTTACAACAGGCGACGGCTTATTGTTTGGGCTCGGTTGTCTTGGAGCACGGGGTGGAGGAAAGAGTTGAAATGCGGGTCCTGCCATGATGAATGTCCAGCACTCTACTTTTTAAGAGAAGGAATTGGCTCGAAATGACTGGCGAGACCAAATGGAACAGGTGCTGGCTGTGTAGGGAAACAAAGACTCGTCACAGGCGGAGTACAACTAGACGTGTCGGGTAATCTGGGGATAACGACTATAAGACGAAACACACAGCGACGCCCTGTGAGCCAGGGCAAAGGCCATAGGAATGCATCTAGGGCAATAGCGGTAGACTGACATTTCCCATGCAGAAAACTACCCCATGCAGCGAGGAGGTTGTCAGACGGGCCCAATCAAGAGGTGTGTAAGGCTCGGCGCTACTCATCAGTTGATGAGCGGCGGTTATATTTTGGGTGGTTGGCTGATTGTTGCTGCTAAGCGCCAACGCTTTCCACTCGCTACACCCCCTACCACCCTAGCTCGAGATCTTACCATGGCTGCATGACACTGTGATTGGCTGTCGACGTGTGCCCACCCTGCGTAGTATGGGTAGCCTATGCAGGTGACAAGAGGCCAGTCCGGCGGCCCGCTGCAAGTCGGGGATCTATTTCGAGCTCTTGATTGCCTGCCAACGGCACTTTGGCTGTCCTTGGCCGAATGCGGAGAGACATACTGTGGGCGTGTATGTATGTATGTGCTGTCCTGCTTGCTTTTCAGACGTGTAAAGGCTTTGAGGAAAGTGGCCCGGTACATGCAGATTCACACGTAAATTCTCAACGCGATAGTATCTGCAGTACCGACGGGCAACAGCCACGGAAGCTGCAAATGGTACTGAGACGGTACAAGCTCTTCGTCGTGGGCGGCAAGGCCAGCAAGCCTATATGCACCGTCGGAGAGCACGCAGCCGCCCTAACATGCGGCCCGGTTGGACCAAGACACAACGGCGGAGCTTATCGCAAAATCCCGCAGAGGGTACCTGTCTCCGGATAACTGATCATCATATGTGGAGTTGCGCATTGGTGAATGCAGCGCTTGGCTTTTGGGGTAGTTTGTGACGGCACCCTGCCTGTGCAGTCCGCAAACGGGCCGGGTAGTGTGCTGTTGCGAGCATCCAAGACACTACAAATTATAGTTTAGTAGCACAATCAGGTCATTTCTGGTCAAGAATAGGTCGGGGCAATATGGGATTAGATGAATGCACATGCGACTGATGACACGTGAGGGGAGAGGAAAGGGAGGGGAAGGTGCAAGGCGTGCGCTAGTGCCTATCGATAACCTTAATCTGTGTCTAAGCGAGAAAAAGTTGGGTGTTCGTCATCGCTCACGACAGCAGAGAAAAGCCACAGTCACAGTCAAGATGCCGTCAGAATTAGAAGAGGTGAGCAAAGATCGCACGAGGACTTGGCTCGTATCTATTCTAACATATCTTGTCTAGCTAGTCGAATTCCTGCACCACGGCAACACGCAGATCAGACAGACTGGTCAGAGCAGCCCCTCCACCCCACCACGAGACGCTGCTTACACCATGCAGCGGCCGAACATCTTGTCGGATACTCGCAATCAAACCCGACCCTCTGGAAACGTAATCAACTAGAGCCCATCAAGGATCTCAAGCTCCTTGTCAAGGATTATGCGCCCATCGCGAAGAATGCACTGACCATCCTCATCAACGTCTCCGCCGACGCAGAAGTCCAAAAGGCACTTGCAAAGGATGACGAGTTTCTTGAGACCTTACTGTCGCGGATAACCGTATGTCAGTTCCCCGTCCAGTCAGCGTAGACACTAGTCACTGACCTGTTGTAGAACGCCAAAGAACCAAATGCGAACGAAATCGCAATGCTACTCGCCAACATGGCCAAGGACGACTCTCTACAAAGGGTGCTGGAATTGAAGCGCGACGTCCCAAAGGAGTTGTCCAAGTCTGCTTGGGCAATGGACCAGCTTATGGACTGCTTTGTCAAGGGCGCACAGGGCGCATACAACAAGAACGCAGACTTCGACTACCTGTCGTATTTCTTCGCTGACTTGGCCAAGTTTCCCAAGGGGCGCGAGTATCTAACCTCGCCCCAAGAGCACGATGACAACGTCATTCCTATCACCAAGATTCAGGTGTTTACAGATCATGCCTCACATATCCGACGCCTTGGTGTCGCCTCGACAATCAAGAACGTCGCATTCCTCGTACCAGCGCATCCAGTCCTACTATCGAACCTATCGCCGGATCCAAATCTACCGCCACCTTCGATAGGCGCGAACCTCCTACCCTACATCCTCCTCCCGCTCATGGGGCCAGAGGAGTATGCAGACGAAGACACAGAGGGTATGCTCGACGAATTACAGCTGCTAGAGCCCGACAAGGAACGAGAAAAGGATAATCAGATCATCAAGACTCATTTGGAGACACTGCTATTACTGAGTACCACCAAGGAAAGCAGAGAAGTCCTCAGACGTGTCAAGGTGTACCCCATCGTTCGGGAGTGCCACTTGCACGTAGACGATGAGGAAGTGCGTGAGGCATGCGACCGCGTAGTTCAAGTGATTATGCGTAAAGAGGAGGGTGAAGAGGAGGATATACCAGACATGGCTAGCGCTGGTGGTAGTGGGAAGATGATAGAAATGGGTAATGCCGAAGAAGACGAGGACGAGCAAATTATCGACATTGTCTAGGCGTACGATGACAAGTAGAATACCAAAAAGGCACCATATTCCTGCTGATCATGTCCCCTTGTGTCGACACGGTGCCTTAGCGTCCTCTATTTGATTGGCCGCGATACCGGCTATCGCAACAACGGTCTTCTAAACTCCGGACTCTTCATAGATACAAATAGGTGCTTGTGCTCGCTGAAACCAATGCCCGACGCGGTTCCCGAGGATTCCGTCATCGATTAACGGTGCATTAGTAACCCGCGAACTGCTTTCGGAATTGTTCCGCTTTGATACCTTCTTTCTTCTTCATCACATTTCGCCTATTAGTACCTCTAATTCGCGCGCATACAGAACAAGCAAAAGCTGTGGCATGTGCGCCAAAATAAGCTCGTCATCGGATAAATCACCGAACCAACACGGCGGGGCAGGGAGTATGGCACCGTCGACCAATAGGATTGGCGTAGCTCAGACAATGCCGGCGACATCAAACTCTATGTCACGGGCAAGCGACGGTGTGGGCACAGTGAAAGGAGATGCTTTTGAAAATGGAAAAGAGCAGTTGAGAATATCGCCATGGAGAAAGGCCTGGGAAATTCTGAATTGGACGCCGCCGAATTGCCGTTGGGATCCTAAGAAGCCGCCGCAATTTTCTATGAGCAGTACGTTGTTTTTTTTCTGCGTTCATGCATGACCGTTGGTCTATCTCTTTTTTATCTTTTCTTGAAATCACATTCAAACAGCATGAGGGTAAAGAGTTGTGTTATGGTACAAATCAGAACATAACTTCTCATCTGCCATGACCACGTTCTGACAACACATCAGTGAACGTTCTTTTTGCCTTTGCCGCTGGCTTCACAGTCGCAAACCTCTACTACAACCATCCTATTCTCAATCTCTTCGCTAGAGACTTTGGCGTACGGTATGAACAGGTAGCGCAGATTCCCACAGTCATGCAAGCAGGATACGCAACGGGACTACTATTCCTATGTCCGTTGGGGGACTTGCTTCCAAGAAGACCTTTTGTATGCGGTTTAGTAGCATTCACAGCAGCATTGTGGTACGTCTACGACCCTACGTTCCTTATGTTACCTCAAGCTGATTAACGACAACTATTCAGGTTGATACTCTGCTTAACAAACGACCTGGGAACCTTCACCGCAATATCCTTCATCGTAGCCATCACAACCGTAACCCCTCAACTCATGCTCCCTCTAGTCGGCGACCTCGCGCCGCCCTCCCGCCGCGCTGCTGCCCTCTCAATCGTCGTATCTGGCCTGATGCTCGGCGTGCTCGTCGCCCGTGTACTCTCCGGTACCATATCTAATTACACGACCTGGCGCGCAGTCTACTGGATGGCACTTGCCCTGCAATACACGATCTTCGTCTTGCTCTGGCTCTTCATGCCAGATTATCCTGCTACAAATCGCGGCATGAACTACTTTCGCATCCTATTCGACATTGTAAAGATGCCACGCAAGCACCCAGTCCTCGTGCAAGCTTGTCTCACAGGCCTCTTTACCAGCGCACCCTTTACATCCTTCTGGACAACGCTAACATTCCTACTCGCCGGCAAACCATTCCACTACTCCTCCCTTACAATTGGTCTCTTCGGCCTCATCGGTATAGCCGGCATGCTCATCTCCCCCATCTACGCCCGCACAGTCACCGATCGCTTCGTCCCGCACTTTTCCGTCTTCTTCGGTCTCTCGTGCTCGCTCGTCGGCGTGTGCCTCGGCACATATATCGGCACATTTACCGTTGCCGGCCCCGTGCTGCAAGCTCTCCTCATGGATTTCGGGAATCAGACCGCGCAGATTGCGAATCGCTCCGCGATCTACAGCGTTGAGCCGAAGCGCCGGAATGGCGTTAATACGGCGTTCATGGTTGCCACGTTTTGTGGGCAGCTAATCGGGACTGCCGCGGGGAACCACGTCTATGCGGCTACGGGATGGATCGGGAGCGGGAGTTTGAGCGTTGGGTTTGTGTGCCTTGCTCTATGCGTTATGTTGGCTAAGGGGCCGTACGAAGACGGGTGGGTGGGGTGGAGTGGCGGGTGGAGTATGAGGAAGAAGGATAGGGATAGTGCGGATGGGAAGACGAAGGATAAGGCGTTGCATGGGCCTGTGGAAGCAGTGGACGACAAAACAGGCGCAAATGAAAAGGTAATGGATGAGCTTACTGCTGAGGAAGGGAGGGGGGGAAATACTACATCAGAAGCGGGTGTGAGTACAGAGGACGAGGAGATACATTCGGCGAGAAAGGAAGAAGTGTAGATAGTAATGCATTTAAGAATTTGATTAATAAAAACTGATGTATACGATGATTCGTGTTTTTGAACTTTGCATTTCCATAATGTGCTTCATCCGAGCATTTCAGTCTGAGAAGAAATATCGCCAACGCATCGTCTATCGCGCATTCTAATGTAAAAAGCTATGATACAAAAAGAAAGCTCTTTTCCTCCTCTAATCGCACGTTGCCTTTTCTTTTTCACTACGCGGGCTTGGGCGCATTCGCCGCGTTCATAAACGCATTGATGTGTTCGTCAGACGGCAGCTTCTCTAGGGGCGTGAGCCAGCTCTTCGCCTTATCGAAGCGGGAAACCGCCTTGACGAGTTTGATGAAAACTTGCGTATTGCTCTTATCGACGCGGCCCTTGAACTTGAGGATGAGATTCTGGATGTTCATGCCTTGAGGTGGGAGTGATTCGTAGATCTCCTTTGCGGAAGGCAGAGAGGGTTTGGATGGGCCAGTAGAGGGACTACCTGCGCGGCTACCGTTTGCGGCGGGGCTGCCTGCGCGACTAGCACCAGGAGTACCGGCGGGCGATCCACCGAGCATGATGCGGTTCTTTTCCTTCTTCTCCTTCTTCCGCTTCTTGCCGGCATCGGTCATCTCGCTATCACTACCAGAGCCTGCGCCCTTGAGATTGCCAAGAGTGGATTTCCGAGATCCGTCAGCCAGCTTTTCGTGGTGCTTCTTCTTGTGCTTCTTACGCGACGATTCATTGCCACTAGCTTCGGAAAGATTGGGAGAACCAGGTCGCTTTTTGCTCTTAGATTCCCCGGGCTTGTGATTGCCTGAGGGAGTGTTGGAGCCCTTGGTGGATGCGCCAGACGGGACATTGCCAGCTTCTGGGGCTTTGCCGTTCTGCTCAGCTGCCTTCTTCTCTGCCTCTTCCTTTGCTTGTTGTCGCTCCGTCTCAGAATCTGTATCCGACTCGCTCTCGGTAAGGTATGGATTTTCAGGGTCGCTGTCGAGATAGTCATATTGTTTCTCGCGCTTGGCTAACGTCTTGCGCGTAATCTTCTCCATGGCTCTCGTCTCCTCAGCAGCCCTGCGCTCTTCTTCCTCCTTTTGCGCTATCAGTTGCTCGTCAGGACGATCCCAAAGGGCTGCTTGCAGCTGGTCACGCTTTAGCTTCTCTGCTGCTTCCTTGACATCTTGCTCTTCACCCTCAAAGAGACCATTGAGTCCTTCTTCATCGTCTGCAAAGTCTTCTTCAAGGTTGAAGTCAATATCATCGGCATCAGCTTCCCGTTTGACAAAGCCAATTGTATCATCGTCAAAACGCTCCCGCTTGATCCGGCCCTCATCATCAGCACCACCGCCCACACGCGTGCGCACTCCGCTGAACATCCTTGCCTCATCTTCAGCCTTCATACGCTGCGCTTGACGTCTCTCAAGCTCTGCAAAAAATCTGGGTCCGCCACTCTCGACCTTGGCCAAGATTTTGTCCACATCATCGCTAGTCGGCTTAATCTTGCCCTTGACATTGAATCTGTACCAGCGCTCCATAGGCGCCATTTGTATGGCCGTATTTGGGTCACCAGGACGTGTGGCTGAGAGCATAACGTGTGTCTCTGACAGCTCCGATTCGTAGGTACCTACCCATGTCTGCTTGTTCTCGTAATCCTCCAAATGCCAGGGCAATGTCTCTTCGTAGCGTAGCAGCTGCCGCTTCTTTGCTTCTGGGGTGTCGTCAGGTCGGTACTTCTGCTCCGTCTTCTTGTGGAAGGCAGGAGGTTTCTTCATGCCAGTAGGCGCGATCTTGGCCTGATTCTCCTCGCGTACTTTGCGTCGCTCTTCCTTCTGCTGCTCAATGCGCTCGCGCTCCTTTATCTCCTCCAAATCCTCCTTTGTATCCTCCTCTTCGTAGTGTGATCCGATACCACTGGGAGGCGCGCGGGGATCTCGACGGTGGAGCTTGATGGGCGGAGTGAACTGCTTCTCATCCGTAATATCAACATGGCTCTTGCTCTGCAGGCGCATAACGTGGTGTCGCAACTCTTTCAGATCCTTGCGGCTCACGATGAGTGGAAAGACGGTGGCGCCTTGATCGAGATACTCCTGGCGCAGCGCGTCTTTGGAATGAGTGCCATCAGCGGCCGGACCTGGCGGGGGCTTCCTGGCCTCATTCATCTGCGACAAAGACACCATGGGCTTGGTGATGTTCTGCAACGGGCGCCGGGGCTTTCGCAGGACATCAGCCTGGGGACGCGGGCGACGGCGACGAACAGGCATCTGCTGCTGCGGTGGCTGCGGTTGCTGCGACGGCTGTTGGCCATTCGAGGCGACGGGCGCGACGGGCGCTGCCGTAGGCGGCTGGCTTCCATTCATTGCGCCGTTCATTATCAAATTGTGGTTCTGAGGATGAGGACAAGAATGAAGGCAGCAGGTGGGCAGATAAAGACTGACCGGAGACGAAGTTGCCTTTGTCCCAAGGAGCGTCGTGCTTCAAGGCCGAACCGCAGTTGGAACGTCACAGCTCCACGCTAGTCGTTTAGCGCGCCAAGCCCATCGCTCACTGTGAAGCCCTGCCTCCGCCCTCCCAGACATACAGTGAACACCATGACTAGCAATCGCCAAAATTATCATCAATTGCAACACCCAGTCTGCGCTTTCTCCAGCTGACAGTGACAGTCTCGGGACCATAATCTCCTAGGCACATGTGGATCACCAAGAAAGACATCGACTTCTCACTCCACTCTAGGCACCCATCGAGCCAAAGTGTGGCTTTGGCCAGAGGGTCGAGTGCCTGAAACGGTGAACGGCAACCGCCGCCATAAGAAAATTCAAAGCGGGAGTTGATCTACTGCGTCACCGGCTACTTTCAAAGACATACGAGCACACCATCACCCCCTTAAAAATCATCTCGGATCACTTCTCGCCTTTTGGACAGAAATAAACATCTGTCGTCGCGAGCAAACGCTCAAGAATTAGATCCAGCCATTATTTGAGTCACCCGCAACGACTGGACTAACTCAACAGAATGGAGCAGGCGAATTCATCGCAGTCTACTGGACTGGAAAGTCAATTGCGCAACATGATACTTAGTAATGTGAGCATGTCTGGGCAAGTCACTCAAGATATTCAACCAGGTCGCGGTCGTGGGCGAGGACGGGGCCGGGGCCGAGGCAGAGGCAGAGGGCGTGGAAACTTCCACAATGGCGCAGATGGTAATTATCATGATCACTCTGTCCCAAATCAAGACCAGGGTCAAAGTCAAGGATGGCGCGCGAACCCCTCTGTGAATGGTTCTCTACCCAGGGGAGGTGGACGAGGACACTACCCCAACCAACGGCATCAGCAGCCCCTAACAAATTCCTACAACGCGTCACAAAATGGTCTGGCCCCAGATAGCCAATCACATGCCTCGAAGCCATTTGGACAACAACATCATCAGCATTGGAACCAGAATGCAGATGGTACCCCGCGTGCATACCCTCCAAGGGTTATGCAGCGCCCACGAGGAGACGCTCGTCCACAAGGTTCGTATGCACATCATACACAGATGAATCAACCTCAGGAGAACCCACAAGCCCAGGTCAAACATCTAGATATGATTGCGGCAGAAGAGATCCCCAAGGTTGAGATGTCCAGGTCTGAGTTGGAGTCCAAAGAAGAATTCAGACTGCAGTTGGAGACGATTATGAAAGAAGCACTCGCCAGGGGATACTCAGGAGATATTGCAACAATCTCTCTCGTCGGCTTTGGCAGTCTTGCATCTGGCTTTGGACTCCCCGGCTCAGACATGGACCTCGCAGTGATACCAGATTGGAAGGACCCTGCAAAAGCTCATGAAGTTGAAATCGATCGCTCTATTCCGCGGTTGTTAGAACGAGCAGTGCTTGATGCGAAGTTTGGTGGCAGGCTCCTCACGCGGACACGTGTGCCTATTTTGAAAATCTGCCAACATCCTACCGAAAAACTGTACTCAGCTCTTACTGAGGAACGTGGGAAGTGGGACCAACTCCCTGAAGAGGAGAAGTTTCCCTCGGATCAGCCACAGGAACCACCTGTACAGGGTTCAGTGCCTCGATCAAAGCTATGGAAGCAGTCTGATGATGAATTGATGCTTACTGCTCGCAAGCTGTTCGAACCCTCTGATAATGAGGAGATGATAGCCATTCGAAAGCTAATCAAAGATTCTGACGATGAGATAAAAGCCGCAGCCCACTTGGCGGTATCTTCTGATCCAAACTGGAAGGTCAACTGGGGAGAGTTGATAGAAAGAGCTCAAGTGCTGCGCGAGGCTCAAGAGACGGAGTCCCCCGAGCCTACACCTTCACAAACAGCTGCCAAGCCGGATGAACCAATCAACGACAGCGCTGAGAATAAAGCTAAAAAGGTTCAAAACCAACGCTCCGATAAGTCTTGGACGCGGGAAAAGGTAGTCGGCCCCTTGGATTTCCCTAAGGATGGTTGCGGTATCCAATGCGACATCAACTTTGCAAATCCACTCGGCATCCACAATACCCACATGCTCCGGTGCTACTCTCTAACCGATCCTCGCGTACGCCCCATAGTTCTCTTCGTCAAATCCTGGGCCAAGCGCCGCAAAGTCAATAGCGCCTATTCTGGTACCCTCTCCTCGTACGGATGGGTTCTCATGGTCCTACACTACCTCGTCAACATCGCCTCACCACCCGTATGTCCGAACCTCCAACACGCCGTTCCACTACCCACCGACGGGGCTGCTCTAGAACAATATTTCAAAAACACCAAAATCTCCGGCTACGAAGTTCGTTTCTGGCGCAACGAAGAAGAAATCATCAAAGCAGCACAAGAAGGCCGTCTAACACAAAACACGCAATCAATCGGCGCCCTTCTCCGCGGCTTCTTCCAGTACTTTGCTGCGCTATCTGGCTATGGATACCCGAGACCACCTCAGTTCCACTGGACAAACGAAGTCCTTTCGCTCCGCACGCCCGGCGGTATCGTGACGAAGCAGAGCAAAGGCTGGGTTAGCGCAACGACGAAGATTACAGCTGAGAAAAAGGTTACGAATCGATACCTTTTTGCTATCGAGGATCCGTTTGAGACTGACCACAACGTCGCGAGGACGGTGACGCATCGAGGTATCGTGGCTATCCGGGATGAGTTCCGTAGGGCGTGGAGGATCCTCAGGGTTATGGGTACAGAGAGAGAGCCTGAGGGAGGGCTCTTTGATGAGATTGTTGAGGAGCCCGCTCCATCTGATATGAAGCCTGAGGAGGCACCAAAGAGTGCTGTAGAAGCTTAGGTGTTGAGGATGGGCTTGAACACAGTTGATGTGTTGTAGTGTAAGAACAGTTTCATTCAGAGGACGACACTGTGTGTCTTATGGGTTTCGGTACTGTTGTTTCGGTGGGTCGAACGTGTAGGCGTCACGGGATCTGAGAGATACATGTCTAGCCTGTGGCTATGATTGATGAATGGGATCACGATGTCATGTTTACCTAACTATCAATGCAGGGAATGGATATGGGGAATATAGATTTCATGTACACATGTACTAGATGCAACCTCACCAATGTCTATAGACATAATTCACTCGACTCCTTCCACACACACACACACACACACACACACACCAGCTCAAGAACCACTGGTAATACTGAAAATACAACAGGGTATCATTACTCTTAAAATCTTGTACCTTGCAAATTCCTCGACGAATAAATGTCTTCTTCCCTTGCTGCTAAACCCCCTCCTTTCCCAACTTTTCCACACCCATAACACACACACTAAACAAAAAATAATAATGAAATGCCACAAACCCTCACTTCTTCCCAATACTAAACCCCCTCGTCATAAAATCCGCACTATTCCCCGCCGCAGCCTTATGTTCCTTCTTGCTAAACAAACTATTCACATTCTCATTCTGTGCCATCTTGCGCCGCTTATTCCTTTCTTCCTGCTCTGCGAGCACCTTTCTCGTCAGCGAAGCTGTAGCACTATTTTTGATTCCATCGCTTGTCGCAGACACAGGTTTAGTTGTCGTAGTGGCGTTTTCCTTGGGGGCGATTTTTTTATCTCCGTCGGAGGAAGAAGAAGAAGAGGGTTTGGTGGAGGTCGTGGTGGGTAGAGTATCAGAGGTAGGACCATCAGCAGCAGCGGCGTGCTTGCGCTTTTTCTTGCTACCGGGCGCTTTCTTCAGCGCATGCGTGAGACCTTTTTCACGTAGCGTTTTCAAGCGTAGGTTCAGGCGCGCGATGTCGGTGGGGAGGATGGGGAGGATGGGTACGACGTCGTTTTCGGCGTAGGGTTCGTTGCACTGAGACAAGGCGCAAAAGGATTAGTTTCGTGTCAGAGTTACTCATGTTGGTGGGTGAAACTTACAGTCAAACATGCCTTCTCGGATATCTCCTTCATGACGCTTCCGGCAAAGGCGTGGCCACAGGGTACTATGTACACGGCTTTACTACCCACGCTCAGTCGCTCCCCAGTAATCGGGCACTTCCACTTTTCGCCCGCGCCGGATTCCGCTGCCGTGTCGATTTCGAACTTGACTTCGACGACGTCTTTGAGGCCCTTGACTCTGTCGCCGAATGTGCCTAGCTCGGAGTCCTTGACGCCGCCAATCTTCTTCATCTCAGCTTTTTCGACATCGCTGTCGTCTTTTAGGAGGTACTCGATGATGGAGTCTTTGTTGTAGAGAACACCGGCTGCGTCGGATACCACGGGGCGGGCGAGCGGTTTGCGGGTGAGAGGGTCGGTGGACCAGGCGTATTCTTGTTGTTCGGTTTGCGCCTCTTTGATTTGTGCGGTTGTTAGGGCTTTTGCGGCTTCTTTGACGAGCTCACGCCGTTTGGGGATAGATCCGCCGTCGTTACCCATGGTGGTTGGTTATGCGCTGAGTATCTGGGTGGTAGTGGTTGTGTTATTGTTGTGGAATAATATGCTGTAAGTCTTGAGAGAGGCCGAGAGTTGCGGCCAAAGCCGCGGAGGTTCGAGTAGTTTTGGGACATGCACGTGCCATCACGAGTACGATACAATCTTCACAACATACTAAATCACTTGCTGGATACCAAGTATATGTAACCATGAAGAGTAATATGGTAATATTGTACAAGTACTTTTTGGATCATACCGTCGTTTCAAAAAACCTCATAAGCAGCATATCTTACATGTCCGTCGTAGCCGACGAGACTCTCATCTTTCGCCGCACCGGCCTCTCTATTTGCCCCATCCATTGCTTCTTCCACTCCGGTCTGCTATCTTCTTTCTCTCCTTCTTGAATCTCTCCTTGATCTGACTCTCCCTGGAGATTCTCACGTGAATCCTCTTCTTCAGATGGGGTCGTTTCCTCGACATTCCCCTTCGATCTGGAATGCCCATCCTGGAACAATATCCTCTGAATAAAAGCAGACAGCCGTGCTCGCTCAGCCTTGAACGGAGCCTTCATCTCCTCGGCAATCAGGTTGCTAAATAGCAACTTGTCGTACACACCATGGATCTTCCTCAATGCTGTGATTGCATCTTGCCTCTGCTCGCCTTCTAAATACTGGGGGCCCGCAACCCTCCTGTATCTCCTTTCTCTCCCACCAACGCCCAACTGAAGGCGAATGTTCTTGGCGATAGGATCGAGAATAGTAAGTGCGTTCACCAAATCCGAGCCCTTAGCAAGAGGAAAACTGGTTGCGAGCTCCGCATACATGGTGATGGTCTTCGGGTCTGCATCCTCCAAGGTCTTGAACATCATATTCAGAATCCGACCGGCATGTTTGAGAGAGTTATGGTTGTTCTTGTCGCGGACACAAGTACTCATAGCGATCCTAAACGTGCCAGGTCGAGGCGCGATATTCTTTCCAATCATATCTTCTTGTAACAGTTGAACGGCATCAGCAGAAGCACGATTCAGGCGAAGGTTTCGCAAGCGCATGTGTAGATTGTTGCGATCCGGCACGATCTTGTAGGTCCTGGGGTCGGTCAAAAGATCCCAATACTCTTGTGCGGCCTTATTCGCAACAATCTTCTGGCAAGCTTCCTGAATGATGGAGAGGGTATTGTTGCCTGGTCGAACAAATGCAAGAGAACGTGGCAGGGCGCCCTTGGGTTTCAGAGGAAGGAATTCGTCTCCACGCGCAGGAATGTTGTCTGGCGAAAGGTGCTCATCGTCGACGCGGTACTGTGGCAGTACGTTCGGGGCTCGTAAGTGTGGGAAACCTGCTTTCCGCCGGTCCGCAGTGCCCAGTCGAGGCACAAGTCGTGGGATATCCATGGTCTGTTCCACCAGGGAAAGCACATCATCCCAGTCTCGCGGCCGGCTGCCTACTAGCAGAAGCCTTCCCATTGCACAAACCAGTTCCTCGTCAATAACCAGATCTGCATTTCTCCACCTCCCAATGATATCCTCCCACATACGCCGTGCTTCTATGATACCACGCTCTTTCCTGGCCGCAGTTTCCTCTTCACTCTCCCCTTTCGGTGCATTTATCAACAAACTCTGTCGTATGGCGTTGATGATGGTAATGTAGGTAATTGCGTTGGCCGAGGCTGGTCCACTCTCAGCAATCTTCCCAGCAACGCCCCATAGTGCATCCATATCGCCTGCTCGCGCACAAACTTTTAAGGCGGCATTTGTGTGTATAATAGACGGTTCGACTCGCGAGTTCGGCGCGGAGAGAGAGTGGTATACGGAAAGGGCATTGCTAAGAACACCTGATGTATGTGCGTTCAAGGACAAGCCTCGGAGCAAGATTGTATACGTATAGGAATCAGGGAATTGCGCTCGTTTTTTCATCTGCTCAAAGTCAGCATTGCCTCGCGCCGCTCATGTTCACAAGACGCACATCGTTGTACACTTTGAGTGCATCCTTGACTCGCTCCTTCGCCAGAAGGTGATCAATGATATGGTTCCAGCTGACGATACATTGCATCGAGTGACTGGCCATGCGCACCAACTGCAGCATCTCCTCTACCCTGTCCTTGCTCAGTTCCTGCTTAACAAACGCCGCCAGATCCAGAGGGTCCTGTAGATGCCGCAACTCTCTCTTCCTCCTATTCCAGTCGCTCTCTGACATGCGAGGGTCGCGCCGGCCCAATTTTGCCAAATTGGGAGTCTCGTCGACTCTGCGCGCGTGCGATTGCCGCAATGCTAAGATCTCGGCTCTCTTTTGCTTTGCTGCAAAGGCCGACTTCTTGAAGTGATCTTCCCCATTTCTCGAGCGTCCTCCGGCCTCGCCCAGTTCAGCAAGTGTCTTGTCTTCTTGGCGTGCGACATTGCGGGTCGACAGCAGCCGCTGCTGGCTATTTACGAGAAGTGGATTCACATTGCGGCGCAGGCGGTGCGCATTAGTGGTCGGGACATCGAGCGCTTGTATGCATCGCCAAAGGCACGCACGACAGTTCAGCATGGAGGTCGTGAGGTGGGGTGGGAAGCGAGCCCGTTGTGAGCAAAAAAGCGTAAATTGGCTAGGGCTAAAGGGAAAAGTTGACCATGTCCGGCACAAATGCCGAACCAAACTCTAAGTTACGCCGCACGTGATGACCCGACCCAGCAGCGGCCAGTGACCCGAAACCTTGCGGAATCGTTCTGTATTGCCAGCCCTCGTGGGCTACTAGCAGTATTACATGCATACAATCCACGGGCACCAGCGTCATTAGCACAAACGCCAGGCCCCTTTGCCGCCAACTACGGCAAGCGCGCCGTCTTTCAAAAAGGACCCATCAAGTTTATATTACGCGCGCGGAAAAAAACAGTCGTTAGTCCAAACACCAAAAAAGCCATATGCCGTGACCACGCCTTACTACTCTAAGTAGCCCTGTCCTAAAAAAAAACAAGAGACTACTTCCAAGAGAAAACAAGCGGCGGGAAGGAAGAAGAGGCCCCGGCAGTAAGGCTGAAAACAAAGGAAAAAGCCCACACTACTAGCTTTTAAGTAGAGTCGCAAACCGACTCTACGGAGCCGAGAAAAAAAGGGGGGGTGTATGTATGTATGTGTGTGGAGGGGGGCCAAACCAGCACTATAACGTGGGAAGAAGCCAACCCCAGACCAGGGGGGGCCAACCACCACCATTCCATCGCTCATGCTTTTTTTCTCTTCTAGTAAGGGCTTACCACGATCCTTTTAACCCTTTTGCACACCCACACCCCCCGCGCGAGCGCACCCCAGCAGGCTTTCTAAACCCATCGGCGTGGACGCCCGCGCGATGACCAAAAGTAACCTAGAACTACCCGTAGAAAGGGGGAAGGGGGGGGGTGCGGAAAATGCCTGCTCCCCTCCCCTTCTCCAAACTGACTTGGGGATTCGCGCGCCCCCGACTAGCGCAACTCGCACATGTGTGAGTGAGTAGTTAGAGTAAAAGCGTAGGCTTTCTCCGTTTGTGAGATGGAGTTAGTTTAAGGCGCATCGGAGTAGACAAGGGTAAGGCTTCTCTCTAAGTACCCTGGTCCTTAATATCTAATAATACAGAGAGAAGAGCAAAAAAAAAGAACTAGCTAGCATTGCCATGCTCGTAGGAATACTTAGTCTAACCATCTCCATACAAATCCCGACTTTTGGTCCTCTTTTTTTTAGGGAGGAGGGAGCGGGGGTAACTTGCGGTCCGGTTTCTAAACGGTGAAGCCATGTAATATGCACATCATCAGGGCATCGGAGCTTTTCTTCTTCCTTCTTTCTTTAATAGCTCTGGTGTTATATTTCTCTGTATTAGGACCAAGACGGCGGGATTCGGAGATTTTTTTTAGGGGAGGGGGGGGGAGGCTTTTCTAACTAAGGACGACCAATGTGTGTAAAGGACCTGGTCTGTTCGGCTGTTTCCGTACTACGAGGGGCGCTGCGTGACTAGGTTTTTTTGTACTCCGAACATACATGGTAAGCTAGGGCTCTTGATGAAATGTGTTCGGCGGATGGTTTGTTGTAGTTGTAGTTGTAGTAACACTAGTGTTATTGTAGCCATGAACCATAGGACGATGATGTACTGTTGTGCGTGTGTGAGGACATGAACGGTAGTAAAGAAAAAAGCCCGCCCTATAGGAGAGGACCAGCGTAAAACAATGTGTGGTGGTGCAGAGAGCAGAGAGGAGGGAGACAAGAGAGCAGAGTCAGCAGTCACCGCTCATCATGTGGCCAGCAATTCCAAACAGTGGGCATCACCAAGCCCCCTGCGCGGCTTGTACGTACGTAAGTAATGCTCACCTTTGGTCCTGCTGGCCTCACCTCAGCATGCAAGACATCCGACCGTAGCACAGCGCCAGACGCACGCGCGCACGCCCACATCCACACACACACACCCCTCGTCCCTCGTGGCATCGGGAAGGAATCCTACGACCCAAAAACACTACTGCCGTGTAACGGCGCTTGATCTACCCACCATCCCTCAGACCAGCAGTAGCACCATAACAAGCCCATGCAAGCCCAATTATGCTAGTTGCCTTCTGTCAGATCATGGCCTGGCGCACCGTTTATGTCCACCATGCCTGCCACCCAGCGCCTGGTGCTCCACTGCCTAGCTGAAAAAGCCGCCATCTCCAACGGCGGCACCCCCCAAAAAAGGAGCCTTTCGCAGAGCCCAGCAACCGTCCGGGGCATTAAAATCGTAGTTTAATCGGGCAACGGTTGATGAGCCGCTAAAAGGCGATCTTGCAGATGCAATTGTTTTGTAGATGCTAGCGTATCTCTTCTGTCGGATACTGCACCTTTTTACTTTTACTTTTGCTTTTGGCTTGCAAATCTTACATTGCACAAAAGCCTGTGTCTGTTCTTCTGGCGAGGGGAGAGATGGGGGGAGGTGGGGCGGGGCGGGTTAGGCAAAGGACAGGTAACAGCACCAGGGGGTGTGAAGGATGGGCATGAAAGGGAAAAAGGTCGGCGATATTGTTCCTTTGTTGAGCTGGTCATCCCAGCTCGGCTTTGCAGATTCTTTCCTTCTTTCCCTCTGCCGTACTTTTGCCGCGTGATCGGCTTTCGGACGATCTGGCCGTCATGAATCAAGGACGTTCGGACGACATTGCCCAATGTGATCACCATCCGCCTGCACATTCCAGCACGTCCTGCGGCGGGAGGCGAGGAAGAAGGAAAGAGAAAAGTGGTTAGCCGACAAGCCACTCCGCACCTCGATACAGATCACGCTGTGGTCGTTGCGATGGCCCATGGGCAGAAAAATTGGGCCGGCGACATTGTTTCGATCCCATCGCTCCGGTCATGTTCGACTGATGCCACCGTGCGAACAATTGCATGAACGCACAAAAAAATGGGCCTCGGAAAGGTCGATTGTGTAATGGTTATTGATTACACAGAGTAACAAGCCGCACTTTGATTTCCCCATCGGCGGGTTCCGTCATACTGCGAGCATGCATTCCTCGTCATCCTATCAGCCATCAAGCCCATGCCAAGTATCGCAGCACACAGACACACTCACTCTGTCCGTCTGTCTGTTTGCTGCATGCTCCACGGCGCCGAGGACTCGCCAACCGTGGCCGATATTCGCATACCGATGGTTGGCATACGTATTCTCGGCGAGCATTTTAATCTATCTGCAGGATAGACAGGCGAATATGCAGCGCCTCGGTGTATGAGAAGGCAAGATAACGCATCAACCACAACACTGTCATTACGCGCCTTCCTGATTTGGCGAGTCCCATGGGTTTCCCTTCTCGGTCGCCGGCAACCCATGTTTACTGAACATGTGTACGTGCGTGTGTAGGTGTGCGGGTATAATATGGAATACCCTCTTGTATGCATGGGTTAGCCCCCCAGAATTCCGAATCCGAGTCATTGCCGCCCCTCCTCCATCATATCATGCTTCAGCTGTGCGTCATACATAGGGCAAATACGGTGTACTACGCGCACAGCACACACCCTCAACTGACACACCCATATGTACGCACACACACTTTTTGCACCCAGCCCCTCCTCCGCCCCAGTCGGAACATCGTGCCACAAACGCCATGTTTTCAAACAAAGCATATTTTTTTTCCTTTGCAAAGGAATAAGCTGCCGAGCTTGATTGGGTCATTGCGCAACGCCCACCCGCCCCAAGCAAAGAAAATGACACCATTCTCTGCCCATTGTACCCATGCCCAGCAAATCAGGTCCGCGGGAAATATGTCCATTAAGAAAATGCAAGCAAAAGCGAAAATGGCATTGACCTGCTTCAAATGTCGTATGACTTTAATTATTATGCTCGTAAAGTTTGTTTTTTGCTCTCGTAAACGGTCGCCGTCTAGACGGAAAAAAGAATCTGATAACGGTGGCCATTGTAATTGTAGAATGCAGTCTGACATAGAGAAATGCGGTTATGCTCGTTCTCTCTCATTCCCTGTCAAACCTTATTTCTTTACTAAGAAAGATTACAAGGAAGAGAGGAGGGGCGAGAAAAAGAGAATGCGAGCAAAGGAAAGGGTGTATGTCTGTTCAATCGAATCAAGACAGACAAAGAGGGTGGTCTGATTTCATCGGTCAGTGAAAGGTAAGGTGACTTCAGCATATTTCGCTTCGAGACCGCCGGCGAAATGCTCGGGCAGTCGAAAAAAAAAGATAGGCGAGAGAGGAGGGGGGGATTGCGAGGGGCTGGCATTCCTTCCCCTTGCAGCTCAAAGGCTAAGCGTCGGTAAGCAAAAAAGTAAAAATAGGAAAAGAAGGGGACAAGGTGTGCCATGGCGACAGCGGCACATACGTGGCAAGGTGCGCAAAGCAGAGCGGAAGAGAGAAAAGGGAAGAGGGCAAGGGCAGGGCAGCTCGTAAGCATGCAAGTGATGTGGTGGTTGAAGCGGACAAGGTAGGGGGGAGGAAGGATAGGGAGGGGTGCGTAGTCCGATGATGGTGGCGATCTACGCCGCGGCCTATAAGACAAGGATGAGGGGTTGTGAAGAGCGAGGAGAAGGGAGAGGGAGAGAGGCGTGAGGGAGTGAGCCAGCAAGCGAATGTGCAGGCCATGCATGCATATTCAGCCGAGAGATGTCGGCGAGCAGGGGCGAGGGGGACAGACTGGCTCTATTCCTTCCCTTTTAAGCGTCAAACCTTGATTATTAAGTCGGAAATCATAAACACGCGCGGGCACACCCGGTCAGACATCTAGATTTTAGTCTTACACAGCAACATGCTGGGTCGGGCCTATACGTCGCCTGCTGTTTGCATAAAAAAAACATGTATCTGTATCTATGCGCATTCGTTTCGCCGTCGACTGGGGGGGTTGGTGGAGGGAGGGGGGGTGAGGGGCGGAGAGACATGCGTATCATTGTTTTGAAACCAAACCGGGCCTATCTGGCCTAGGCTTCGGATAACTGAGAGGGGAAGAAGGAGGGGAGGGGAGGGGGGTTGCAAACACACAGTGATAAGCATGAGATTCAAGGCGTGCAACTGTAGCATGAGCAGGGGGTCGAGGATGCGCACGGCGACATGTCCACCTTGCGTGATGATGAGCAGATTGGGGGTCACGGCAGCGCAACTGCTGCCATGGGCTGCTCTGCTGATTTGCTTCACAATAAGCTCCAATGACCGAGAGCGTATGACTCGATGAGCTCGACTTTCGTTCGTTCCACGTTGCTTGTACGAGGAACACAAGAGCGGCACACAAGTCGCCAAAGAAGCCAGCACTGTGTATGTGTGTGCTTTTGTGAAGTGAGCACTGCAACAGGGTACACAAAAGGACAAGGTGACGGACTATGATTGCAGTTATAATTTGGATTGGTCAATTGTTTCTGTTTCGAGCGCCGGTTCGCATGCAGTTGTTCTAGCCCGTAATGATGAAAGTCTGAAAGGAAAAAAAAAGCCAGGAAAATTTTGGAAAAAATCTCGTCACCGAGATGCGCAAAAGATATGATCAAAGAAGAAAGTATAACCGTGCCATGCATGTCGCCCAAAAAAGAGCCCTCGTCATGGCATGGACATGCAAGACGACCTTGGAGCCATAACTAACTCTTTACGCAAATATCTGTACTTTGGCCGTAGCCATGCTGCGCGCATCATGGTTCATTGAATCTCCCTCGTAAAACACCCATAAGTAGAAAAACATACAGCCGCCGCCAAGTGAAAATGCAAGCACCGCCAGAGGAGAAAGATGCTGTGACTGTCGCATGAATCAGCGACACGGTCGCGAAAAACATCCACCAAAAGGAGAGTCGTCAATACACTCGCGCGAGTAGCCGAGAAGGAGCGAAATGGCCTTGAACACACCGTTGTGCAAGGTTGGCTTCGATTGAGAGTCGCGTTTTTCGCCGATTGTCAGACCATGTTTAGTGGTTCTGTTGGTACATTTGAGGATTCTGTCCATAGGGCGATTGTGGATAACTGCTGCTGTTACTATTGGGACTGTTGTACGCATTGCTGTTGGGGGTGGCATACTGAGCCATTCCCTCCGGAAGACCGGGGCTTTGGGTGCCGTATTGAGGGGCAGCCGTGTTGCCAGAGGCGGCAGGCTGATACCCGATCGGAGGGAGTTGAGGATGTTGGGGCGCTTGCCCGGGGACACCAACTGACTGTCGCATCTGTCCGTAGACGGGAGCTTCGGGGGCACCACCCTCGTGAGCGCGCTGCTGCGCGTCGGCACGGTGTCGCTCCTCATCAGCCTTGCGGGCGGCCTCTTCCTCCTTCTTCTTGGCCTTCCACTCCTTGCGAATTTCCTTGAATTCTGTTAAGGTTCAGTTAGTATCTATATCAAACATATAATATTGTGCCAAGAAGGCAAGGCGCAAGGATCGATACTTGTTAGTTTCCGTCGTCAGAAGCTACCAGTGTGGGGGGAACGCGACCACTATGGCGCTGCACCAGCACGATCCCAAGTGCTAACTTAGCGCACTAGCCTTGCAAGGGCCACCACCACAACAACAATCCATGACGTGTTTGACCAACGAAAACGGAGTAAAGGGAAAAACAAAGCACTCACCTTCTGGTGTTCGCTTTGAGCCATGAGATTGCATGGTAACGTGGGCGTTCAAGTGGTTCAGAGTACCGTAAGCCTTCTCGCACCCGTTCCAGCCGCACTTGTACATGCGCTCAATTTCCTCATATCGCCGACGTGGTCGCTTGTGTTGCTGTGCGCCAGGAATGGGAACAAATGAGTAGACTGTAGACAAGGGGTGTCCGCCCTGTACGCGCGCGCACACACTATCAGTATTGAAGCACTGTATTTGGGGGGGATATAACGACTTACAGTTGGTGGTCGCTGAACAGGAGAAACCATTGCAGGCGCCGGGGGACCTGAAGAGGCGGGATGACCGTAGTGCATGCCTGGCTGAGGGTAATGGCCAGCCCATTCAGGGCGCGATGGGTAGCCCATGGGTGTTTGGGGTTGGCCCGGGTAGTGCTGCATGTCGTGGTGGGGCGTGTAGGGAGAGTATTGCTGTTGGTGACTGGCGTAAGTCGGGCTCGTCTGGGCGGCGATTGATGGATCTATAGGTACATCCGAGTCAGACTTGAGTTGCTGTGGTGATTGATGGCCATTTGCTTGACCATCTGGGATAGGCATTGACGGACTCTGTTGTTGCGCCATACCACCGGGAGCTTGCCCTTGAGCAGCTGGTTGATACGAACGCTGAATGTATTCGGGAAATGAGCCTGATCGAGCAGACGAGGGATTCAGACTGTAGTCTGAGCTGGGTGTGAGGTTGGAAGAGCGAGGATCTTGTCCCTGGGGAGGGTATTGCGCAGCAGATGCTTGATCTGCAGAGGTTCCCTCAGAAACTGGTTCAGGAAAGGTTGGGTAGGGCGAGCTCAAACCTGACTGCGGGTAGTCTGCTTGTCGTGCGTCCATAGACTGTTCAGAGGGGTCAAGAGTCGAAGGTAGCTTGGACGGACTCTAAGCTGAGGTTGGATGGTTGGATGCGTGCGCCCACAGAGAGGAATGGCTGCAGAGATATGTCCGTCGCGAACCGTCTTCGGATGATTTGCCGCGGTCTGTGGAAGACAGGCAGCTAGAGCGTATAAAGACGTAGCCTGGGTTCGGCCAAGAGATGCACAGCCAGAAAACCGGAGAAGCGAAGTGATCAGGCCGTGGGTAGCGTGGAAGTTAAACGCGGATGATTTGCAGACGGTGTGTTTTCCACGACGCCCAGGTGGAGGGACAAGCAGTTCGGCAAATATGCGCCGTCGAAAAGAGATGCACGGAAGGCGCAAGGTCGAGGGCACCGGGACAGGGGAGGTAGCTAGCGGATAGAGATCTCTCGAATCGCGGAGCAGCTGGCGCGATGCAGAGTGAAGTGCAACGCAAAGGTTACACAATTGGTGCTAGTGAAAGGACGAGCTTGCACCTGCGGGTCTGCTGGGGCAAGAGTGAATTTGGAACACAGCTAGTGAGAGCGCGGCCTAAAGGCTTTTAGACTCAGTGGCGTGCGCGTGGAGGGTGAGGGCCAATCGAGGGGCGTGGAAGAAATGGCGGCTTGCCCAGCAGGCCTTAGCACACTCGATGAGGTAATTCGCGCCCGTCAAGGCAGTGACAGGGATGCAGTGCTAGTCGGTAAAGCCGAGCCGTAACAGTGGGAATGACTGCTGCTGCGGGTGGAGCGGCTAGCACGAGGAGGGGATGGCGCGGCGAGCAGAGTGTGGGACGCAGGCCAGCGTGAGGGTGGGCTTCTGGTGCGCGAGGGGGGGGGACGTGCGGGTCCGTGGTTGGAGTGCGCTAGTGACGAAGAGACCAGGGTTGGGTTGGGCCTGTTGGCCGAGGGGCGCGCAGGCGGCTACCAAAGAGGTCGCTCTGGATGCGCGTCGCTGACTGGCTCTGCGCGCGGCGATGGGGCAAAGGCGACAGTCGGCCCGTTGTGGTAACGATGACTGAAGGTTTCGCGCACACTGTGGCTCTCTCCCAGTCGCTGCGTGTCCCAGAATGCTCAACTGCGCCGAGCGTGCCGAGCGATCAGCCTCCTGTCGCGGCGTTCGGTGCGGATTTGGCACGCACAACGAGCGTGGCAGGGGAGGGCAGGGAAGCGTACGTCGGCGAGTGGCGGCGAACGGCGGCGACGACAGCAGCAGCAGAAGAGAGATGTCGGAGGGTAAATCTGCGTTGGAGGGGTCTCGTGGGTTAAGAGACTTGTGGGGGGGCTGGGCAGACGAAGAGGTGTGCAGTTTGCAGTTGCAGCGGCGTGCAGTTGCAGCGCAAAGCAGACCAGAGCAGCGTAGAGCAGCAGCGCAGAGCAGCGAGGGTGCAGCAGCAACAGTGGAGCGTGGAGCGCCTTAGTGACGAACGCGCCGGGTGGGCGGCGATCGCGTTGCTTGGTGGCAGTTGCACGTGTAGTCGCACTGCGGGTGCGCGATCTGGTATGCTTAGGATGGCCTGGGGGCCTGGGGTGGAAGGGAGGGGGAAGGGGGGTAAGGGTGACGGCAGCGTTAGGGCAAGGCACTGGCTGGTACCAGGCACTGCTTGGGTTGGTGGTGGTAGTGGTGGTTGAGCAGGTCAGATTCGCGACGTAGGCTAGAGAGGGTGCTAACACAGAAGATGGTTAGGCGACAAGAAGGGGAGCGGCACTAGTGAGAAGAATAGTCCGACACGCCCTCGTTCCGTGCACCTGCTGACTAACCGACGTCCTGACGTATTGACCGCCCTTTGCTCCCCGTTTTGTTCTCGCTGCGCCAGGGAGCCGAGGATGGCGGTGCCTTCACGCCGGTCGCGTGCGTGTGCGTGTGTGCGTGAGTGTGCGTGCGTGCGTGCGTGCACCCACCCAGCACCCCTCCCTCCCTCCATCCATCCATCCATCCAGCAGCCAGCCAACCCACCCTTCCGTACGCAGACGCATCCATCCATACCTGCGTGCGAACGTGCGTGGGCTTGCCCGTGTGTCGCCGTCACCGTCCATACGAGGTGCAAAGAAGAATGCAGCCATGGCATGAGGCTGAGAGCTAGTTCTGCGCGCTAGACGCGGCAAACCCACGCTGGAGGGACGTCGGGCCACAGTACTACCTACATGGCATGCACCTGCGACTTAGCACTCTGCCCATATACATACATGCCTAGTACAATACTCAAGTACATACATGTACACCACCGGCCTCGTCTGCTGCACGCCCATGCCCAAACGCAAAAAATTGCGCCCGCGGCTGCACACAATCTGCAATCACCGCGTCGACAATCTTCACCACCCGGCCAGCGGGCTTCTGCGGGCCCCCCGGCAAGAGCGGCCTGCAAAACCACTGCATGCAAATATTGGACATGGCACAGACCTCGCCCGCCGGCAGGACTGGCCCAATGCGTCCATGAGAGCGAATCCCGACCGTACTGCACCGCACCGCACATGCCTCTGGCCTGCCGTGTGGGTGTGTGAGTGAGTGAGTAAGTGAGTGAGTGAATATGAGGGTGTGCCAAAAGGCGAAAAGCAACCTGCAACGTCCGGCAGAGAGGCATGCCACAAGACGTTGACATCTCCTCGGGCCTCGTAGCCTCGCAGCCTCGCCGCCCATCCTTTGCTTCTACTACACACATCCTACATCCTACATCCTATATCCTACCTACATACACACACACACACACACACACACACACACACACACACAACTTACTCACCTCCACATGACTCTGACCGACTACTTTCTGCCCCATCCACTGACGCAAGGCCCGAGTGTCCATGCTTCTGGTGGCCGCGCCCGGCATCATAGCTACGGCATCTCACATGTCCAGATCCACTAACCCATCCTTGACCCTCCCTCCAGATGTCGCATGGGCCGTCCTGCCCTCGCCTCAAACCCCCGCTTTCGCCTTCGCAAACTTCAGCATACCGCTGTCGTATCGTGATTTTCTCCTTGTGCATCCTCCATCCATGCCCGTTTTGCTGTCAGCAGACAAGACTCTGGTGCATCTGGCCCCCACCCTCTCGCAATTCCGCAAACCTTGCTGTTTTGTCTGCCACTGCATCTCCTGCTTCTCTACTACTGCTCCGGCTTCCATGGCTGCAAAAAACCACCCTGCTATTTCGCTTCGGGTCTCGACACCCTCCCCTCCCTTGCTGCTGTCATTCCTTCTTGAGATCACCGACCCTGCTGCCTTGGCGGCCCCCAAGCCACATGCCATGTCACCGCCCTCGTCTGTGTGGGCATTTGTACGCATCTAGATATTCAACGGCTGAACGGTACATCTGGTGCCATGGTCATCCCAAGCCCACCTGGCCCGGTTGCCAACATCCGAGAGCACCCAGGCCAGCCACCCCCTTTGCTTGCCTATGACAATCGCCTGAATGCACTCGAGTGTTGTCGTCATAGAAGGCTTTGTGCGGTGCAAACAGGACGTGATAATACCCACCCTCTCTCTCAACACCTGTTGAGCAGAAGCAACATAAGTGAAGCTCTTCGGGATAGCCGTCATGTGATTGGCTGCCCAGTACCAAGACTGATCGGACCCAGGATGAATACGAATAGATGCCACTAACTATTTGCACATGCGCCGTCGAACGGGAGCGGGCGGTAACCTCGATCATAACGCGAACACCACGCCGCCATTAGACTATCTCAACTTCATGTCTACACACTCCATGTCCACGTATGCGATACACTGCACATACTCATCCCCCAAGTCGCACCCGTCATGCCAGCCACAGGCCAGCATCATGGCACCTTGCAAGTATCGGGCGCATTCATGGCCTGATCCGCGGACAAAAATACGTCCTGACGAGACACGCAAGGTCTTGTCAACAATTTCCGTCTGGTGTATGAACTGATGACATACATGAAGAGGGGTCCTTGGGTCGCGAGTCATAGGCCGACGTATCACAGCCATGAAAATTGAAGAAAAAAAAAAGACCCCCAGCCATTGCCATGTCAAAAACGTTGTGAGCAGACAAAAAGTAGGGCTTGGCCCAGAAGAAGGCATTTCCAGGGCTCAGGGCGGCTAAACTCTGGCAGTCTGGTGTCCAGGAACGCTCTGGTGGTGCAAGTTGAGCGAGCGAGTGACAGTGACAGGGGCCGCCCCCTGCCCGCAGAACCAAACATGGCCTGTGGCTTTTTCCTAGGGATCGGTGGCATTAGGTCGAGTTGGACCGAGCGATGCCTCGTGGCGGAGATATGCACGGAGCTTCCCTGGAAGAAGCGAAAGCGCGCACCTTTGGTCATGGCGTGTCAGAGGCGGCTGGTGGAGGCGCGGAGTTTACCAGACCATAGGTGTCACGATGCGGGCGCTACCATGGCCGATTTGGAGACCGACCTTGGACATCTTGGTAAACATCCAGACTTGGTCATTGCTTCACGCCGACGCACACACGCATCACCTGTACAAGTCCGAAATTATTCGCTTCCCTCGTAATTGACTACGCGGCATGGCGCAGCCAGCGGGCTACCTTCCGCCGATAGAATGAGGAAGCGACCGCGATGCCCTCGCATGCAGCGCGTTGCAAACATGGAACATGGAACATGGAACATGGGGGCTAGATGCCCTCTACCCTGCTTTTCCACCCCCGACTGTGCATTCTTCCTCCACTAGAAGCCCGACTCCAACTATCCTTGCCGTATTGGACATGGGGGCCATTGGCATGGAACTGTAAGCAAAAAGTAGCCATCTATTGTAAATGCTGCTCGCCGGCGCTGTGAGGCCAGACGGCCGACAAACTTACGTACTTTGCTGTAGGTATGTATGTACTATGTCCTTACTTACATAGCCAACGTCGACGGGGCCTAGACGCTCAGCTGCACATAATCTAGAAAACCACCATGGCATGTACTTCCAGACGCACGTCAGCGCTTGGTTGCATACTGCTATTATCATAATCACCATGACTATCATCATCATCAGCAGCAGCAGCAGCAGCAGCATCACCACCACCGTCGTCATCTTCTAATACATGCGACGTCGTATTAATCGGGCGTGCCGGATGGAGATGAGATGCATTGTGTGCAACGTCGGAGTAGGTTCCGCGCCACGCCACTACCACAACATGTTCCCTTGACCTTCCTCGTTTGGTCGGCTGCAGCAGGAGAGAAACACGCACGAGTAGCAGCAGCAGCAGCAGCAGCAGTATCATCGCGACTTCCTCCTCACACCCACTGCAAACAACCACGTCACCAAAGGCGTGGCCACCGACACATGCTCAACACTTTCCACGGTACTGGGGGCAACATTGTCTGTCTTGCTCGTGTTCCTCTACCTCAACCACTTGTATCATCATCGGTCATGACATAGTCTCGCATACACTCGCCCACTTTATTGGAGAGGGTCCAATGCCTCTGGCCGTCGCATCCGATACACCAACAGAAGGCCATGGAGTCGAGCCCAAGCCCGGTGTACCCCGCGAAGCTATGCTTTGCACCCCTCCCTCTCCCTCTTGTCTAAACATACATACACACCATTTCACTTACGATGTGGCTGACAAATAAACGACTGTACAGGAAACCTGTGTGCGTATGTGTGTGTCTGTGTGTGTGCGTCCTCACAAACAGCATCCAGAACGACCGAAGAATGGCCGACGTTGCAGCTTGCAGATCCCTTTGGGGCGAGCTTGGCCTGCGCGCTGTCTTTGGCCCAATCCCTGTCGTCACCTGTTGCATTGGCTGCAAGCCTCTTTCGCCTGGCCCTTCCTTGTCCTCTCCAGCCATGACTGTGCAGCACTAGTGCATCTGAGTCTTCACTCACCGGCTTCATGACCATCTGCCTGTCATGAACTGTGTGTGAATTGCCTCATTTTATCTCCTATACAAAACCTTCCCATGTTGAATCCACGTGAAACACGACACATACACACATACCTCATGGAAGGGCCACCAGGTTGCTCGATCACAGCATCCACGCGATTCAGCCTGCACTCGAGAGTTACAACGTCACATTTGACCCTCGAATATCCGGTTGAATCGTGTGCAACAGCTTCTGTCGCCTATCCACAGTTCCCAACACATAGAAATTGTCCCCTCGCCCCCGCCGGCGAAAATCGATAAAGCTTGTTATGTTTTAGTTTACACAATCACAAGATGAAACGGCTTCCAGTTGGCCGCCCCGATCCCACCGATTGCTGGCGCGAACCTAGCGCTCGACCGTGGTAACTTGGGTCCAGGTCGACAAGCAGGACGCACCTCTGAACACGAGGCCCCATTGCCTGGCCATCTGTCAACCAACCGCATCCACTGCACCTCAGATATGCGGAGTGCATGACAGGACAGCATCGAGCTGCTCCACAAAGTCCTTGTTCTGGTTGACACGCGTCATTTCTCCTGAAATTAATTCCAAAGCACCAGTCTCGGAAATGGGCGCAGCAATATTCAGACTTTGGGTCTGCTGGTTCGGATTGCACACTCCCGGCCCCAGTGCTGCAGATCGCATGTGTAGGTTCATTGACCCCGTATACAGAAACGCACGGCATAGATCTGGACATGGTGTCTAGATCTGATGCCAAACTTAACCGTTCTAACAAGTCGCCTCCGACACATGACTGTGGCCAGGGTGATACTTTTGGTACCAAGCTTGGATGTACGCTACCGTCATTGACCACGAATGCTTGTCGACAACCGGACTGGCTTCCGCTAACTGCCCCATGGAACAAGCCAGACGCACCCACCAAATACGACAGATGGCTCGATTGCTGGCTACAGCTACAGCTCCTGCAGCACTCGGCATGGCAAAATTTACAGGGATACGCTTTATTTGTTTGGTATTGTCAAAAAACGGTTGAGAGAGTTCCAGACCATGGTCACGTAGTGGTTGATCCAGAGCCAAGCATGCAAATCATCTTCTGCAGGTTAACAATTAGACCGATCCCGCTACTGCACGACACCACACGCTGATCAACGTGTCTTCTCACGCGGATAACACCTGTACACGCTTTTCCAGGATCAAGTTCCACGTTCAAAGACAATGTCAATGCACATGACGCTCCTCGCCCTGACGATGCTCATCTGTACACGCCGACAAATATGACCGATTACTTTGTTTACGTGTAGACGGCTCTCCCGCTCCATGAATCTCATGGCGTTTGCGCCATCTCACAATCGCCACCCCGATCCGCGGGCCTCCCTTTCCCCCTCCCCCGGCCATTGTTCAGATATCCGGTATCCTTCGGACCTTTCCTAGTCTACACTTTATCTCAACCTTGCTCAGACTTGCTTACATCTGATGCTTGCCCAGTCGGGCTATCAGAAGCCAAGGAGAGTAAAAAATGTCTCACTTTTCTCATTTGTGTATTGCGTCCGCTAGCAACCCCGCCATGATCCTGCTCCACGCGCCCTATTGCAATCTCCGGGGTTTCATTGCACATGCTGCAATTTCGAGATCCCTACTCGGAAAGGTGTATGAACATCATTTCTCACCGATATTTTGATTGCCCTTGTCCACGGAGGTGTGGTGAGGTCACCCTTTCTGATCATGTGTGCCATTCATCCCTTCATCCCCTATTTGGTATCTTCCAAGAGTATATGAGTGCTTCTTTTGCAATTTCCGCTGAGCATTTCCACTACGCAGTTATTCTATTGGAATGTTTTGCTATCTCAGACTGTCTGGTGAGAAAGTGATGCTCTGTGTGATGCACATCATCTCAACATAATTTGGGAAGATGAGCAAACTCACAGTGATAGTTGTGGGAGAGAACAGCGGAAACACCCATTAGTAATGAATACAATTGTAACTCGTATCTTCTATTTCGACTTCATTCGTGAAGTCTAAACTTGGCTTTGGTGTCCAAAATACCATGTCCCTTACTCTATCTGTACCACATGTTTATGTTCTGCTTTCGAGTATATGTCTTCTTGACATGTGAAAATAAACACTACACGTATTTCATCGTAAAGTCAGAAGTCTTCTGTTTTACCTCGGGTACTGCTCTCTACCTTTTCTTATCCTCCTCCTTCTTTCCTTGTCCATCTCTACTATCATCTTCCTCTCCTTCCTTATCATTCTCTTTTCTCATCCTTTCCTAAAATCTCACATAAGACTACATTTGAACATCCCCCCCCCCCCCCCCACATCTTCACATCCAAAGTTGACGAAAAGAGCAAACGCTGACATCACACATATCCGTACTCAACTTCCCTTTTCACACCCCGATCTCTACACACATACTCACTTTATACATCCTCAGCTCTTCTCTACACTATCAACCCCACAAAATGTATCTCAGAAAGTAAATCCACTTTACACTTTCCCATCCTCCCTGCCCCTACCTACTCTATCTGTGATTTTAACTTCGTACCCCACATCACTATACCATGCCCCATCCAGAGCCTTTCTCTTTACCCCCTTACCCTCTTCTAATAATGTCCAACCCTTTCTTAACCTTATACTTGTAAAATAATCAACCCGCACACGCACATATATCACTCCTAACCATATTTTTTTGGGGTCTAGCTCCATCGCATACGTCATCAAGTATTCATCTAGAAAATCTCGAAACACGAGTAAGCTGTGAAATTGAGAGTGCTGTTGTTTTTTTTTTAAAAAAAACCCCCTCCAGAGAGAGAGAGAGAGAGTAATTTGTAACACTTGCGCAAATAATACAGTTGAGTACGTTTTTATCGAAATATAAGGGGTTTTTTTTTTGAAAACGGGAATACATCCGGTATATATAGAGTGAACTTCTTATGAGGAAAGAGAAAAAAAGGTAGGGACGATAAGGGGGGAATGTAAGAAGACAAAAAAAAACCGATATCCTACGGTTTAATCAATCTTCGTAAATGTTGATTGTATATTATCTATCTGTATCTTGTTTTTCCTATGGAGAACGTCGGGCGAATACTTTCAGTCTACATGATGTAATAAAATCGATTTATCTTCCTGGCCAAAGTAACAAAAAGAGGGTAAGAAAAGAACGATGAAAAAAAAAGCTGATCTTCAATTGCAACAAGGTCGTGGAGCAGATGAATAAACGAATGGACTGACGATCGAGTTTGACAAGATATACAACATGACAATACAGGTTTAGACTTGTGAAAACACTTTATTCAAGATATGAGGGCAATATATAACACACCCAATAGCAGTCAACACGCATCACATATCATAGCAGCACAATGAAGTAGTAAACTAGAATTGTCATAGACATAATGCATTCTATATTGACTATTACCTGATGAAACTTTTCTTTTTTCTGGACGTAAACGCCGGCGCCACAATGCAACGTGACGAAATGACTGCGGACAGCTGCGGCATACATGCAGCTATCATAAACAAGGAAACCTATACCAGTCTAATATGCAGGAGAACTGTTCTGCCAAGCCGACATCACAGCCCTGTCTTTGGGGTATCAGCGTATGACAGAGCCTGAGAACGTGCAGCAGCTTTCAGCCGCACTTGGAAACGGGATGGAAACATGGCAAGTCCGAAATGACGACCTCCAACGCCTAACAAGGATTGAAATCGATGCTCATCGTTCTGATGGCGTGACAAGCAAGCGCCGTCGACAGCATGTTTACCAGCGGCTGTTGCGGACGGGATCACCGTTACCTCCAGTCCAGCCTAATGTACCAGTTAGAGTCTGTTCGTTGTCACAAGGATCAAGAAAACCTACCACCACGACCGCCGCCGCGGCCTCCTCCACGGCCACGGCCACCTCCCCAGCGACCACCACCGCCGCCACCACCGTAGCGGGCCATCTCATGAAGACGGGGGTCAATCTGCTGCTTGGACTCTGTAAGAATTTGAACGAGGTCACGAGCTTGCTTGGAGTCTGAGTCGTTGTTAGCAATTGACTATCAATAATGGACATGAATGTACATACTCTCTGTAGTGAAAAGGGTGATGGCAGTTCCGTTAGCGCCAGCACGACCAGTACGACCAATGCGGTGGACATAGTCCTCCGAGTTGTTCGGGTAGTCATAGTTGAACACGTGAGTAATGTTGCGAACATCTTTGAAAGCAAAGGTTAGTGAATGATAAAAAAACAGAGCGGACGACGATCATGATTGGATCGCGTGAAGCTGCAGTATGTTGCATGCAACCGTCTCTGTGCGCTACAACGAAGATCACGGCATCAAGTCCAGTGGGAAGGCTGTGGATATCTCCTGGTCTAGGAAACCCTTGGAAGAGACTGCGACTTAATCAAGTCAAATATCTCAGGCAGCTTGCTTCAGTAATACGACGGTAATACCAGAAACAGAAGGTAGCGAAGACTATAAGCCTCACCAGCGTGACCAAGGATCCCTGGGGATCAGATTCGAGAGAGATGCAAGCCCTGGACGATGTCATGGGAGCGAGTGTAACAAGCGCACAAGACGACCTAAGCAGAGCACAATGGCAGTTCACGCATAATAATAGTTGAGGTGGGGTTGGGGAAGAGGGAGTGTTGGGGGTTTGCAATCATACCGATACCACGGGAAGCTACGTCAGTAGCAACCATGATTGGGCTCTTGCCCGTCTTAAACTCGTTAAGGACCCAGTCACGCTCGTTTTGCGCCTTGTCACCATGGATGGCTAGAATCATGTTAGCAGTGTTTACTCGACAAGCAAAAGATTAACTTACAGAGCGCCGGCCAGCCGTCTTGACGAAGGAATCGCGTAATTTCGTCCGCAACACGCTTGGTACCTGTGAAGATGAGGATCTTGTTCTCCTTGTCGCTCATAATAGTCTCGAGATGCTTGGCCATGCGGTCACGCTTCTCGAACTCTGTGCAGACCTCGACGATCTGTTGAATACGGTGGTTAGCAGAGAGGTCCATGGAACCAATGTTGACCTGGATCCAGTCCTTCTGGTAGTCAGCAGCCAGTTGGCGGACTTCCTTGGGCCATGTAGCCGACCACATGCAAGTCTGACGATCAGGACGAATTTGGCCAATGATCTTGCGAATTTGAGGCTCAAAACCCATGTCAAGCATGCGGTCGGCCTCGTCCAGAACGAGGTAAGTGACGCGGCGGAGGTTCGTTTTTCCTGCTTCGAGCATATCAATAAGACGTCCGGGAGTGGCAATGCACACTTCAACACCACGGGCAAGGTCACGGATTTGAGGACCCTTGGGAACACCTCCGTAGACACAGGTGTTTCGAATGCGCGAAGACTTTCCGAACTTGCTGATCTCCTGCTGAATCTGGACAGCAAGTTCACGTGTGGGAGCGAGGATGAGAACGATAGGACCGTCGCCAGGAGCGAGGAGAGGCTGGGCGTTGATGTGGACGATGGCGGGAAGACAGTAGGTGAGGGTCTTTCCGGAACCAGTCTCAGCGACACCGACAACATCGCGACCAGAGAGAGCCATGGGCCAACCCTGCGCCTGAATAGCAGTAGGCTTTGCGAAGCCCTGAGCCTTGACCTCGTTCATAACGTAAGATGGGAAACCAGCCTCATCGAAGGTTGTGACTGGCTTGGGAATGTTTGTGCCCTTGACAGTCATCTGGTGCTCCTTGCGGTATTCGGCAACCTCAGCCTCGGAGCGCGCGGTGACTGCGGGATCCTCCTTGTAGAAGGACTTTTCAAACTTGGGAAGAGCGTCGAGATCTGTTCAGACGTTAGCGCTATTTTTTCCGTGAATTGTGTTGCAAATCGACATACCCCATTGCTGCTGCTTCAAGCCTTGGCCGAGCTGCGACATGCGGTCACCTCCATCGCGACCACCATAGCCGCCACCGCCATAGCCACCGCCGCCGTAACCACCACCACCACCGCCGCCAGAGTAGCCGTTGGAGCCACCGCCGTATCCGCCACTAAGAAAACTGTTAGCAAATGTCGAAAAGAGGTGGTGTGTGACGAAGGGAGAATTCTACGTTGTCGCAGCAAGTACGTGACCGCGTGCTTGACATATAAAAGCAAGCAAAGCGGCGCGGCCTCCGGACTGTGACTGCGCGTAGAATCCGAAAAAAGAAATGTAGCAGATGGAGGGTGTCCATGCAGCACGACTGTGATGCCTTTCCCGTGTAAAGGGGATGAATCGTCGTACCCGTACGATGCATATTGGCTTGTCGAGTTGCTGTAAGACCCATATCCAGCATTGCTGTAGTCGTACCCGTTTGAGTAGCCACGGCCGCCATCGCGACCGCCGCCGCCATATCCACCGCCGTAAGACATGATGTGCGTGTGTGCTGGGTAGAGACTGGCGTCAAAGGAGCGCCGTTCGGTCTAAGAGAGCGTGTTTCGAGATCTGAGACCGCGAGGGTATATTAAGATGTAGTAAAGCGACGGAAAGAGTGTCGCGGGTTGTGCGATAAAAGAAGCACTGATAGAAGAGGGCGAAGGTGTATGAGAGAAGAAGTGAAAGGGCAGAACGCGCCAGGAAAAGTTGCCTTGCCTCTGTTGCGCTTGCACATTTTTTGAGACGCTAGCGGCGCTAGGGCGAAGGGTCTGGCCATTTCCGGTTAGCGCAGAACTTGCCGTTATCAGGCCGGGGAAGTCACCAAGAATTCCATTTCGCCACCCTTGGGCCGAACTGCAGACACACTACCATTCCACCGAGAGGCTGCAAAATTTGACATGCGCCTCCATATTACTGTTGGTGGGGCTGCTGCTCTGATGCGAATGACGCCCGACACGTAGCGAACGAAGAAGACCAACAACAACACCACCAGCAACAAGCAATGCATTCACCGCTTCAGATAGAGGCTGCCCCACGGGCCTTCCGTCGTCGATGCATTGACTTTTGTAAAAGGCTAGAGTCTCCGTTGCAGCAAACATGTTGAAATGGTAGCATGGCCTATGGCCAGTAATAGGGTGACATGGTATGCATCCGCAACCCATCTATTCAACTCAATTCAAACCTTTTTGCCAGCCCGCAATCCCATGTCCCAGAAACCTCTTTCCATCTGCTCTCCGTTAGCGCACTCATCAACCACCCACTTTTTCATCAGTACTTACTTTAGTCGCATGGATAAACACTTTAGCTAGTTCCTCCACTCTGCTTGGACTTAGGCCTGCTGCATGTTTCTCCACAAGCTCGCTTCCCCTCATCATCGCACCCCTGTACTCATCCGCTACATACTGCTCGATCCACTTCCAGTATCTACTGCCAGTCCTGACCGTGTTTGGGTCCTCATATAGTCGCTTAGCAATGATGCCGTAGCCTATCAGGCAAGGGAGAAGGGCTATCTGTAAGGCAAGGAAGTCTTGCGACATGCCAATGTCAAGAACGTAGCGCGTGTATGCTGTGGTAGCTTGGTCCTCTTCCTCGCTGATAATATCGGCTTCGGAGAGTCCATATTCTTTGCAGAAATCAATGTGAAGCTGTATCTCCTCTTGGAGAGTGACAACCTGTTGGACGGACTGACCAATATCTTTGAGGTTGCTTGACTTGTATGCTGCGAGAGCGGTAGCTCTTGCAAATTGAACCTATAACATCGTCAGCTGTTTCTGTGGTAGAAAGCTACCTAACATGAATGGACTAGAGGACGTACAAGGAACTGGTAATCTTGCACAAGATAGTACATAAACTTTTCGAGTGGTAGTGTTCCATCTCCCATCCTCTGAACAAACTCATGCTCTGTATACTCTTTCCATGGTATTTGTACTTCATCTCGATCAAGTAGGTAGGAGATAAAGTTACCGGGAGTGAAAGGGAGAGTGTATATTGAATGGAAATGATTGATCGGCCCACTCCCCCGCCCGATATCCATCGCTGTTTTGATTCCGGCTTCAATGTATCGATTGGCTTCCTTGACAGCCTTGATCATAGGCATACCGAGAGCAAGGTTGCACGAGATTGCTGAAGCAAGTGAACACCCTGTGCCATGGGTGTTCTTCGATTGCAAATAATCACTCTCTATCAAGGTGACTCCACTGTCTCCAACTAGCACATTTAGTACTACTTCCCGGTCCGCCTCCTCTTTACTGACAAAATGACTGCGTGTTAATGGTAGGTGGCCTCCCTTAAGTAACACCCACTTGGGTCCTCTCTCGTGGATATGACGTGCCATTGCGATAATGTCATCAATATTCTGCGGGTCCGGCAATTCAACGCCTGCAGCTTTCAAAAGAAGTTTTGCCTCTGGGAGATTTGGTGTTAGAAGCGTTGTATGAGGGAGAAGATGTTCGATCAGTGTTGTAACCGCCGCTTCAGGAAGAAGTTGTGAACCCGATGTCGAGACCGTTACCTAGAATTTGATTCAGATCGTGTCTAATCATCCAGATCGAATGGGTAACCAGAACGTACAGGGTCAACAACACTCGTGCTAATGTTGTGTCTCTTCAACGCGTCGGCGACAATCTTGATCGTCTCTGCCGACGCAAGCATGCCTGTAAGACGTGAGATTCCTCGTCTTGAAATCGACGCATTTTTCTATCATCTGTTTGTAGACCTACCAGTCTTGACAACATCGGCTCCGATATCATCACAAACAGCATCAATCTGCTTCTTCACAAAGTCCGGGGGTGTATGATGTATGTCCTGCACACCTAGCGTATTCTGTGCTGTCAACGCGGTAGTAGCAGTCATAGCATAGCAGCCATGGGCTGCAATAACCTTCTGATCAGCCTCTAGTCCGCTGTTGGTAGGGGTGGATAGTTAGTGTAACTGGCTGATTGAAGGAGGGGCGGATGCATGTATGCGTACGTACGCCCCACCCGAACTATCTGAGCCAGCAATTACCAGGATACGCTTCGGCGGCATTGGGAACAACTGGAAGTTGACTGTAGCGAGATTTTGCTTCGTTCCAAGACTGCGGGCTTGGAATGGTGAGAGTCTGCCGTTTTCTCTTTGAGCCCCACCATCCGCCGGTAAGTAGGTACGCGAGACCCACGTCATTCCGTCATATGTTGCTGGCACACATGGACACTGCAAGAACAGTATAGCCGCAAATGATAAATACTCGGCTCTTGATATAAATTGGCAATCCTCTAGTAATTTTGATGACATCGTAGCCATCTTCTAATGACAAAATAGAAAAGAGTTGCCGGAGACTCATGTATTACTTTACACACGTATATTATTGTACCAGTATGTCGTTTTATCTAAAAATGTGCAGAATAATATCCAAACGCAGTTCAGCTATGTAGTGTCTGCTGGAACTTTCAAGTTATCTTCTCTACACTTTGCAATGCTTCCACTCATGCCACTCAGTTACCATAATCCCTTAACCTGTGATACACGCTGTGTGGGCTCGAATACTTCATTGTTTTCAGACGTATTTGCCCTCGAAGTACTACCGCTATCTGTAAAGGTTGGGAAAGCTGATGCATCGTGGGTGGCACTGGCATCCCAGCCGAGAGTCTCTTCTTTCTCATAATCCATAGGCGCCCATGCCGCATCCTCATCTTCAGGTACGAAAAGACTTTCGGGATCGCGATGCGGCGACTGCGCCTGAACTGAGGTCTGGCGAGATCCTAGGCGGCTTGAACCCTCGCGCCGAGATGCCGGCTGCACTGGTGGAGGCATATCAGACTGAAAGCTGCGACTACCTTCACGCTCCATCGTCGTTGTTGATGGTGTACGAGGTGTATTCCTGTTGTGTGTTGTCTGAGGCGCGGGGGCAGGTATGGGTGCGGATGGAGCAGCGGTGTAATTGCCCGAAGTCATCAATGTGAATTCACAAAACAGACCATCGCATCCATAGCTGAATTGTAACGGCCGGGTTGGCTGAGAATAGAAGGCTCTCAGGTTTGTCTTTAGAGTGTCTGCGTGCATGACAATAGCTTTGAAATCTTTGACGTTGATGATGATATGCATGCCAGATTGCACGACGAACTCTTCGAAATCCGATGTGTTGACGGCCACGGCTGTGACAAGTGGGTGCTTCAAGATCTCCTTTCCGTTGGAGATCTTTTCGGTATAACTCTTGAATACGCAGCGACCGTCGTCTCCTGCAAATATGTCGAGCATTTCGGTTTTGGTACCAAAATACTCGATGTACTCTCTCACAGCACCAGCGTGCATGGTCCACCGATTCTTTGCTACCGACCGATCAAATAGTGCATGCATCACATCCACAGCTTCGTAGGTGAGCTTGTATGTTTTGATAACACCCTGGTTGCAAACCATCTTGACAATAAACCGACATTGTGTCTCGTTCTCTCGCTCTTGCACGCTCACCTCACAGCGGTCTATCGCACCATCCCGCCCTACTGGATCGTACAGGCGCCCTTTGAACACTGACAAGAGGGCCTTGGTGTACATGCTGCACGTGAAGCGACCCTCAGGTCCGCCATGGCTTGGGACACACTCATAGCTGGCGAAGAATTGTCTACCATCTAAAGTAACGGCAGCATATGCGGATTTGGAAGAGTTGAGTGCAGTGAATGTGAACTGAGACGAAACATATGAGCCGACGGGCTGACTTTGAAGAAGAACGGCAAACCCACCTTTTCTCGACGCGCTTCGATGGCTACGGTGTCGCTGAATTTGCCTAGACAGACAAGAAGATCATGGACTTTGGAAGCCGCCTCGGGGGTGAGGGTGAAGTTGAGAACGACCATGTCGTATGACTATTCGCATAGTGGCGAGGGCAGTGCATGTCATACAGCAGCGCTTGTGAGGTGGCCGAAAGCGGAAAGACCGCGTTTTTGACGCGCTAGCGTATTGACATCATCGCGCCTGCTACTCGGAGTATGGTAAACAACATAACTTCATGAATAGCCCATCCAAGACGTCATGGCTCAAGCGGTGCTCCCAGACGATATCTTACATCTCTTATGCGAGGAACTCGCCAGCCAGGAGCAATTTGATACCCTCTTCAACTGCGCTTGTGCGAGCCGCGCCCTTGCCGTCCCTGCGTTAACTCAACTGTACAAGTACTTGACACCAGTCCGGCTCAGTTGATTATCATCTTTGCTGATACGAACAAAAGATCTCACCATCTTGCACCGGTTCGGGGTGGCGGGGAAGATCTCTACGGTTTACCGGCCGCCACTAACCTACTTACTATCCAGAAATGGTCCATCTTATGGCGGTCCATTGTTGCCTCGAGCCTTGGCGCCACTCTTTTCCCATATTGTCGTTATATCAGATCGCTTGACTTCCGCGATCTCGGTTACCTTCTCGAAGATGACCAATTCCGAGCCAAGATCTCAAAGTCAGTCCAGTCTTATGCAGGCCATCCTTCTGAGTTAGACACTGACACCCATAGACAATTCTTCGCTGGCCCACTGAAGCAGTTTGAGAAGACAGAGACCCTGACGAACATCAAAGGCAGGAAGTTTACGCGAATCAAGACAGCGGACGTCATCGATGCCATTGGTGAAGGTGTGCTTGTGATCTAAATCTCATACTGTGTTCGAGATTCTGACACTCTGCAGTGGTGACACAACACACGCCCACTCTCGAGGTGATTAGTGGAGAACGTATGTACAAGCTCGCTCAAGTGAATTGAAGAAACAACTAACACCGTGGAGTTCAACCTGGTGCTCTTGTACGATGGACACCGCGTCTCCCACGGCTACAAAGCCTCGAACTATGGGATGGCAAGCCACTGGAAGACGAGCTAGTCCACGCATCCATCTACGAGCATTGCCCGCACTTCAATTCTCTGATGATCTACACATGGCGCTCTACTAACAATGACCAAAAGTTTGCCAAGTTCCTTTCCTCTATGCGACCTAATACGCTGCAAACGCTACAAACCATTAGCGATGTTGAAGCAGGCGCCGAGACGTTCCTCGCACTGAGCAATCATGGAAAATCGCTCGAAGATCTTCGCCTATGTGTGACCAAAGACTCAATACCGCACCTGGCTCTCCTAAAAGGATGTACGGCTTTGAAGACACTGCGGATCGAAGATATGCATGGCACCGTTGACCTCGAGGCAACCGAAAACGACGTCTTCCTTGAAACCATATCATGGCTGCAAAAGTGTTCAAACCTCCAGCGTCTCAGCTTCTCTAAACTACAGTCCGGAGCCGCCATTATTACCCCTGTGCTGTTAGAGGAAAAGATTCAACTCAGCAGTTTAGAGATAGACTCCTACACGCTCAAAGACCACAAGTCGTTCCATCAGGCTCTTGTGCATCAACAGTCTTCCCTACGAGTATTGTTCTTGAGTGGCGACACAGAAGGCATGTTTCGCGACGATCTTGATATTCTTGTTGAATCTTTGAGGCAGCTCCGCCAATTGCGCGATTTGCACCTGATCCTTCCAGAGGTATTGCGCGACGATCATCTCAAAACCATTGTCGCCGATCTCGTCCTGCTCGAAGACTTGTACGTCAGCGGGTTAGAGCTCAACGACGACGTACTTCCATATCTAGCCAGCCTGCCCAATCTCCGCACCGTCACAATCTCCGGTATCTCAAAGTTCACCATGGATGGCTTGTTGGATTTCATAGACAGGTTGGGCCCGGGGAACCAAGGTATTCGTCTGTCTGTCGACATGGCAGATACGGATACCCTGCTTCCAGACGAGCAATTAGCTCTAGTAAAAGATAACTTGATGGAGAAGGCCAGTGGCACCTTTGAGTACATGGCACTAAGAGGTATGTGGTGGGCACTGTAAACTGAGTAACCTATAAACGATCCCTGACTAACAGTGTGTTTCCGCCAGACCCAAATGTACCTGAATTCGAGAGTGATTCCGACTAAGCTGCCGCGAGTGTTACATGGTAGTTTCAAGCTCTTGTGAAATGCTATGGAACATGTATTTGGATAGATCCATGATTCAGACTATGTCTTTTCTGGTTCGAGTTGGTTTTTGTCACAGGATACAGAACCAAATCTTGAATAGTAACGTGGATGCTATGGATGTACAAAGCCGTCACGCCTTTCTTACGCCATTGTCTACGCGTTGATAATGATCCCTTCACAAAAGAGCTGCTCAATCAATCTCCATATCTTCCCCGCCTTCCACTTCTTCCACTTCTTCCTCCTCCCTATCCAACCGCTCATTCAACGCCTCCAACCGCTTCTCACACACATCCCTCTCCAACTCAGGCAACCCCTCCAACCTCTCCACAAACCACTCCCCCAGCTCCCTCATATACCCCCACCAATCCTCCGCAATAAACCTAGCCAAATACTCCTTGAGCCGATAATGCCCCGGCAAATCCCCACCCCCTTTCTTCCCAAAAATCCGACACGCAAACACCATCATCTCATCCCTACCCGGCGTGATACCCTCCAGCTTATCCACCACATGCTCCATAAGATCATACATATCAAGGCGATCCGCAACACTCCACGCCGCGTAGCACTGCTGCAGCACTATGCTGTAATCCTCACTGCTACTACTACTACTACTACTACTACTACTACTACTACTACGCGGATCGAGCGGTAATCGGATCCCAAAGTCGTCGCTTTCGAGGTACTCGGCTGCAAAGTCGAAGTCGGCGGGGTTGATGTGACGCAGGGCTGGGTGGCGCAGGATCCATGTGTTGTCGATGTAGTCGAAGTGGTTGAGGCCGCGGCGCGGGTCGCGGAAGTAGGGTCTGTTCCAGAGGGATTGCTGGGGGAGGACGCGGAGTTGGGATTTGGGGCCCACGGGGACGTGGATGAAGTGTTTGCTTTGGGTACTGGAAGAGGTGCGGTTAGCTTTGGGGAAGGGGAGGGGAGGAGGGAGTGGGACATACAGTTCGCCATCTATGGTGTCGCTGGTTGGTTTGTTGAAGATGTTGGAGAGGTTGGTGGTGTCTAGGATGCAGGTCTGTTGGGATAACGGTTTTGTGGCTGGCTCTGTTCGTTTTGGGGTCTCGTCTGTAGGGACTTCCTCGTCTGTTAGGTCTATAGTGTTGTTGGGCAGAGGGACTCCAAAAAATCTTGTAGAGTTCTGGGTTGCGGCAGTACGACTAACTTGTGGACTTGGCAATACGATTGGGGGCGATTGAGAGGGCGTCAGCAAGCTTCTACTTGCAGGATTCTTGCGCAAGTAGTCGTCTCGGCTTGCGCGTAAGGCTTGCTGAAATTCAGTGTCCATGGAGTCTTCAGAGTCTAATTCGAGATCAGAATCAATGGTTATAGTACCTCCCACTCTCTCACGCCAATACTCCAAGTCCAAGGAAGAGTCGAGATGGTTGTTGGCCATTCCATATGCATCTCCTAGGCCCGGCACTCTTGCTACCATTTGTCCCTGTAGAATTGGCATGAACGGATCGTATTCGCTCAAATCTTTTGGGGTTGCCCAGCGACTGTCTAAATTAGCATGTTTGCGGGTTTATCGGAAGACACTCACAATGTTAGGCTACCTAAGATCAATATGAGAATTGTAGAAACACCGCGCGGGCGACTTCGCAGTAAATCCTTAGGTGCCATGTCGTCTGTACAGACTACTGCTGGCCATGAGGGTGGAGGAGACAGTGAGCCCTGATACTGGATCAGACTGCCCGGTTCCAGCTGCTCCATGGTGTTCCGGACGTATGTTCTGGTTGTAACTCAACCGATCGGGTCTGTACGGGGGTTATTAGCAAAGAAAGCTTGATGTGAGATACGCTTATATAGGTGAAGGAATGTTGACTAACCTTGCTGTCTATTACCTGCATCGGCTGCTCCTTGAAGCTCTAGTACCTTTACCAGATCCGGGCTTTGCAGTGTTCACTTCAGTACACTTCTTGAACTGCCGGCTGAACACGGCTGTTAGGCATTTACATGCTTATCGGATTCGTTCAGTTACGACGATAACTATTATCGCACAGTACACTGCCAGAGTGAGAGGTTTCTTCGAATCTATGCTACAGTAGTCGCTGTATGATGCATATCTTCCTCGATCTTCCCTGACACTGCCTCGCTCATCGAATCCCCAGAATCTCGAAGCAATATTTCATTCAACATTCTTCGACTAGTATAAGGACCGGATACTTACTTGGCGTATTTTCGGTACTAGTAAGTTTAAGCGTTAATTTCCTCGACTACAAGGGTGCCATGTGCAAGGAAATGTACAAGCAGCGGACTGTAGAGCTTGTTGCAACGACGTGTTCTGAATCAGACCTCTGTTCACTCTTTCACCAAAAACCATCTCTATAAGTACTCATCTCACCAAATATGCGCAATTCTTCTTGCTAACCACTATGTACCCTTCCGACCTTCCTGTATACAATGTACACCAATTGTCTTGGCAGCGGGCACCTTGTATAAGCGCGCCTGCGGAGTTTGTCGCTCCACAGCTCGGGAGTTGACTAAGCCTGCCCGCAACAACCAATCCAAGGACATCTGGCATTTACCCTTTCCGCGACCATCGACCTCCAACGAAACGACGCGCCAGATTCTCCGCTGCGCCCGTTTCCGCTTTCAAAAGCCCACTTGTCCAACCAACCCATACGGGCACACAGAAAAAAAAAGTACACATCAATCCCTCACAACAGGGAATTCCACAAACGGGACAACCCAACCTCGACGCATCCACCACGAATCCTACAAACTCCCACCCTACACACGCACGCCCCAAAAAACCGACCAATAACCATGTTCGGCGTCGCAGGCATGCAACCACGGCAACTCGCCGCCCAAGTCCTCAACTTCGCACTCGTCCTCTCGACCGCATTCATGATGTGGAAGGGCCTCTCGGTCGTCGCCGACTCGCCCTCACCCATCGTCGTTGTCCTCTCTGGATCCATGGAGCCCGCTTTCCAGCGCGGCGACCTACTGTTCCTGTGGAATAGAGGCTTGGATACGCAGATTGGCGAGATTGTCGTGTATAATGTCAAGGGCAAGGATATTCCGATTGTGCATCGGGTGGTTAGGAGATATGGTGGAGGGTGAGTTTGATACTTGTTTAATGTTCTGGTTTTGTAGCATTGGCTAGGGAACATGATGTGGCATTTTTTGAGGGAGACACATGTTGCGTGGAAGGGTATTTGTGCTGACAATTGTGCCCTTTTTTTTTAGTAAAACACCGCTCCGTCTCCTTACCAAAGGTGACAATAACCTTGCAGACGATACGGAACTTTATGCTCGCGGACAGTCCTTCCTTAACCGTAAGGAGGATGTGATTGGAAGTGTCGTTGGCTTCATACCGTTTGTGGGATACGTTACCATTCTACTGAGCGAGCACCCATGGTTGAAGCAAGTCATGCTAGGAATCATGGGTGTTATGGTGGTGTTGCAGAGGGAGTAGCGTGTGTATGATTGGGAATGACAAATAGTGTGTATCGAGGTGCATTATAGAATTTGGGTTATCATCATGTTCGTGTTTATCGTATCCAGTGGTGAAGATGTTTGCCATGGCTTGAACTCTTGCTGTGCATCTTTGTAGTAACTATGCTTTGAAGTGAATAATCCAAATATCCACATCCTGTCCCGAAACCGTGCAGTTGAATCTAAAACAAAACACTTGCCACTGTAGTAATCATAAACTTGCGGCATTTATTTGACAAGTTAAAGTAAAAAAAAAACGATACTAAGTCCTTGTACATCTCACCCAAATCCCACATCCACCCTACCGTCTCCTCCATTCCCTCACCTTCACCCCCTTCCAAACCAAACCAACCCAAAAAAAACACCCCAAAAAAGAAGCAATCATGCGCCGTACGGGGTTCGACTGTACCATTTGTCAGTCCACCAATTCGAACTCTAGTCATTCAAGACACTTACACCCGTGATCCCCGCCTTTTATAACATTTCCCACATGCAAATGGAGCTGCTTTGGGAAGGCGATAGCATAGCCACTAGCCCAACGACGCTTCGTAGACTTGTTTTTTTCCATCTTGAATTCGATGAGGTGAGGATGGGATAGGAAAGAATATATGCCTGTGTGTATGTGTGGTTTAAAGGGTTTTGGTTGGGAAAGGGAGGGGAAGGGGGAACAAAGAGTGGGAATGGGAGGACCCTGGTTTGCGGGGTTATTGTGTGGTAAAGGTACACGTATAGTTTACTGTGAGTGGTTTTTGTTTATGAGAAAGGAGGGTTATGTTGAATTTTGATCTGGGAGACCCGGGTATTGTTCAACTGCGGATTATATACATCACCAAGAATCACGTGGGACGGGCAGAAGAACAAGAGGTATAGAAGCAGCAAGCAAAATAAATCTCCATACTGCAAAGTTTAGACTAGTGTACACATAGACTTGGTCATGAGCTTCGTGATGTTTTTTGCCCCCTTTTCTTCCCCTTTCACAAGGTCGAAGAAAAAAAAGAGGGGTGAAGATGGGGAGGAAGAGACGCCCCCAAACATCATGACCGAACAAGTCACAAGCGCTGGAAATGAGACTGAACTGTGACTGTTCCCTTTATCGCAAAAGGAACCACCACACAGATTTGGCTAGCCGAAGACACTGAGATACACACGTACACACCCATGTTCGAGACCGAACTCACGAACCCATTAAAGCCTAGGAAGGATCACATAAAGGAAACTGAAGAGAGAGGAGGCGGACTGCAAAGCCCGAGCCCAGGAACCTCCGATGACAAGCTTTACTCGGACTCTTCCTCTTCCTCATCGGCAGCCTAGGTTTGTTAGCACGTGATTTTAGGACACAGGGGATGGGGAAAAACATACGGTGTAAGCAGCCTTCTCCTGCTCGTAGCGCTTCTTGTCTAGAGCAGCCTTGGCCTCGTAGGGTTGGCGCTGCTTGTCGTTGAGTGCCTTCCACTTCTCACCGAGAAGCTTGCCGACCTCGCCTGGGCAAAAAGGTTAGAAACAGAGTAGACGAGGGGGTAAAAAGCATCAACTTACCGAACTTGATGCCTGGGTTGTCCTCGCGGACCTTCTCACGCTGCTCGTTGGCGAAGAACATGTAGGCAGAGAGACCACGCTTGGGCGCGTTGGGGTCTGGAGCTGGTTAGCAGGGGAGTGGGAACACGTGAGCAAAAACTTACCCTTCTTCTTCTTCTCGGCCTTGGTCTTAGGCGCAGCCTTGCGGGTAGTCTTTTCCTTGGGCATGGTGTTGGTTGATGTGCTATTGCTGGGGGTTAGCTGGGTGGTGGTTGAGAGGCAAGAGAGGGATTTTGGACAGAAAGCAAAACGAGGGAGACGAGGAGAGCAATGCAGCGGCCGATGCCACGGGTGAAGGTGGAAAGTAGCGGTGTCGGCTGGCAAAAGCGGAAGATGGTGGGAAAGGCGTAGGCAATGGCAATGGCGGTTGCAGGGCTGGCTGGTATGCATGCGCGTGGAGTGACGCGGTCGCAAAACACCACAACACGACGCGAAGATGCGCGATTTTACGATGACAGAAGGAGCGAGTACTCACCAAAGTAGCTGGATTCAGCAAAATCGAAGGGGTTGATAAAGGTCTGTTTTGCGGTCAGTATGGGATGGGCGTGGATGGATGGCGCAGTGATGGCGACGACGAAAGAAAGGGAAAGAGAAGGTGTCGCCAGAAATGCAGAAAGAGGGCTGGGAGAGGAGTACAAGGGCGAAAAGAGGCGGGAAAACGCGTGCAAAAAGGGTGTTGTTGCGAAAAGGGGTGCTGGTGATGAAGCGACTTTGGCATTTGCAGGCGGGGACGACTCACCAAAGGTTTTGCAGGCCAGAGTTGTATGGGCGGTCTACACTGCGAGGTTTTGGTGAGCACGCAGCGAAAACAGCGAGGGCCGCAAAGGACCCTCACAGCGCGGCCTGGCAGGGCGAGGGGATTAGGTAAGCACGCTTGTTTTGCAGCCATGGCATAGCAGCGCACCCGGACCACCACCCCTCCTTTGTCTACCGGGAGCTGCGCTGCCTCACCGCACCAACTCTCGCCCGCACGGCACACGCTGCACTGTCGTTTTTTTTTCTTTCGCCAAAGGGGGGGTGCGAGAGAGACTGCAGCAAGTATGAAAGCAGAGGCGAGGATGATTGCAATGGCGACAGCGAGGGCGACAGGCGCAATGCCTTGAGGAATCCATCCTCCCAAGTGTGCCAGGCCCGCACCCGCGCCCTCGCCCAAAACACGCCTGCACCCACCCTCGCAGCGCGCGCGGCCAACACGGACGCGCATCATGCTTGGGCGCCCCCTTCGTCTGCTCTCTCCTGGCGAGTTTCAAGTTTGGTTAGATTGCACGCAGAAGAGCATGGTCTACCATTCGTTGGGCGCATGCGAGGCGGCCCTGGTTGACGTTATCTTCGAATAGCGCGGCGGCCTGCTCTCCTTCCCCGACCACCAGAGGCCACCCAGGCCGGCTCCATGGCCTCGTCACCAAACCCTCGCTATTACACGAGCTCGACGAACCATCCGAGCTGACTGGCCAGCCTGCCTCATGTGCCCGACCCCGCAGCTTGTCGTGCCCACGGCCTTGGTGACGGCTATGTACCCAGCCCAGCCCAGCCCAGCCTACTATCTGACCTGCCTGACTGACTATACCTATCTACTACTATCTGCTTGCTTGCCTGCCTTGTAATATGTCCTGTCCTGTCCTCCGTCCCTACCGACGTACTGTCTACCGCCCAGTGTATGCGCCCACTTTTGGCCACCACACGGCTCTGCCTCTTCCTTTCCTGCCCCGTCAACATGCCCACATTCACACACATTACACTGCCCCGCGCCTCCGGTGCCAAGTGTCCTCCCTCCCTCGCCCCTTTGCCTCTGCTCCCCAAGCACAAAGCGCCGCCTCTTGTTGCCCAGGCGGCCCTGTGAGCCACTCCCCACTCCCCACTCCCCGCCAGAGAAGCTCGTGGGTGCGCAGGCAGGCAGGCATGCAAAGTATGCATGCATGCAGGCACGCCAACGCCTAGACCGGCCCGTCAGAGGTTCGGCACCGCGCCCCCGTCGCTTCCCCGACCGTAGTCACCGTAGTCGGCCAGAGGTTGGAGCGAGCCCGCGACTGCTCCATTCCGTCGCTGCCCCATTGCTCCAGCAACCGCCATGACGTCCTCGGTCAACAAACACCACCCAGCGCACACACACACCTCTTGACAAGAAGAAGACTGCAAACGTTGGCTACACGCATCCGCTGACCCAGCCCAGCTTCATCTCAACACAACAACCACACTTCAGCCTGCCCTTGACCCCCGCGCCTGCACCATGCATCCTCCATCTATCCTGCCCTACCACCACAAGCTCACCCGTCCTCCTCGTCATCCATCACCAGCTCCGTCAAGCCCTCGTCTGCAGCCCAGTTGATCCCACTGCCCACAATCATGCCTGATAGTACCCCCTTGAGCGTCTTCACTCTTCGTCTCGACTCTACAAGCTGCTTCTCGACAGCATCCACCTGGCTGCGCAACTGCGCGTCTTCGATATCCTGCACTGATTGCGCCTTCATTTCTTCGGCCAAAGCAAGCATCGTCTGTGCCAGCTCCCGGTTCTTCTGGTTCGCAGCCATGTTTCCTTGTTCTGCTGCACTCAGAGCACGTGTAGTAGAAGCAAGTTTGGCGGTTTGAGCACCATGTGTCATGGCCATTGTGTCGTTCTCGGTCACGAGTGGGAGCAGGCGCCTGTAGGCCATTAGACAACCACACACTATGCCAGCCAACGTGAGACCAACTTTTCAGCAAATCGCGTCCGCTCGCCCCCATGAACAGCTTTGAGCACCGGATCCATGACCAGTACGTTGTGCGTGATTCTGTTCCTGATCTCGTACTCTGCCTTCGCTTCCATAGCCTCGCGCTGCGCTATGGTCAGCCGCTCCTCCACCAAGTCATCTGGGAGCGCCGACAAGTCATGCGCTTGTGCTACACTTTGCATTAATCCCCGCCCTGCTTAACCCAATCTGACATGTTCAACGTGCCTGCTTGTTGCGCTTGTACGAGGCTCTGCTGCAGCTCCAGTTCCTTGAGCTGGTCGTAGAGCTGCAGGGCTAACATCTCAGTATCCGACAACGCGAACGCGTCGCTGTGCGCGGTCTGTAGCAAATCCGCGTCGTCGTGCGCATCCTGTGTTTTCGCACCCACGTCGACCATGTCGACATCGCCCCGTGTTGCCATGCTGTCCGATATTGTTTCCGTGTGTTTCCAAGATTGCAGTCGAGGCCTGGTTCATCTGACCGAGCCTGACCTTCACCATGATGCAGTGTCGCGGGGCCCATGCGCAGATCCCTGCGTGAACCATGCTTGGCGGTATTTGGTCCCATGTGCTCACGCTTCAACACTCTACTCTCCATCTCGCCCCTGCTGCTGCCCTGACAAGACTCCAACACGCAAAAAGGGCAGAGCTGCATGTCGCTACAAATTGCTGTAGCTCATACGGGCCAGCGTCTTGACGCTGATCCGGTTGCCTTTACTTCGGTCGATGCGCTCAAGTATTGGATCTCAAGGACTACAGAGATTCCGCCCGAGCAGCAGGTCTTGCTCACAACCCAAGGCAAGCATGTCAAGTTACAAGCGCTATTGACAGAGGCAAGTCATCCTTTTTGCACACAACATCCCACCCACTGCATGCTAACACAACTGTTTGTAGAAGGAGATATTTGTATTTAGTCGCGAAATCTCCAACAACCCGCAGGCTGCCATATCCTCAACGCCTCTACCCGATCCCTTCACTCCCGACGATGCGCCGAATCATCTCGCCAGCAATACGGACCTTGGAGCATGGCAAGCACTCTTCCAAGCCCGCCGCAACTGGGCGTTTGCGCTTCTCGAGAAGTCACATTCCATGTCACGCATAGCCTCCAAGCACTTTGCCGAGCAAGCGACCATCGAAAGGGCTACACAAGTCGCAGTTGGAAACCATGATGCGCATATCAAGGGGTTGGAGCAAAAGTATAAAGCAGCAAAGGAGTGGTATGACGGGGTAGAGAAGGAAGCGGGAGACAACGTCCGGAGGCTGGACAGGGATTTTGCACAGCTAGGAACAGTTTCCGCTATCCTCAACTTCAAGCGATTTTTGGCCAAGGAGATGCGATCTGCAAAGAATGTACCCAGCAATGTGATTGTTCGTGAGACGCTCCAGGACTTCCTCGATGTCGAGGCGGTCAAGACGGCCACGGCGACTAGCCAGCGCGTACGCGAGGCCTTTGGGAAGCGCATGGACAAGATGAACATGCAGCTAGAGAGGATTGCAGCAGACTACAACGATTTGTTGAAAGCGGTTGGTCAGAGCCAGAGCCGATCCGTGGTCGACGATACCGAAGAGCCCGTCCGCCTGTACAACGAAATCGATGCAGTAGCAAAAAAGGTCGAATCAGACCTTGAGCATGTAATGGGGCTCGAGGCAAGCTCCAAATCAGTTGCGCAAGTCTCCAAGATGGCTTTGTTGCATACCCGAAACTTCCTACCAGCCATACAGGAATACAGTGTAGAAATGAGCGATCTCGTGCGACGGGCTGTGGAGCAAAAGAATGCAGCCATCAGAAACTCGGTCGAAAGCATGCAGGGCATCGCCAACATTGAATCCTTTATAGCGAGTATGGGCGCAGATCTCGAGCAAATCAGCATACCGCAGGAGGGCGTTGCAGCCTTTGAGCTCATCTCTCTGGTCGGTCGCCTACCATACGTATACGGCACGCTACTCGTTGAAGCTGTCCGGAGGCGAGAATGGATGGAGAGAATGGAAAGGGATACATCATCACTTGCTGAAGAAATGGCAACCTTCCAGGAAGAAGAAGAACGGCGGCGTAAGAGGTGGCTGAAACCCATTGCTGATGTGGTTAACCTGGAAGCTGTGCAAGGAGGCACACTAGGTTTTGAAATGAACGTACAGCCTGAGAAGACGGTTTGGCCTACAGTCACCCGCGAAGAGCTCCGGGACTACCTCAAAGACCTGCAAAGACTCGATGGCCAACAATCTGAAGCCGAGGCATTCGCTCAAGCTATCAAAGATCTGGATCGTCCTACAAAACAACAAATCAAGCGTGCAAAGAATTTCAAAATGGGCAGTGTGCATGAGCCGGCTTTTGGCAGAGGTTCACATCTTATGATGAGAGGTGATGATGAGTTGCGCGTGTTGAAAGAAGGCAATGCAAAGTTGGAGGAGGAGCTGAGGGGCTACAAGAGCCGTGTTCGCCGACTAGAAGATCTTGTACATCGCCAAAATACTGTCAGCAGGCTCTCTATAGGTGGTGCACCTCCATCATTCAGTATCCCTGATGCGGCGGAACCTTCAACACCAACGGCGCGTGTGGCCTCGCCAAGACCTATGGAAGAAAACTCCAGACGTTCCTCCATCTCCTCCCGGCGGCTTTCGACAAACACAGGACAAGAGGATAAGCGTCGCATTTTGCGCCTTGAACAGGAACTCGCAGCTGAAAAGGAAGCTCGTGCGAAGCTCGAAAATGAAGCCCAATCACGGAGGGACGAGGATGCCGATCAACAACGCCGATTCGAAGAGGCAATGTCTACTACAAATAACATCATGGAGAACATGCGAGCACAACAGAAGGAGTTTGCCGAGGAGCGAAAGTCACTAGAAGATGAAATCCGAGTCTACAAGGCTAGGATTGAGGAGGCTGAAGACGAGTTGGATCGCATTCTCGGTAGTCGCGACAATGAGCGAATCGGTATCGATACCAGAGTACAAGAACTCGCTGCTGAGCTAGAGCAGACGCGCAAGGAAGCGGCCGAGCAAAAGACTCGCACAGATAAGGAGACTGAAGCACTGCAGGCTGAAATCATCAAGCTCAAAGCTACCAGGGCACAAGAACGCGACTCATTAGCTACAGTGTTCAACCATCTCTCGCCCGGCACAAGTGTACCTGATGATCACTCGGCACTTATTGCGCAGCTCGAGGATGTGGCTGTCCGGTCACTGAACTACCAGAAGGAGCTCCAGCAGGCCGTGGCAGTGGCAAAGTCGGACAACGAGAACGCTCATGCCAGGATTGAGGAACAAGAGAACAACTTCAACACCAAGGTGGCTGAGCATGAAAAGGCAATTGCTTTGGTGCGAGAAGATCTAGACGCAGAAAAGGCAAAGGCAGCCTCGATTACCGCACAACTCGAAGAGGAGAAGAGCCATCTACATGATCTTCGTTCGAAATTCGCAGAGGGCGAAACCGGCTCTGAAGCTCTGCGGAAGCGAGTGGAGGAGGAGGAAGCCAAGGTTGGCCGTCTCCAGACAGAGTTGGCCGAGAAGAACTCCCACGCCAATAGCCTTGATGTCGAGCTCATGCGCGCTGAGAAGAGGTTGCGCAAGCTGGAAGAGGTCGATTCGTCGCGTACCCATCAACGCATGACCCGCGCAAAGGATCTCAGTCAGCGTCTGTACACACAACACGAACGCCTAATCCGTCTTTTAGAAGCACTAGGTTTCGTCATTACCCACGAGAATGGTGAAATGGTATTGCAGAGAGCGTCCAAGCTTGGCAATAGCACTGTCATGGCCGATACCAGTGCAGGAATCAGCCGAAGCACAACCGCACCCTCACCTACTCCCCTGAAGCGCTTCCTAGAAGATATAGGCGATCTACACTTTCTCCAATGGACAGAAGCAATGAGCCCAGAAGAGGAAGACCAGCGCTACCAAGAGCTGATTTCCAAGCTGGATCTCTTCAACATTGAGACATTCAGCGATGCTGTAGCCAAACGCATGCGCGATATGGAGCACACGGCACGCAAGTGGCAAAAGGAAGCCCGAGCATACCGCGACAAAGCACATCGATTCCAGGCTGACTCGCACGATAAGATTGCGTATCGCTCGTTCAAGGAAGGCGATCTCGCCCTTTTCCTGCCAACCCGTAACAACGCGCATCGTCCTTGGGCTGCCTTCAATGTCGGAGCGCCGCACTATTTCCTTCGCGAACAAGACACACATCGATTGGGAGGAAAGGAGTGGCTTGTAGCACGCATATCGAAAGTAGAAGAGCGTGTTGTTGACCTCTCCAAAACCCTGGATGGTCCACCTCGGGCATCGTTAGACGATCGCTCTGTTGCTTCAAGCAATGCAGTGTCGTTTGAAGATGACAACCCCTTTGAGCTTTCCGATGGACTGCGCTGGTACTTGCTGGAAGCCACAGAAGAGAAAGCCATGGCACCCGGCACCCCAGGCATCAAAGGCGCCGTGACTGTCAAGAGCAGTCTTGAAACCGGGCAAGGCGAGATGCAAAAGTCAAAGAAGAAGTCCTTGATGGACCCGGCTACACAACTCGGAAAATCACTCGACAGCCGTCGCAGCAGTGGCACTAGTAAGAAGAGTGCACCTCTAGCAGGCAGAAACAACTCGGCAGAAGCCCTCTCACCAGGCGAGCGCGCCAATTCCACCCCCAACTCAGCCACCGCAACACGAGGAGGAAGCCCAGCCGGCACCCACGGACCGAGCCACCTACGAGAAACAGAGACAAACGGCGCAGAACCAGACAAGACCGCCTACGACGGAAACGGAACCAATGTGCGCGACCTACTCTGGGGACCTTAGGTTTATACTTCCTGTAAATCTAAGCTGCCCCTCTCAAAACCTTCCCCCTCTGGTTGTCCAAACCAACTGACAAAACTTTTTCTGCAAACAGGTATCCGTCTCACAATACCAATCTCCCCGCAAATCCTCCATGCCGACCCTACTATCCAGCCTTCGCTCCATGAATAACTCCCCCGTCGCAAATCGAGCCGCTAGCCCGACTGACACGCGCACGGCGAGTCCAAGTACCAGCACTCCGCGGAGAGAGGCGCATGCACGGAAAAGTAGTATCTGGGATAGCTTTTTTCAGTATGATATTGAGTATCAGGGGAAGACGTCGAAGAAGTAGCCGGGATTGCTGGAAGGGGTGGGGGTGGGAATATATGTATTTATATGTGTGAAGTTTCGGTTTAGGCATGAAGAGGGGGGTTTTCTCTTTCTCTTTTTTTTTTTTTACTTTGTTAATATGGCGTATGTGGATTCGCAAGGTGAAAGGGGAATTATGAAGAGTAGTCAGTTAAAGTTCGATGGTCGAAGATGGATATCATGGGGGTGAATTTCTTTCTCTTTTTTTTTCTTCTTCTTTCTGTTTTTACTAAGTGTATGGGTATGCTTACAATATGGAGGGGGGGTGGATTTCAAGCATCATGAAGCGGGATGTATGCGCCGGCTTGTTTATTCTCTTATGTGTAGTTTATTTATTCTAGAAATCACCAAGTGTGGAGTTTCCATTCGATGAGTTTTGCTGTGTTTTTTACGATGTGTATTTTGGTTTTGTTTTACTAATGTATGTCTCATCATCTTATATACATATCCACTATAAAAACTTACTCTCCTCTTCTTCTTCTTCTTCTTCTTCTTCTTCTTCTTCTTCTTCTTCTTCTTCTTCTTCTTCTTCTTCTTCTTCTTCTTCTTCTGTCTCCTCCCCCCCCCTTTTTTTTTATTACAACTTAATCTTAACCTACCTTCTATCCTCTCTCTCTCTCCACCTAAGACTTTACTAGTAGATCTTAAATGAAGTACATCTTCTTATTTTATACTTTCCCCCCGATAAGAAAAAAAGTCCCACCCATTCCCTGTTACTGCTAAAAGTAGTTTTTTTTTAAAAAAAAAACTGGGCGTATAAACGCTATTTATTTTTAGACAGAAAACGTTGGGTTACTTTCTTCTTATTATTATAGCGGAGAATGGAAAACTTCACCATTCTATTGTAGCTACCAAGGAAGGCTCATGACCAACCATTCGAGGTCGCATGGAATTACAGATTAAGGCTTTCATTAGTGTGCCTTTACTCCAATTTTGCTTGACCGGATTATGTTGTAGGTAACAGTAAAAAAAACATGTGTTGCGCTCTAATAGGGCATTGTTGCTCTTTATCCACCCTCAAGAGCCTCATCTCTATTACCGGTTTTCTAACGACTATTTCAACAGGTCCCCTCCCCCCTCCCTATGGTCGAAAAGCTGAATGAGATCAATAAAAAAGTCAACTACAGCACTCTTAGTTAAATACATATCGTTGTTATGGGTAGTGCGACCTTGCAAACAAACGATTGTAACGAGATTTTTTTCCTTTTGCATTTCTCCCTTATCTTTTCTCCTACTAATCTCAGAAGGTATGTTTGTTGGTGCTTTGTAATTGGCGATTTCCTACTTTGCATAATAGATAACAATGAGCCAACGGCCCCCCATCCCGGCCCCCATCCCAATCCAATCCAATCAATGGATATATTGGGCAATATGTTTTATTTTACTCAATATGCTTGGAAGTCCACGCATGAGGATTGTGGACATACATCGACGACAAGAACACGTACAATAATCTTGTGGGAACAGGCAGGCAAAATGCAGCCCGATAGCTACGAATGAAGGCAGGACTAACATGTACGATAACGAAAACATGGAACACCCCCCATCCATATAGAGTTGTCAACGAAATGCTCTGACTGCGCTTCAAAAGACCAGCACTTTATGGATAAGGGGATGAAAGGTTCTATATAAGGTAGATAAATATCAAGTCAACTCACGAAAGTGTAAAGTTTTCCTTTGCGAATACTCTTTTTCCTAACCCTTCCATCACTCCCAGCGTATTAACCCTAGCTCAACATAGAAACTCTCGTACATAACGGATATACCACCACAAAACCTTAGACATGGTACTTTATCTACAACCCCCCTCCCCGCTTCTACCTCCCCCACCCATCCTTCCACCCATCTCCCTCACCTCTCCCCACAAAAGCAACCACACAACCCTAGCCAAAAGAGATACCTTGGGAAAAAAAGACTAACCTCGGCCCCTTCACCTTACTCTTCTCTAGAATATCAGGGGGGTACCATGTACTATACCCTCCATCCACATCCCAACCTCAGATATACTATCCTCCTCCCCCCAAAAAGCAAAACCCAAACCACCCCCCGGACAAACGGAAACCCTCAAAACAAGGTACGTAACCTCGGCGCCCCCCCCCCCCCCTCGCCTCACTCTCTACAAAGGGGGTTCAAAGGGATCTACCTTACACCTTTACCCTACACCTCCCACTCCACCCCAGTCTCTTCCCCTTCTGTTTCCTATAGTGTATTACTACGGGATCATCCGTATGCGCCAAAAAAAAAGCTTGAATCGAAGTTCAGCTACGCACTTGTCACACCCCACCCCCCACAGCAACATCGCATAGTACGTAGGAGGAGGGTGGAGATGTGATATCACACCCCCAAGATTAAAGTTTAGCGAGGATGATCTTCTTTTGCAAACTCTTTTCCTGTTTTTTTTTTGTGTATAGTGTGCATGTGTTGGGGAGGAAAGGGAAAAGGGAAAGGTTTACCCAGAGAAGAGAGGAAATGGGGCTTAAAAAAAAGCTTGAATTTTGCGATCTGCGGATTTTTTGGTTTTGTTGAAGAAGGGGGGGGGAGGAAAGGAGGGAGAGAAGGGATGGTACTGGTACTGGTGACTTTTGCATTTGTGGAGTGGGTTTGGTCTGGGTGTGATGGGTCATGGAGATTGAGAAGAGGGGTGGGATTACGTGGGGATGTGTGAATTGAGATTGTCTCGTTGTCACATAGAGTAAGTAGTAGGTAGGGGTAAGGGTTGTGACTGCAGCTGAGTCGTACAGACGTGGGTTGGTTGGATAGGTTGTTTCGACACCTAGCTGTGGCTGAAGGGGGGATTTGTTTGTGTTTCTGTTGCATTACAAGGTACTATGAGTGGTACAACGTAACACAAACCCAATGTCACGAATACGGTTGGCCGCCGGTTCGATGCTGTTCTGCAATGTAACAGAAACCGCAACACTGGAGGGGGGATGTCGTGCGACGCAAATATAGCGGGTCGGCCGAAAACAAGCCTCGCACTTGCAATCTCTTAGCTATGCTTATCCTTTGGACCTTTTTTATTTATTCCGGGGATCGTCACTGACGTGCGTGGACGTGCGTGAAACATTTCTTTCTGGTGCACATACCCTCCGATAAATCAAACTTTACCGTGCGTCGACTTTGGGAAACTTTGTTTATTCCCAGCAACCCTTGACGACGGCAAGAACGTAACAAGCATGCTGATCGCGGGCTGGGCAAGCTTAATGTCACTTTGACTTTTGTTTTTTTCGGTGCACGAACCGCTTCCCTCTCGTACAACCCGCTGTTTCGTGGTGTTTTTCTTCTTTCAAGGTTCGTCAAAGGCTGCGATCGGCGTTGACGAAGCATCACCAGAACCAAACTTTCAGGACCATCACACAGACTTGAGGTACGAAAAGGAAAATCAAGACGAAAAAGACGCAGGAAAGAGGGGTAAAAAGAAAGCAGAAACGATAATCTGGTTCATTGACGGTGCTTGGTATAGCTTGATTTTGTCCAAGCCTGCACGATAGCTTACCCTTGTTTGTGTGTGTGTGTGTGTGTGCGCGCGAGCATCCGAATTCATAGTCGAGGAAACAAAGGTTCCAAACAGGCAGGTCAAGAAAACTTGAAGGACACTCAACATGACTAATCGAACGATGATCTTGATGATGCGCGTGAGTTGCCATATTTTGGCCGTTCTCGCCGAAACCTTATCCTACTATTGCGGATATCCAAGTTGGGGTAGGAGAGTTGTCAACATCTACTCCTAGGGAAGGTGGTCGCGGCAGCGGGTTGTCATACGATAGGTGTTAGGGGAATAGAGTTTGGGGGTGGAGGGAGAGAAATGCTAATCGCGGCAGCATAGAGCAAGAGAAGGTAACACGTAGGGAGGATGTGAAAGGATAACCGCTGCTGGCGTAAAGGATTTCCTTGGCAGACCTCCATCCCGGGGTGATGTGAAGTGTTTGCCTTGGGGATCGAAAATATTTTGCAAGCCATGCGCGGTGACGGCGGCGATCGCGGGCGCGGCGACGACGGCGGAGGAAAGGCAGCAGCGGCGTCGGTTGATATCCGCATGCATGTACGTAACTTTGCACAGATGTACTTACATGCATACATGGCTGTATGTACATATGAGTATGTGTGTGTATGTGTAACACACCCCTCGCCCTTTCCCCTGGCCATTATCCACTCTCGAGTGCCAGTGCGAGCATTTTCACCAAGTACCGGGCCTTGGCAGTGAGCAGGCGACAAGCATGGCTGCAGCTACGTATCCTGGAGCTCCGTCGAAATATGTACAGCTAGAGTAGCCTGCAGCCATGTCCTGTAGTGTAAGTATGACTGCGGGTGGATATCGATAGCGCGGCGAGTGGGCAGAGGAAGACTTGGAAAAAAAAAGGCCGATGACGCGTCCGTGCATTGTGAGGGGGTCTAGAGTGACGCCGAAACAGTGCTGAGGGAGGGTGGAGATGTGGCACAGGTGGTGTGGCTCGGCAGGGTGGCACAAAAGCAGCCATCTAGAGCGCGGCCAGTGGCATGATTTTGTCTTTGCCCGCATTAACTTTGCTTATTACTCCTACACTACTGGCGACGCTGGGCATGGAGTAGCGGCTATCTGGGTCAATCGCCGTGGATCCGGCGGGCGGAAGCCAAGCCCTCGATGCTTGCTTTGCGGTGTACAAGTCTCTTCCCCTAGGCGATAACTTTGTCCTCTTGGCTCCGCTTGTAGCGGTCAGACAGTTATCGTCGCTGCACTCTCAATGTACGGTGTGGACAGTGGGTAGAGCCAGGCCTAGAGTAGAGTCGTCACACACGTAACAAGATGCGAGTAGTGGTTAAAAACAACGGGTTATTTCCAACTAAAAAAAAGCTAGCTTCTAGAACAAAATGTGCACAAACGGATTCCATGCGATTCGTGAAACGGCGTAGCTGGGAGCAACGAGGCCAAACAAGAAGAATAAGCGAACCCTGTGCGGCGACGGCGCCTGTGCTCGTTCCTGTCAGGGAACGCACACCCGTTTGCCCTCGACAGTGTGATTTTGCCTGCATCGCAGCCCAACGCCAAGAATGGACCTCGTAAAAGCCATGCCACAACCAGGAGCGGAGCACATCATCCCTTGCCCGTGCCATGACTGTAAGATGCGCCCATCCAAAATCCATAAAACCCGATCCCCGTCTTTTTCCGTATAAACGCCGGGGGCCGAAATGAAAAACGCCCATGTCCCCGTGGCCGAGACATGCTGATGCGTAACACGCGCATCAGAACAGTGGGTATCCAAAGTATAAACATGAAATCAGAAGGCGCTAGACAATCCAAAAGGTAAAAAAGCAGACGCTGCAAATAAAGAGTGGAGTAGTGGTCGTAGCGGTGGTAATGCTACTTGACCCGGGAGCTGTGGCCAATGCACATGTGATTGTGCCATCGTCATGTTTATCCGGGCCGAGGGCTGGTGCCTGTGTGGCTGTGTGGATCCGGCGGAGAACCGCTTCTTCGCCACGGTCTAGACCTGCGCGCCTTGGCTCTGAGCGGCGCTATCCAGGCTACCACGGGGTAGGAAGAGGAGAGGAGATGAGAGTAAAGGAAACGAACAAGTGGCTAGCATCAAGTGGCCCAATCACCGGAAGATGCCAGAGATGCGCTTGGTTCGTTGGCGCACACGTGAGAGCATGTTGGCCTTGTGCGTCTCTGCGCCAGCTGGCATGGAGATGGAGGCGTGGCGGACGCTGGAGTAGTCGCTGACTGAAGTGTCGCTGGGGCTTCCACCAGGGTTGCTCTCGTTGTCGTCTTCGCGGACGGCAGGGTATGGGGAGTCGGGCGAGGGGAAGAAGTAGGCATCCAGGCGCGAGTTCATGGCACGGTTCTTCTCTGATGCGGCTGTGACGAGACTGCTCTTGCTGCCTACACTGGTGGCACTGTCGGTGCGGGTGATGTTGTCGAGGCGGATGTCGCGACGGGCTGCGTTGAGTGAGGTAGAGTGTGCACGCGCAAGTCCGGATAGGGATCCAACGGGAGGAGCTGGGCCATCACCAATGAGCTTGTACTCAAACTCGGAAACGTGGCCGTGGCAGTAGGGGCAGTGGTTGCACTTGACCTCCCATCCTGAGATTCCTAGCTTCTTGCCGCATGTGGAGAGGTTGCTAGAAGGAGTGCATGGGCGGACGAGATGGTACCAGCGGTGCTTGCATGGAAGCACTGTAACGCAGAGTTCGGCGACACACATTATTGCGGTTGCTGCTGTAGTTTAGGTGATGTCGAGATAGATTCTTTTGCGAGCCGGGTTGTGGCGAGACGTTTTGAGAGACGGCAATGTGGTTGTGGAAGTCGTGGTGGCGGAGTGAAAGGTGACGTGCGGAGCGCTGTCACGCGACAAGGACGGTGGCAATCCGGGGTAGAGGCTAGAGGCTAGTGGCCAGTGCTGAGCTGGCAGTGACAATGGGGCGTGGGTGAGGGCGGACAGGCGTGTTAATGAGTCTGTCTATGGTGCCGAGAGGAGCAGGCGGCGGGTCCGGTGTTATAAGTGTGTGTAAGGTGGAGGGGGAGAGTGGTGGACAGTGTAGTAATGCCGTGTGCCAAGGACTAGTAGCTGATAGGCCGAAATGGACGATCACCCCTTGCTCGCTTGAAAAGGCAAATTGGGCGGGGCAGGTTGAACGGCGGAATTTAGGACGAACAGGGCCAAAGAGGACGGTGCTTAACACAACCCAGGGCTCGGAGTTGAGGAAATGACAAGAGGGGTTGGCGTCGGCGGCTTGGGAGGATTCGTCTTACTAGACGATAGCGGTGTTGGGTCAAGACGGAGGGTGTGAATGGTGAGGTCAGGCTTTAGTAGCGGATGGGCATGCGTGTTGGGTGTGTGACTGCTGGGACGACGACGACGACACACAGGCAGCGTGTCCTTATTTAACACACACCCATTGCCCACTCCGCTGGGCGGCGGAGCGGGCCAAAGTTTGGACAGGGGTTGTTGTTGTGTATCCAAGGGCGAAGGGTGTGTGTGTCCATGCCCAAGCCCGGCAACGCTCGTGGTGCTAAACGCAGGCTAGGGTGACATGTCCTTTCACGCCCCATGTCGGTCGCGGCGCCGGGACGCAGCACGCGGCTTGTGCGCTAAGGGAGCACCAACGTGTTGGCCCAAGTCGATCTGTGCCAGAATGCTGGATAATGGTGGACGAACATGTCCATCACGGATACACTTTGCTCACCGCTCCCAGGTAACGAGACGAGCAGCCCTCTCCAAGCTGGCCGTCGAGGCAGCACACTGAGGGCGGCCACGCGATTGGCACTGCTGCCCCTGGTCTCAGCTGAGTCGGGTGCTTTTTTTTTTCTCGCTGTCCACACCCGCCCTGACACGGTGCCGGCTCAGACTCGTGTGTGTGACGAATGACCAGGGGCTGCTGGCTTGCCTGTGTGTTCGTTTACTTGCTTGCCTGCCCAAGGGACGGACCAAAACGGTTCTGGCTCTGGCGCTGTGATCAGCCCGAGTCGGAGACGTTGGCTCAGTCTGCCATTGATTGATTGATTGATTGATTGACTGATTGATTGTGTTGGCTGTGTTTCTATGTGCGTCATCGCTGGCGTATATTCGCATGTGCGTAAACATGTACTTAGACCCTTGCGCATGTCCGCCAGCCTGTAGTATGTATACGATCATGGTCGTTTTTTTCTTACTCAATCAATAACTAGCCAGCAGCGCTGCAGCTTTCGGCGCCGGTAGCGAGCGGAAACCCCCTCCTCGCTCGTCACTGAGTTTGCTGATCCACCACATGCCCTGCCCATGCAGCGCTGGATGAAGTCATGCCTCGTGGCCGCACATCTACTCCACATCCCGCTGCTTCCCTCGCCCGCTGAATCATCTCTGCCGGCCAGCGACCGCAGCCAGCGTTTGGCGTTTGGCGTAAAAAGGACCAGACGCCAGCGCCAGCACCAGCGCCAGCGCCACACTGCTATACGCCTCGACGGGCAGGCTCCGCACATGCTGACCGCTGCGTGGTACCAAAAATGCGCCAGGCCAGGCCGCACTTCCATATTGCCATGGCGTGGGCGTATCGTAGGCAGAGTGCTGTCGCTCAACCACACCTGGCGCCAGCATATGCATCTCTCCGGCAAGACATGGCGAGGGCGCACATGGGCGCACATGGGCGCATACCAGCAGGGCTGGCGATAGTGGGAGCAATCAGCCAGCCCGCCCAATCCAGCAACATGGCCGTTGCACAGACCGCCCCTCCATTTCAGTCTTCAGCCCTGTGGGAAATGCACGCCCCTTTTCTTCCAGAACGCACAAGCACTCGCCGTCGAAACCGCCCTGGAGTAATCTCCTGTTGTTTGCAATGCCGCCCAAGACCAGAGGCCCGTGGAATCCCCCCCTCAGATTGCCATTGTGTCAGGTCCCCCGTGATGCGAGGGTCTTTGTCGGCCCAACTGCACAGCCTCAACGCCTTTATACGCCGGTTGGCCTCTGTAACTGCTTGCGATTCGCTCCGCACCTCTCACGCGCTGCTCACGTCTCTTGGCGCCCGTTCTACCCTCCTAGTCCCGCCTTGGCAGCCTCTCCATCCATTCCATCCCAGCCCTAGCACTCCAACCCCGCTCTGCCCGTCAAACACCAACGCCAGCGCATACCTCGACCTGCCACCCCTCGATTGCCGTCTGAAAATCCTCTTGGCTGTGTGCCTTCTCACCCGCAGCGAGGCATTTGTCGACCTATGGCCTCGCCTGGGCGACACCTGTCCACCCCTTCCAACGCCCTCCAAGGCAGCAATCGCTCCCGACACTGTGGTAACAACACCCTCCAAGCTTGACGTTTCGTACCACGCTATCGGGGCCTCTTGTGCCAGCCTTCCCTGTGATGCGTCTCCATTCCTGAGCCAGCAAGCCCACCTACAGTAGAGTTTGTACCTCTGCCACACCATGGTGGTAGTAGTGTGGCCTGACTTCTGCCTCGGGTCCTCATCAAACATGATCCCCGACTTCTCTGATGGTGACATGGTGAGATCAACATGCCACGCTCTCCGACAAACCCCCCCCCTGTAAACTTGCCAACTCTCCGCCAACTCTCCATGCACATCAAGCATGATTAAGAATGACACCATCCGCACAAGAAAAGCTTGGCAGATCCTACACACACTCTCTCTCATGTATTCAAACTTATGTAAGAGACGGGTCATGATCTGACCCTAGGGTCGACTAACCAGTAAGCACTTACGCTTCCAAAAATGCAATTCCATATACGCGGCAGGGTCCGGCCTGCACACAACTCAGGAATCCAGCAATCCTCACTTGCCTCGTTTGGACGCGAGGTAGCAATACTAATGGCCAATACCCCAAAAACCAAAAGGTTGCATATGCCCTATTGTTGGTAGCAAAAAGGAATTTCTCCACTCTGGGCCCTCTAGTCAACAACAGTCCTACACCGTCGTTTTCACCTACTCCTCGGCGAAATACGGGTTGCCCATATCACGCTCCACAGCAGAGCAATACTCTACTTCGTTAGCAGCAGGATCATCGCCAACCCCAACCCAAAGCAAGTTTGCATTTGCGTCTTTTTTTCATACGGCTCCCCAAGTATCTCAAGCTCGGGCCGCGGTACACCAACACCGAGCCATTGCTTACTCCACGTTCTGTTATCTGCTATTTACCATGGTGGAGATGCACAGCCCCGGTGTACCACCCCGCATTCGATTTGTGCGCTGAATCACGTCAAGCGAGGTACAACTTGCAGATAACAACACCTCGGATAATGACGTCTCGGAAAACAATGCCTCGGATAACTGGTGTAGCATTCCGATAGCAGCCTCGCTAAGGCCTATTACTGCACATTTCTGATCCTTCGTTCCAAGGGTTAAGCACCAAGACGGAACGGCACGTTTACTTTTATCAAAGTCTTGGTAACACTGACGGAGACATGTAAGCCACAGCCTGGGCATCACCGATGGAGGTGACACAAATCTTCATCGGAGAATGTGCCAGCAAAAAGGCTATTTCAGGACTCTGTCAGCCTTTGTCTGATTGTTGTGATACCATGCAAGTCATCATAAATCTCAACCGTGCATGAAAATGTTTCTCCATTACAAACAAAGAACAGACAGTAAGCCAGAGGGATTTTTTTGTCGACGAGATACTATACTAGGATGGCGTACCACATACCATCTGACCTGTCTATGCTTGGTGTGCCCGATAATTCGCTCATCCAAATGCGTGCCCAGAAAACTCACTTTTGAAAAGAAAATTCCCTCACTTGGTATACTTCAACCCCATTTTCATTTCGTCATTTTTTTTGATCATCACTGCTATTTACAAACTAGTGAAGCAATCTCAAGACTTTTACTAGATCGGCCGTGACACCCATGGCTGTGACTTCTCCACCAGCGCCAGCACCTTGGATGATCAGTGGGTTGTCGCCATATCGCTTGGTGTAGAAAGCGATGATATTGTCACTGCCCTTTAATGCCGCAATCGGGTGACTCTTGTCAAACTTCTCAAGACCAACCTTGACATTGTTACCCGGCACATCGACGCTTCCGACAAAGCGAATGACCTTGCCTTCCTTTTCCGCATCTGCCTTGAGCTGCTCCATCTGATCGTCAAACTGTGGCAGCTTCTCCAGGAACTCATCGCCGGAAGAGCACGACTCGAGTTCCTTGGGGATGAGTGACTGAACAGGGAATGAATTCGGCGATTCCACCTTGAGGCCAGCCAGACGGGCGAGAATGGTGAGTTTGCGAGCAACATCCAGTCCATTCAGATCATCGCGCGCATCGGGTTCTGTGTAGCCCTTTTCCTTTGCAGACGTGACTTCGGCGGAGAACTTGCCGCCACCGCCGCCCAGCGGCTGGAACGAGTTGAACAGGAAGCTCATTGTTCCGCTGAAGACACCTTCAATCTTTGTAACCTCGTCGCCCGTCTCCACCAGGTCCTTGAGTGTTGAAATGACGGGCAGCCCAGCGCCGACCGACGACTCGTGGAAGACATAGCCCCCAGCGCCATTGCCGTTGCTGGCAGAGTTGAAGATCTGCGTCCACAGGTCGTAGCTTCCTGAAAATGCCTTCTTGTTCGGTGTGACGATGCTGATGCCCTTCTTCAAGAAGGCGGGATAGCTATCCGCGACATCTTGGCTACTAGTGTTGTCTACCAGGACCACCTTTCCCGGTGCCTTTTGTAGGTATTCGCACAGCTGTGGGAGAGGGAGAGGCGGGCTCGAGGAGTTTTGAAGTTCAGACTCCCAGTTGGAGACAGACCTGTAGTCTGCGTGGTATACAGCCTTCTTAGAGGTGCTGAGCCAGATTAGAGAAAGATAGTATGGCGATGAGGGCGACTGGGAGAGGCGCTTGGAGAGGGCGGATAATTGGGAGAGGAAGGTTTTGCCTACTCCACCAGCACCTGAAATGATGTTAGTGATACATGTTTGAGTATAGAAAGTGAGGTAGCTGACCGATAACGGCGATGAAGACTTGACGAGGAAGAGGCATTGTATATGTGTCTATGTCTGTTTCTGTGGTCAATTGATCTTGCAATTGTACAACGCAACAAAGATATACGAACTTTATTCAAAGTGAGAACGGTTTATGAGTCTTCACAGTATGAGGCTCAGTCAGTTGCGGAACCGCGCATTCATCATTCAAACGTGGGGTTACGCAAAATAATGAGTGGGGTAGCGCGTAGTGACGCAAGAGCTCAGGACTCCACCGCCGACATCGCCTCATCCCTACAACGCGCTCCACACCCCAAACACCGCACACATGTCATCTAAGGACGCCCATCTCTACGGCGCACGCCCAAAAGGACGCGCCAAAGCAAAAGAAATCTCCAGCTCGAGTAGCCTCGCCTTTGCGTCCACACTTTCCAACCTCATCAAGAGCTCGTCTGCCGAATCCAACAAGCCCACCGCCGGCCGCGCGCGACCACAAAAGGAGGACATTTTTAAGACGCACAACAAGAACGTCAAGAAGCGCGCGCTCAAGGACCTCGAAGATGCAGACTTTACACAAAAACACCGCGGCCGCACCGCCGAGGAAAAAGGCGAGGACGAAGTCGCCTGGAAGCGCACAAAGCGGCGAATGGAAGAGAAAGCCCGCCTCTACGACGCCCTCAAGCGCGGCGACGTCGAAGACGTCGACGAAAAATACGGCGTAGATTTCGACCGAAAATGGGCAGACAAGCAAGAAAAAGGCGAAGCCTCCGCTTCAGAGTCCTCCTCTTCAGACGACGACGAAGAGCAAGAACTAGTCGAATACATTGACGAATTCGGGCGCACACGAAAAGGCACACGCGCCGACGCTGCCCGCGAAGAACGCCGCAAACGCACCCTCGTCGCCGACGAACCCGACCGCTTCACCGCGCGCCCCAGCATGCCCGACACCCTCATTTACGGCGACGCCGTGCAAACCCAAGCCTTCAACCCAGACGCCACCATCGCCCAGCAAATGGCCGAGCTAGCCGCCAAACGCGACAAGGAACTCACGCCGCCCCCCGACCTGCATTTCGACGGCCGCGCAGAGGTCCGGCAGCGCGGTATGGGATTCTTCAATTTCTCAAAGGATGAGGAGGAGAGGAAGGAGCAGATGAGGAGGATTGAAAAGGAGAGGGAGGAGACGGAACGCGTTAGACGGGAGAGGGCGAGGAGGGTCGAGGAGAGGAAGGAGATGATTCGGAAGAAGAAGAGGGTCATTTTAGAGAAGAGGAGTAAAGGGCAGGCGGAGAGGTTTTTGGATGAGCTGGGGGCGGAGTTGTTGGGGAAAGATGAGGGTGGGGGTGCGAAGGAGGAGGATGTAAAGGAAAAGGGAGATGCTGCGAAGACTGGAGGTGAGGAAATAGAGGTAAAGAAAGAGGACGCGGCGTAAAGACTGGCTTTTTCTTTTTGGTTTTGTGCTAGATACCATGATACCCAATATCTAAATCTTTCATTTGCAACAATCTCAAATCAAAGAATATTTTTCTTTCCTCAAACAGGAGAGAGAACTATAGATTTCAACAAACTATCTTCTATGCGAACCCCCCCCCCCTCTCTTCTCTTCTATACACCATTTGAAAAAGATACGAAAGAAAACGCCAATGAATGCACCCTATACTCACGCTCACACCAAAAGGTAGAAGAGTCCTAATAAACTCTCCATTATCTAACACACTCTTCCAGTCCCCCCTCCCCAAATGTCTAAAAAAATTTCCTACCAAAGAGAGAGAGAGAAAGAACAAAAAAAACGATCACTGCCCCAGCCTCTCTCCCGCACGATTCAACACATCAGCCGTCATCTGAATCGCCTCAGCCGCCCTCTTCCAATCCTTACTCGCAATCGCCTCTCTGGCGTAGGGAAAAACACTAGCCTCGAGCCCATTTTCCAGGTCAGGGGCGAAAAGTACATGTTTGAACTGATCGCGATTCGGCAACTAATCACCACGTTAGCAATAGTTTCCCACACCCCCCCAAAAAAAAGAACAGAGAAAAAAAAACTTACACCATAAGCCCCCTTATCCTCCTTCCCACGAGGCAAATCCAAAAAATCACTCTCCAAACCCCCAATCTTAGCGTTATGCCTCACACGCTGCATCGTCACGCCACTAGCTTCAAACCCCCCCGTTGCATAAACCTGATTATACCAGCTCTGCTCCCACGCGCCAAACGCCTCTGTCCTCTTCTTAAACATGCTGAGCGCATCGACCAACGGCTGGAAGATAGCAATATCGTAATCGGCGCCACCGCTGATTTTCTCGGTCCAGTCGAGGAGGGATTGGCCCTGTTCCTGAAGGGCAGAGGCAAAGTCGTCGAGTTTGAGGGGGAGAATGGGTTCTTGGGCGAGTTCGAGGATGAGGAGTAAGGTGAGTTGGGTGAGGAGGGTGTGGTAGGAGAAGGAAGGGTCGATGTATTTGCGCATCCATGAGAGGGTTTCGAAGCAGCTGTGGGATAGTGGGTGGGCAGGTCCGTCTTTCGGGGTGGTAGAGGCAGATAAGCCAAAGTCGAGGGAGGAGGTGCCGGCAATGTTTTGGAAGGCGACGTAGTCGCTGGCTGCGCCGAGGTTGCCGATTTTGCTGTTGGAGGCGTCCCAGAGTTCGCGGAGGGTTTTGTTCTCGTGCGGGTCCGAGAGGCGGTCGAGGATGCGTGTCCAGGCGTGTTGGAAGATGGGGGAGCCGTTGGCCCAGAGTTTGGAGCCGGTCACGCCAACGTCGAGGTTGAGGTAGGCGATGGCGCCATCGCGGAGGGCGTCGACGTTGGCTTCAACGTGCTCGGTGGATCCGATGCGGTTGTACTCGCCAGCGTCCCAGGATGCAAACTCGATAGTACGCAGAGGTCGCCAGCCCTGAGCACGAAGCTCGCCGAGTACGCGTACAACTTCAAGCATGACTGCTGTACCAGAGCCAGGGTCGGCTGCACCAAAACACCATGAATCTCGGTGGTTTCCGATGATGATCTTCCGGCCTGGGTCCTCTGTACCCTTGAGGGATCCAAAAACGTTTGTAATACGCTGTTGCTCCACTTCATCCTGATTGTTTTGGATATAAACCTTGGGTGACTTTTCCGGATGGCCAGAGTACCACTTATCGCCAATATCTGGCACACCACCGACCCATTCATCCGGAAGTTCTTCACCAACGCCGTTGAGTGACTGAAGTAGTTTCTGCGCATCCTTCCACGACAGGGGTAGACTAGGAATCTTTGGCACTGCTAGGTTCTTGTCCCGGGACATGCGCTCCATTTTCTTCAAACTCGGCTTTCCAGGTGTGAGTATGTCTCCCATAATCATGTTGGTCTGGGCAACTGAGCCTCGCTGTACGCTCTCACCAGGTCGCCACTTGCCGTCAGGCCAGGGGTTGCCGTTTTTGAATCCGTCGTCTGCCGGATCGGAGTACACCAGAACACCAGCTACGCCCGCATCCTGCGCAGACTTTAGTTTCATGGCCAAATCTGGCTGCGTTCCGTAGTATCGGCAGAGCACAATTGCACCTTGCGCATCAATGCCACTGTCCCATAACCGCTTAAAGTCCTTCTTGTGGCAGTAGTTGACGTAAATCAGAGGTCCAGTAGCATTTCCAGACGCCGACATTGCGTGGTAGGCAGGCGTCTGGGCTTTCGGTGGGTTGAAAACGGACGGCTCTTCGAGTTTTGCTTCCCAAGCCTTATCGGGTGGATCGACAATGGCAACTTTTCGGCCATCTTTCTTTGCGTAGTTCATATAAACAAAGTATCTGTCCAAGTCAGCATATTGTGGGGAATTCGCCATTCCCGTCTGACATACTCGTCATGTGTAAAAGTGTCCATGTTCGCGTCCTTGAATTTTCCCTCGATCCACTGTCCCAGCACATAACTTCCCTCTGTGCCGCCAATGTGATCGTAGCTCGTAATGTATTCGAGATTCTTTTCAATTCGCCAGCTCTCGACGCCCTCGACGGCCGTTTGGCGTATCCACTCTGGATTAAAGGGTGTGCCGAAGCCGCCGCCCATGGGCACCACCTCACTGGCAACCAGGAAGTACACGAGTATAACAATGACAAAGAGGCCGAGCAGACGCGCAAACATAGCCCAGCCCGGCCTATATTCCTCGGATATAGTAGGCATATGATCAGTGACGGCACTGAAGTTGGGACGCCATGTCGGCCATGGTATCCGGGGTAGATTCCAATTCGACAGCGAGTGCCGTATGCTGTTGAAACGCTTGGAAAAGCGATTTCGCGTTCGGTTCCTCCTCGATCTTCCTTCCTCTGCGGATTCCGGGTCTAATATCTCCATCTCCTCCATAGTCTGGCGCAGGGCCTCGTCCTGGCTCTCCCGCACCGGGCTGCCCAGGTCCGAGTCGCCATCGTCGACCGACTGGACCGAAGGCGGCTGGTAGTATCCATTGCGTCTCCGTGAGTCGGACTGTGTGCGAACATCTGGGGTTAGGAGACCCTGCCGCTCGGCGTCGTCGCTGATCTCGTTTGGTCCTAGGCGTGCCGGCGCATTGCGCGACGAGGTGGCCTCGTCATATGTGGGGATGGGGGGCGGCGAGGGCTCGCGGACGTAGTTGTGCTTTTCGTCGCTCATGGCGAGCTGGTAAGGACCGTGGTCCTGGTGGGATTAAGTGCGGCGTTGCGCAACGTGTTGGTAGGTAGGGGATGCTCGCCCGCGGGCGAATACTTGGTACGAGCGATGCAGATGGATGGAATGGGGTTACCGATTGCACATGGACATGTTGGAAGAGGTGGCTAGAAGTAATGGCGGCAACAAGCGGGTATGAATAGGCGCGACAACGCAGCAAAAAAAGGCCAGTGATTATGTCTGGTCTCAATGTTGCCAAAAGACCATTGCTGAGGCGTCTGGGGATGGCGTTGCGGATCAGCGTCCGCCGCCGAGTCCCTGTCATGTCCTAAGGCCTTGGTACTCGAAACCCCCCATTCCATTCCACCACAGCCCGCGTTTGAGACTGGAATCACAATTGCCATTATTATTATTTATACTTTGGCACGCAGCCACACTCAATTTCACATCATCTACATGTTCCGACCACCCGTGACCTTGATTGTCTCTCCGTTGACATAGCTAAACAGTGGGCTCGCAACAGCCAGCACCGCGCTCGCCGCCTCCGTCGCTGTCCCTGGCCTGCGCAGAGGAATGTCCGCGTACAGCTGGCTCTCTGGGACGGCACTCTTCTGCGCCTGTGGTATTCCGAGTGCCACCTTCTCGCCGTCGGGCGTCGTCACAAATGCGCCCGCCTCCTTTGCCTGCGTCAACCGCGTCTGGATGTGTCCGAAAGCGACCGTGTTTGCCCGCACGCCAAACTGAGGGCCCCACCTAGATATACGTTAGCATATATGTTGACGGAGGGAGAACACAAAAGAGAGGACATACTCTTTGGCAATTGTCTTGGTCATGCCCTGCACACCCGCCTTGGCCAGCGCATAGTTGATCTGCCCAGCATTTCCGTTCAAGCCGCTCGTGCTCGAGATGTTGATAATGTTCCTGGGCTCGCCGTCCTTGACCCGGAAATACGGCGCTGCAGCGCGCACAATCTTGAACGGTGCCGTCCCGTGCAAGTCGACAATTGTCTGCCACTGCTTGTCCGTCATCTTGTGGATGACGCCATCCCATGTGTAGCCCGCATTGTTGACAATGATGTGGATCTTGCCTCCGCCAAACTCGGCCGCCTTGGAGATCAGAGTCTTGATGTAGGCATCGTCGAGAACGTCGCCTGCTACTGCTATTGCGCTGCCGCCTGAAGAGTTGATTTCAGAAGCTACCGCTTCGGCCTTTTCTGTGTACATGTCAGCAACAGGCCCGTGAGATATTCCATATGCGCTCTATTGACTCACTTGCGTCTACATCAGCAACCACAACCTTTGCGCCCTCCTTCGCAAACAGCTTCGCCGCCTCAGCTCCGATTCCCTGTCCAGATCCAGTAATAATGGCAGTCTGGCCCGCCAACATACCCTTGGGGTAGTTGAGGTGACCAGCAATCTGCTCCACGCGCTTCGAGGATGACATGTTTTGCTATACACACGTAGTGGTACAAGTTGAGAGTTTGTTTAGGCGATACTTAAAAGTCCAAGGCTTATACAGATAGTGATTTTGAGGATTTATGAGAGCTGGCCATTCTTGAAATGCGGAGTAGTTCTACCGCGAACCCCGGCCTCACTGCTCAACATGCCGAGGTCCGGCCCGCTAGCGTGTTCCCAGCTTACTCGACGTGCAGATTCATGGCTGTTGTTACATCAGACTACGCCCGACATTCACAGGTAGAGTCACAAGAATAGACGCCTGTAATGGAATCGATCATAAACATGTACTGTATTGGATGGCTAGAACATGTATCTTGTCATTGCTAAGAAACATTCATTCCCATTGCTTGAGCCTCCAAGAACTATAACAAACATCGACAACGTGCATTGAAACCGAGGCTGCGTTCACGTTCTCTCGACTATCGCGGCAGCTTCTTCTTGCAAAATTCGACGTCGTTCGCTTTGCCCATTGCTGCTTCGCCGATTCTCCGAGTTTCGTGCCGTGGTGTGTTCCAAACTGGGTTGAGCTGAACGTGGTAGACTTGTACTGGGTAGACCTGGATTGGGTAGACCTATACTGAGTAGAGCTGGACTGGGTAGAGCTGGACTGGGTAGAGCTGGACCGGGTAGAACTTGACTTGGTGGACTTGAATGTGGTCCAGGCTGTGTCTGGTCTGCCGCATCTCGATCTACGTTGACCGTACCCAGTTCGATGTTACCGACTCGAAGTGAGCCATTTCCAATCGTCGGCCCTGCTGCTGGTGCATCGGGTCCGTCCCTTTGCTTGTCACAAGGACACCAGTCTCCCCAACGTTTAAAGCACATTGCGAACAAGAACACAAAAACAGGGATAGCAACGATGATGGCAGCGAGGCTCCATTTTCGGCCAGGTGTCATTGGGAGGCTTTCGTCCAGGCCATGCAGAATTTTGGCTGCTCGTCCCTCCATGGTCGCCCTGAGGGATGTCTAACTGAGATATTGGTGAAGTGTTTGCACCGAGGGCGGTTGCATGGATGACGGAGGGGTAACGGTATTGTGGATTTGGCAACGAGAGGTATTGTTGGTTGTGACTTGAGTGATGGGCTTAATATAAAAGTTAAAAGCGGTGAGTTCTTGACTAGTGATAACGATGTAGTGAAGTAAGAAGAGTAAAGACGGAGACGAGCGGTGGTACTTAAGGGCCCAGAGACAGGCAACGAGTCTGTCAACATTCTTGCCAGTTGTGTTGAATCACGCTTTCCTGGCAACATCTAAGCACAGATACACCTGCCCGACCTTACCAAGCTGGACTTCCCCGATATATTCGAACTGACCTTGGCAACCGTTGTTCCTTGAAGGGCATGATTACCGTTACTGGAAGCTTGACCTGAGAGATGGAAGTCAGCTAATTCGGCAAGTATACCTTACACTGCTCACCTAATAGACACGCTTTGCTCTTGTTGTTCAAGACACTGAGGGGTGGCGCAGTGGTTCATCTTTGTACCTTCTTTTACTTTGATACCAAGGAATTTGCACGATTAAGAGTTTAGATCTACTTCCGTTGGATGGTGTCGAATATCTAGAACTAATTACTATATTGAGCACACTAGGTGAAGAGTCTTCATAGCTCTCAGTGAAAAATGATCAGCGCGCTATAACTTAGACTTGACAGCCTCATCGTGCTTCCAGCCAGGCATGTCTGATAGGTCCTTTGCCGGCGCTGCTCTTCTCGACTTCAATGCATCACCAGTACCAGGCCGCCATCTCCACGCATGTGCTAGATCATCTGCTAGCGTACCTTCGAGCAGCTCCACGACATGCTTGCCGATATTTGGCAACAGCTTGAAAGTATGACTAAACAGATTCGGTCAGTATGTATTGTCAAGTACCAAAATTTGGGATACATACCCGCTGTCTCCAGTAGCAAGCACAAAGTTTTTCCATTCGGGATGCTCACACATCAACAGCGCAGCGTCGGCCGTATCTGTGCACCAGCACAGGTGCCTATTGAATAGCTCCTTCTTGGTGAACTTGGGTAGAAAGGTCGCAATAGCCTTGCGGATGCTCACTTCAGAAGCATCGGGATAGGTGTCAGTCGGGTGTTTTGCTGCCGACCTGGGCACAGAGATACGTTTTGGTGCTTTAGCGCCATATGGCTGATGCTGCTTGAAGCGCGTGAAGCCTGGAAACTCATCGCAGACTTTGATGACACCGTGCTCGTCGGGCTCGAAAAAGAAGCCGACATCGCCGTTGTATACTACAGGTGCGTTTTTATATTCTGCTGCTTCTTCCGGTGTGAGTTGTATGTGAGCATATACCCAAGCCTAACAGTGTCAGATGTGGAAATGAAGTATCGCATTGGTGGAAAACCTACTTTTGAAACGCACTGCTCTTCCAAATCAACCAGTACAGGACTCCAGGCGCCAGCTGCAAGTACAACCTTGTCAGCATAGTACCTGGTCCCATCTGCTGTCTCGACGCCAATGCATACTCCCTCAGCCAGAAGAGGTTGCTTGAACGAACCAGCGCCACCAAATCCAAATTTGACTCCGCTGTCGCGTAGGTATTCACCTATCGCGTTGATGGCTTTTGCTGCGGCGAGCCAGCCGCCATCTTGGCTGTACACTGCTTTCCAACCCTTGATCTGCTCGCGATCTAGAAGTGGCATTTTCTTGAGGATTTCGTCTTCTGAGTCAAGCCATTCCGTTGTTTTCTCGAGTCCAGCGTTGGCGTCGAGGAGAGCTTGGTATGCTTGTTTTAAATCCACAAGTCCCGTCTCGCCATGAGCGCAATCCAACTATGCTACTGTCAGACCATAGCCCCAAACATATCGTCTTACCAGCTGTACGTACCCGCCCAGTATTATGAAAATACTCTTTGAATAGCTCATCTTCTCTCCACATTTGACGAGCTTCTAGACTTAACTGGAGATCGACCTTGTTCCGCAAGCGGATTCCCATGATCTTATTTAAGTCATTTCCGGCCGATTGCGATGATGGGATAGGATATGTGTCGAGGACGGTGATATTTGACGGTGTATAGCCAGAACGGACAAGGTGAAGAGCTGTCGAGGAGCCAATAGTGCCACCACCACCGACAACAATAACAGACGTGTTCGCTCTTGAAGGTGCCATAATGAAACAACGCTTGGCTATGGTAGTATTCCCGGGAAGCTGAAAGTCTTTCTGGTCGGAGGCGCAAGTCGTGATCAGAGGCAATCCACAATGGGTCACGCCCCAAACGCCCGCCGGTTAAGTATCAATGAAGTCTGCACACGCCACCAGCTCGATGATACGATATCGAGGCATACTCCCCGCTCAATTGCGAGCTCAGACAAGTTTCAATTAAGTAATCGAGGCTGTCTACTCCACGTACCGTCGGTTGGAGGCGACACTCGGCAATGGAGATGGCGCTTGGCTCTCGCTTGATGATCCCGACTGTTATTATCTCCCAATAAGGCTAGATTATTGGACGTCAGCACATGGTCATTCAATGAGGGGCCAGCCCGTGTCTCCAAAGATGGAGCACTGAATGTGCCATTGCCTTATTGACATATCGCGCCCTGATAACACAATACTGGGTCTACACTGGATCCGATCAGATATCAACAATGCCAATGTCCTATCGAGGTACCAAGTCACCCGCGGAGCGATGTAACGCCTGACTCGCGCCTTGCTTTACAACCGCAAAGGCCCGACAACAAGCCTCGCAAGGCCTGACTGCCATGTCTAGCGTCTCTTTACCATTCCTTGTCCGCCTTAGCTCTTGCCTCCACTTTTCCCGACTGTTCGCACTACCATATTAAGCCTAGTCCGATTGATCTTCCAGACGTTCGTTCCCCTCGGCATTCCGCTTGTCACCGAAACCATGGACTCCACAGTCCCTATCAGCTGGATAGAACGACTTAATTTACCCCGGAGTTGGGGTAATTTAGCCCCGGGATCCACAGATAAGCCGGGATATCAGATAGTATGATAGACGAGCATGGCAGACGTTGCGGGACGAAGATCGTATATATAAAGGGTCGCGTGAGGCTTCTTTGGGATCATCTCAGTTCAGAGGTCGACCTCCCAGTATTTCTTTGGCTGAAATATTCTTTGGTGATCTTTGTTGGAGTCGCCCAAGATGTCCAAGTTTGACGCTGCTCCCTCCAACACCCGCGCTGGTGGCGACGATGATGCCTTTCGTACCAAGGGCAACGACTCATGGAATGCTCCGCTACCCTCGCATCAAGTCGCAGATGAGAGGATCAATCAAGAAGAATATGCGCGGACTGTGCCATTATGGAAAAGAGTTTGGCAAAACAGCTTGACGCAGATGCTTCTGCTGAGTGTTCAAGCCTTTTGTGGTCCCGCCATGGCTGATGCTATTGCTGGTCAGCTTCCTTGGTCAATATATAATCTAAATGTATAACTAACATGATTCCAGGCCTTGGTGGAGGTGGTCTAGCCACTCCTCAAACCTCAAATATTGCAACTGCTGTCAACTACACTATGCTTGCACTCTGCTGTGCCTTGGGCGGTCCCATCGTAAACAAGCTGGGTACAAAATGGGCTCTCGTCATTGGCGCTTGCTCATTCCCTATCCGAGGCTCGTCATACTACTGCAACTCAAAATTTGGTAACCAATGGTACCTCATCCTAGGCGGATTTTTTACGGGCATTGGAACGGGAACATGGTATGTTGCCGAATCCGGTACGATCATGTCGCTCGCTCCATCAGGATCTCGTGGCAAGTACTTGGCTCTTTGGATTGTTGCCCGCAATCTGGGACAACTAGTGGGTGGGGCGATCAAGTAAGGCATTACTTTTCCAATCTCCTGAGACCAAAACTAACACTGGCACTTTACAGTCTGTCAAAGAATCACGAAAAGGGAGTTGTTGGCGGTGTAACACCGGATACCTACATCGCCTTCCTTATCATCGAGTGCATGGCACTACCGTTCGCCTTTCTCATTTCGCCGCTTGAGAGAGTAGTCCGCTCAGACGGGACGCGGATTCTCGTTTCTGAGAAGATAGGCACCAAGATGGAGATCAAGCAGATTAGGGTTACCATGACTTCAAAACTCATCTTGTTGTCCGCGCTCTGGGCCATCTGGTCATTTTTCTATGGGTTAGTTGTGAAGTCTCTCTTATGAAGCTACAATCTTGCTAACGAATAATTAGTGGCACCTGGTCAACATATCTTGCAACCTATTTCAGCGTCCGAGCTCGCGCCCTCTCTTCTCTCATTTCGCCTTTCTTCTGCATCGTTGGATGCTTCGGTCTGGGTTTCATTCTCGACATGAAGGGCTTAAACCAGCGTCGTCGTGCCCAAATCGGCCTTCTGACTGTCGTTCTCCTAAACCTCGGCGTTTACATCTGGTCAATCGTTATTCAAGCGGGGTTCAATAGCCACAACCCTGGCAAGATTGATTGGGACGAGTCGAGATATGCGCGGACTTTCCTGCCATACTTTTTCGTTCAGACCACAGGCCCATTGTCGCAGTCGTACATGTACTGGCTACTCTCCTCTTTTGCAACTGATGCTCAAGGTTTGTTGTCTCCGTCTTACACATGTTCTGGGATGTTGTGAACTGACTTCGTATAGCAAATGTTCGCAATGGTGCTGCATTCCGCGCTCTCGAAGCTGTTGGCCAGGCTATATCTTATGGTATGAATACTCAGATTAAGACATCACCAATGATTGGTTTCTGTGTTACATTTGGTCTAATGGCGTTGGCGTTCGGTCCAATGCTCGTTTTAGTCAACCAAACACCAGACCGTATCCCTGCTGATGTTATAGCTGAGGAGTTGGAACAGGAGGAAAAGAAGGTTGGCAGCTATACAGTTGAGACCAAGGCTTGAGAGTTTTCCGATAATTTTGAATCCTGGTGGTCTGAGGAAAAGCCCCCAGATTATTCTAAATCCAACGAGATGTATAGTATTTAGCTGTCTTGTAATGCTCTATGAATTGCAAGAATGCTCCAGTATTTTTTTTCGTTGTTTAAACAAGACAACATTCCGCCAAATTTGCTTCAAGTAGAAACCATAGAACAACAAATACCAGACGCAAGTACGCCCGTTGACACTCGCTATTACCCCACGTGGTACGGTAAGTGGACCCTGCATGTGCCCCGCTGAGGGGTAACAAGGGTACTAGCTAGCTGTAGGTGAACAAGGAACATTAGACAATTCTACATAACGAAAGCTCTCATCTCATTTTCAATCCCAAACTTCAACTCCTCCCTTTTCCCTTGTCAACCTCCAGCACAATTCGACAAAATGGCAGACCTCAACCTCAACGAAATCCACGACTTCATGATCTCCATCGCCAAAGAAGCAGGCGAACGCATCGTCGCCGCCAAACCCACAACCTCGGAGTCTGGCTCAAAGAAGAATTGTACTTAACCCAGCCTTTCTTCACCCCAAACCACACCTATACTAACACTCCCACGCAGCCGTCGACCTCGTAACCGAAACCGACCGCGCAGTCGAATCCCTCATTTCCACCTCCCTGACTTCCACCTACCCCACCTTCTCCTTTATGGGCGAAGAAACCTACAAACCAGGCGACGTGCTAACCGCGAACCCAACCTTCATCTGCGACCCCATCGACGGCACCACAAACTTCGTACACCGCTACCCTTACGTCTGCATCTCGCTCGGGCTCGCCGTAAACCGCGAGCCGGTCGTCGGCGTCGTATACAACCCTTTTACGCAAACGCTGTATTCAGCCGTAAAAGGGCAGGGCGCGTATTTGAATCGCACGACGAGATTGCCGCTAGGAGGCGAGCCGCAGAGGCTGGAGGGGTTGGATCAGTGTCTTGTGGCAGTGGAGTGGGGGAGTGATCGCAGCGGGAATGATTTTAGGGTCAAGAGTGAGACGTTTAAGCGGTTGGCGGCGACTAAGGAAAATGGCGGTGGCATGGTGCATGGGCTGAGGTCGTTTGGGTCTGCGGCCCTCAATCTGTGTGGTGTCGCTAGTGGCGGGCTGGATGTCTACTGGGAGGCTGGATGCTGGGCGTGGGATGTGTGTGCTGGATGGGTTATTTTGAAAGAGGCTGGGGGGATTATGGTGGATGCTAATCCGGGGAATTGGGAGCCGAAAGTTGAGGGGCAGAGGTATCTGGCGGTTAGAGGAGGAGAGGGGCAGAGGGAGATTGTAGAGCAGTTTTGGAGTTTGATTGATGGGGCGTTTGAGGTTGGGTTGTAGGGTGGAGCTGTTTTGTTAGTGATAATAGATATAGAATCAGGTTCGATGTAAGAAAAAAAGACATACACGACATCACACGTAAATGCATCTCAAAGAACACAACAATATAGAGGCGGCCTGGGATTTCTCATTATTGCCACCGCTAAGACTAATTCCCCTTTCCACAGTCTGGATCCCCTTATTTCAAGCGGTCTCAATCGACTTGCGACAAAACACCACATCGGACAAAAAAAAACCTTCTCTCTCTCTATCTCTCTCCACCAGGTGGGAAAGAGGCAAAGAAAAAAAAGTCCCAAAAGTCCTTCAGTGCGATGCAACGCAAATCAATCATCGCAGATGTATACAAAAAATTAAAACAACCAAGCAGTTTCACCAAAAGACATTTGGAAGAAATTATTTTCCCCCCGCGGGTGTAGATAAAAAACGACAAATGGACAACGGGACATTCCATCCATCCCCCTTCCTTCTTTCGTAAAACAAAGGAAACGCAGTTTCGTCAGTTGTACTCCTCTTATCTCTTCTCCCCCAGCCGCAGGCAAGAGGAGAGAAGAAGAGGGAAACTAAAAGGGGGGGAGAGCGAACAAAACAAGAACTTGGCCATGATAGTCGTTAATAAAAAACGGGTGGGAGGGAAAAAACAAAATCTTAAAAAAAGGAACGACCTTTTTTTTCTTTTGAAGGAGTCTTCGGGAGAGAGGAGAGGAGATGGGGTGAGCAAAAAGTACCACACTGCTAAGGGACGGTAAACAAGTAGCAGAAACGAGGTTGAGAGGAGGATGCAACAACAACTAGTGCGCCGATCTCGAAAAGCAGGGAAAAGAGAAGGGAATCAACCCCTGTTATTACTCCGGTTCCATGTTTTTTTGTGTTGGTTTTCACGGTTTTAGGGTCGCTTATCGGCAAATTGGGGGTTGACGCGGAGATCAAAGGCTTGGGCTCAACTTGGGTGTGATACTCCGGGTTGTGTGTGCGAGGGTGGTTGTGTGGTATTTTGTCGGGGGCGGCTTGTATACAATGACGAGTGATGGGACTAGTGTGCAACCGGGGTCTTCAGATGGTCCTGGGAGTGCCGCGAGCGGAGGCGCTGGCAAAGTGTCAGCGGCAAAGGATTCTACATCACGGCCAAGTATATATCAAATGAAGAAGACGGTCAAGACAAAGAGGAAAAGCGCAAAGGCATACCTCGCATCCACAAGATCATCGACGTGATTGCACATGGCCACGAACAAGTCAAAGAACAGCTTTCCTCCCATCTCCATCTCCATCTGCATGGTTCCGCTACGCTTGAAGGTTTTCCGACTGCGGATAATCAGAGCGAGGTAATGAGCGCGCAGCCGCGAGTCGCTGTCTGGCGTGTTCTCATAGGCATAGCGCGCACTACGCAGGATTGTTCCGACCTCGATCCCGCTCTGCAGGCCCTGCTTGCGCAGGGAGAGCTTCTTGAGCTCCTCAAGGCCGTAACGATCGGCAGCGCAGTACACAGCAGTGTCACGGAGAAGAACGTCTCCCACGCCGGTGTGGAAAAAGGTTGGCTCGACTGCGGCAGCGCGGTCGCCGGTTTTGTTGGGGTCGGGTGAGGCAATTGCACCTTCGAGCATCCAGGTCTGGCGCCGCTTGTCGTGGACAAGGCGGGGGTAGTAGTCTCCCTTGTACAGATACTCGAGGATGCAACTGAAGATTTCAGGCTCTTCCGTGGGCAGATCGATGCGGCGGTTAGTTGACTCGAAGAACTGGCTCCGCAGCAGTTCAGCAAAGTACGGAGAATGGCACAGTACATCTTCGTGGGCCGCGAACAGTCGCTGGTCGGAACCAACGATGACTGTCACAATGGCAGAGGTCAGCTGCGGTGAACCTCCGTCCATCATGGGGCTGTCCTTGCGTGCATCCAGCTTCTCGGCCATGGCCTTTTGCTTGGAGGCATCGCGAAACGATCTCTTTGGCTGCTTGGTGATCTTGCCTGAACGGTCCTTGTCCTTTGAACTAGCCAAAGAACGCTTGCCGAACATGATGAAGCGAGCGACTGAAGCGAGAGGGGGGGTGTTTCTCGTAAAGAGTGGACAGGTTAGTGTGACGCAACGTTCATGTGAAGTTGGGAGCTCTGGAAACTCTCGAACTCGCAAACCTTTCGGGGGAGAAAAGTCAGTGAGGATTCGAAGAGCTTAAGCGTGTTTATCCACACTGGTGGTGAAGACAAAGCACACTTTGGTTGTCGAACTCGCTTGTCGTGAGGCGTAAGGGCCGAGATGGCGGGGAGGCCGAGGATTAAATACTGCCGTCGCCAAGTGGCATCCCTGCAGCGTCGACGGCTAGCGTTGGGCTGTGTAGCATGCAGATGGGTGTTTTTACTCGTCGATGGCGACGGGCGGCGGCACGACTGGATGCATGTGGGAATCAGGCAGCAAGGCAACGTTGTGTGCAGCCTTTTGATTCGGCACGTTGTTCGGGTATAGCCTAATGTGGCGTATGCATGGTGTTTGTTTGGTCCGGTCCATGTACACACACGAAAGCGACAGTGAGGGCCGTAAGCGAAACACCGACGATACGAGGGCCACGTGACGATGAGTTTCGCCAAGGCTAGGATCGCACCGGGAGGAAGATGTGATCGGCTTGGTGGGTGGGGTCCGATCTTGACAGACACGAGGCCGTGTTGGGCAATGGTTGTGAAGGATGCGCATCGCGTTCATGTCGCGGTGTAACGTGACATTTGGATCAAGCCGTTGGGGGTTGCAGCTGGGCGCTTCGTCTGCTGGGACCCTTTGTGACTCATGTGACGACGAGTAAGTTTGTTAGGCGCAGCAGAGTGCGTGCAAGTCGGCAATGGAGACGAGGCACTTGGAAACGCGGGGGCATTGAGTTGCGCTTGTGCACAACCGTGAGTCATTACGCCATCATGGAACATGTTGGGTGCCAGTGCTGTATGAGGTGCTGAGCATAACCGTCGAGTTGCATTGCAAACGCCCGCTCTGCAATGCCATGCCGGCCTACTCTGCATCACGGCGGGCCACTCTTATGCTGCCCTCACAACGGGCGCTTCGCTGTTGGCCGCTAACCGCTAGGCTGTTCCACTTGCATCTGGCGCGCCCAACTAGGTGTCGTTGGCTGCAAAAGACGCATGCTTGTCCTGTAAACAACAAAGTCGCGAGCAAGCCGGGGTTGCGCCTGGAGGGCTCGCTTGTTCGTTCCAATGTGTTGAATGAGGCGGCGTAGTAGTACCGATACGGGCCTGCTCCGAGTGTTTCCAATGACGTCGTTGGTTGTCAGTGCCACAATGCCCATGGCAGCAGAGACAAGTTGCTCGCCTCTGTAGTAGAGTAGCAGAGTAAGTAGGGACAATCGCGCAGACTGAAAACGACGAGCAAATGCTAGCGAGCACCTGCAGCCGCCACCCAGTGAAGGCTGATGACCCTTCTGCCGGCCCGCATGCGGAGCTTTGACTAAGGAATCCCAACCCAAGCACCTCGTCATTCATAGCCAACCTTCCCCACATCCATCTTTCTCTCTTCCACTCTCAACACGCACGCATCCTGTGCCACTCTGCACACCGCTTGCCCTGTACATACACACCGTCCCCACCAAGTTTGTGCTTGTTCATTCATTCCTTTCGACTAGGCCACTTGTCTTGCCTTGTGCGGTACAAAACACTCGTTGCTGCTCCGGAATACAAAGCCGGCAAGACCAGGCGTCGCAGCTTGCCATCGAACCCTAGTGCACGACAGACGGTCGACCAACGCACTGCCACCATGAGCACCGGAGCCAAGAAGCGCATCCTAAAGGCAAGCCTGTGATGGTCGTGTGTAGTGCCGCACAAGCCAGACGGCTAACAAGCTGGGCAGGAGTACGGCGAATGCATGGCTGACACCCCGCCGGGCATGAAGATCAATTTTGACGAACAGAACATGACCAAATGGGAAGTGTTGATGGATGGTCCCGAGCAGTCTGCATATGCTGTATGTGTTTTTGCTGACAGACAGCCTCCGTGCATACGGGAACACCGCCCGCTGACGACTGTGTCAATGTAGGGCGGCCACTTCAAGCTCGAGATTACATTCCCAACCGAGTATCCGTTCAAGCCGCCTGTGGTCAGCTTCCGGACCAAGATCTACCATCCCAACGTCAGTAACGACGACAAGGGCTCCATGTGTTTGGGCCTGCTACGCGCGGACGAGTGGAAGCCGCCGAACAAGGTGGTTTCTGTGCTGCGCCTGATCCAGACGCTGCTCATTGAGCCTAACCCAGACGATGCGATTGAGCCGTCGATTGCTAACGAGTACCGGGAGAACCGTCAGGAGTTTGACAAGAACGCAAAGGACTGGGTCAAGCGCTATGCCAAATGAGGGCCTCGGCCACGTGGGCAGGCGCATGGGCAGGGAGAAGGGTGATTAGGAGGCAGTTTGGACAAGACGGCGGTCAGCAGCTACACATTGATTGCATGGTTGGCGTTTGGCGAAATTTGCATGCGGATGGGTCGCTGGGTGGGCGGTGGGCAAAGAAGCATGGCGTGTGTACATGCAGATCGCCATGTCTCCAGCGCATCGACGTGCAAGCCGGACGGCTGGGCAGGGTAGCGTGTTTAGCAAAGCAAAGTAAGGCAAAAATGAAATGAAGACAACGGCGGCATGTCGTCATGAGCAAAATGGCAAATCTCCCGTGGTAGCAAGGCGATGGCAGACGAAGCGAGCCGCGTGGGTGGGTGCAGGTGGTGAGAGGCCGGGGAGGCCCTGAAACGCGGCCTTCTAGAAGCGCGCGCGACAAGGCTCAAGCGGTTCGGTGCTTGCCTATCTTGGCCGTGCTTGTGCCTGTGCGCGGTCCCAACTGTGATGTTTTCTGAATAGTTAATAGTCTGCTGTCCTTCGTATGCTATTGGCGAGGCCAAGCAACCACCGTGTGCTGTCTGTGTTGTGATTGAGTGCTTGATTGACTCTCCCCGTGCAGAGGGCAGGCAAAGCAGGGCAACGACGCAGGGTAGGCCAGGGCACCACCCAAGGCCCCAAGGGCATGGC